TTGCTTCTTTTTATGTATTAATATATTTCATCTATTAAATTTGGAATAACTCCAGGTTATTATTTTGTACCAAACATAGTGTATGTCTTACCACTTCCAGTTTAACCATAAGCAAAAATACACAAATTATAACCATGAAATATTGCTTGAAGAGATTATTATATTTCTTCATACATATCTTTTTATGTAGATTATTAATTAAAGCAAATATCAAAATTGAACATTTTTTATTTTAATAAAATATGTTATTCATCTATAAATTAAACTTCACAATCTAATTTATATATTAAATTAATACCTTTTAATTTATCTAAACTATTTGAGGGTCTTACTCTACAATAAACCTTCACTTTCCCTTTTAAATCTTCTAATTAAAAACTCAATCTCTTAATTTCATTAGTTTTCTATTTCAATAGTTCTTGCATTTAAAGTGTTTATTATGGATCCATCAAATTGCATTGAACTCCAACATTCTTACAATCTGTACTATCCTATATAAAAGTGCTACGATCATTTAATTGTTTTTTCAATATAGTATACTGATAAAACTTAGTACTAATTGATTATTTATCATTAAAGGAAGGTGGTCTACCTTCTTTCTTTAGAAATTCATCTTACCATTAAGTAATTTCTCGCTTAATTAATTCTTTCTATTTCTTTAAATTGCTTATTGGATCTTACATTATCTTCAACATCATTCTTTACCCTTTATTCTTATGAGACATTATGCTTTAATCTCCTTCTGTCTATCCTACACTCTCTAATGTGTGACTATCCTAACTTTATTTAACTAATTATACTTTAAATAAACTATCTTATTTCTAATTAAAAGATGTTTATAAAAATGAAGTAGCCACAGTGGTTGAGTAACCTTATTAAGTACTTTTCAATTTATCACTCAAATCAACTATCTCTTATTTTTGCTAACTCAATTCAATCTAAAAAACCATTTAATTTAATTTCAATTCTATTTCTAACCGATTAACTTGTTCTTCATAATTCGACCTGCATGACTCTAACTACAATAACCTATACAAATGCTACCTATAGTTCACACTCTTAAATTATCAACTCTTATTGTTATAATTATTCACTCTTTCTTTATAATTAACAATGCAGTTCTTAAATCAAAAATTTATATTCTTCTTTCTCTCGAATCAGTTGTTTGATTTAAATAATAAATTATTTGTTCATCATTTTCATTTACTTTATGAATTCAAGCACTTCTTCTTGATCTACTAATATCTAAGTATCATCTATATTCTCTTTATTCGAATAACTCATCACTTAATTTAAAAAACAAAAAATATTATAGTTAATTAATTATTTATGTTAAAAGCACTCTCTACATTCTATCTAAATCGATAAACACCAATTGCTTAATTTGCTAAGTAAATCACATTTGATAAATGGAATGTAATCAAAGGTGATAAAGTTGTTATTGTCTCTGGAAAAGATTCTGGTAAAACAGGAACAATTTTGAGAGTTTATCGTAAATCAAATGAAGTACTTGTTCAAGGAATCAATTAAAAATTTAAAAGAAAATCTTTATTAGATGATCCATCAGGATCTGGTATTTAATAAATTACAAGACCAATCCATTTAAGTAAAGTAGCACTTATTGATCCTGAAAAAGGAAAACCAACTAAAGTATTTATAAATTATAGAAATTAGGTTTAAAGAGGATTTTTAGAAGATGGTACACCTGTGAGAGTATCAAAATTGAGTGGAGCAATTATTCCAAAATCATTAGATCCTGCTAAATCACCAGCACATAGACATAGAAATAAGGTAGATGGTATTAAAGATACATCTCCTGCTCTTGCATTATAGGTCACTTATAAAGGAGAAGACTTTTCTGCAATTAAAGCTGAATTTGATTAATTCATTGCTGAAAAAGAGAGAAAAGAGCAATTATTATGGTTTGATAAATGAATAATAAATATATAATGAATAATGATAAAAAAAATGATAAAAAACCTATTAAACAAGTTGAAAAGAGTTCTACTACTAATAATTAATAAATACAAAGTAAACTCTTAGGAACAAATGTTAATGAAATTAATATTGAAAAATTTCGTGATCTCAAATAAAATTAGAATTTCAATTTATAGGGTAAACTTAATTCATGTATAATCAATGTTTAAATTTTATTTTAGAAATTGTTAAAACTATCTCTAATAAATTTGGTCTCGATATTGTATTTGTTTTGGATCTAAGTAATTAAAAAATTGGAAACATTGATTGTTTAACAGAATGTATTCATTTAGTTTAATTGAATCTACAAAACAATTCTATTAGGTATTATTATCTTTATATTCTAAGTGACATATCTCCATTAAAAGTAATGAAAGATCTAGCATTTTTGAATATTTCCAATAATCAAATTACATAATTAGATTTAGGTGAGTTATATTCACTTTAAAATTTATAAGCTAAAGGAAATTTTATTAAAAGTGTTAAATCAATAGAATATTTAGATCGCATTAGAGTACTTAGAACACTTTATTTATAATGTCCATCTGGTGATTAAAAAAATCCTATATGTGATCTTAATAATTATAGGAATGTTATATTCAATACAATTAAAGCACTTTAAAGACTTGATGGTTATACTAGAGAATAAGAATTTAATACTGGTTAGGAATTGTAAAAAGAATAAGTTTAAATTAAAATTGAAATCCCAAATACAGGACCTTGGTATGTTTAATAATTCCCTAAGGTTGATAATCCATCATCAGTTTAATTAGATGATAAAGGAGTTAAATAATCAATAGATGAAACAAAAAAATTAATTAGCAATATTGAAATGAAATTAGCTTTATTAAATTGAATTAATTATTATATATATATAATGTGGCTTAGATTATCATATTTATCATTTAGATCATGTTTTAATAAGAAAATGGTGAATGGAAGATTTTTTGGTCCAGATATTTCTGGTAGATATAAGGGTCTTTTAAGGAAATAATTTTATTTTCATGGGCTCCCATGGATTTATGATTAACCCAAAAATAGAGAGTTAAGTCCTTATCATAGAAAACCTAAAGGACATAAACGTGAAAGAACAAGAGAATAAAGGTATCTTAGTTTAATGAATTAGAATTGAAAAAATAAAAAAGAATTTAATGAATTATGCTGAAGAAGAATTTAAATTCAGATAAGAAAGATTAAATAAAAGACCTCCAGGTGGTTTGGATATGTAATGGATATTGTTTACAATAGGATTGTATAGAAAATGATTCCATCTTGGATACATCCTAAAACAGCTGCCTAATTGTAAAGTACTAAATAATTGCTGTTGATGAAAAGAGGTAGATAACCCAAATAAGAGGAAGAATATAAAACTGATCAATATGAATTTTGAATTATATGGTCAAAAATAATATAATAAATAATAATTATGGATATTGAGATAATAAAATATAAATATTATAGTAATACCTATTTATAATTTATTCTTATTTGAATTATTTAAATTACTTATTCTTATTAGTATTCTTAAATTTGAATTTTAAAAAATGATAAAGAGTAAATAAAGGTATGAATTACAATTCTACAGATATAATATAATTATAATATAAAATAAAATATAAGTTAAGAAAAATAATTAAAACTTTGATCTTATAATGTATAATATATATATCATAAACAACTTAATGTTAATGTATAATTTTTATCTACATAAATATCTACAAATGGACTTGAGCCATTTGCAATAAGAACATTACTATTCTAATAACAAATCGTACTAAATTACAATATAACATCAGATGATGTTTATAGTGTTATTTTTGAATTCATTTATTCAATTTATCTATTTCCTTTTGTTAAATAAATCTAAATAAATGAAATTTTTACATTATTTTGGAAACTACACATTTTATAATAATCAGAAATGGGTCTTATTTCATCATCATTTCTTAAAATTGAATTCCAAATGACTAAATAATTCTTATGTAAACTAATTATTTATTGTTCATCTTCTAAATACAATATCTAAATTAAATTTATCAAATAATAATATACATCATTAACATATGATAATTCCTAATTTGCAGCTTTAAAACTGAGTACAGATTGGAATGAATATGTTGAATTAGCTATCATTTATTTATATTGATATCTTACACCAAATTCCTATTATTCCAATATCTGATCCTATAGCTAGAAAATTCTATCCTATAACAGCCAAACTAGTTATTTTCACATCTTTGATTGGTACTAAAGTATAAATATTATCATTGATTGATTATGTTATATCGATTTCTCTTTACTAATAGTAAATTCATAATTACTCAATTATATTGTTTTCATGCTATAAATCAATAAAATATAATCTAGATCCCACAGCAACAATAAGAATTTCATTGTTGTATTTGATAAATTCAATCTCTTCTTAAAAAGATTACTATAGAAATAGTATTTAGAATTACAATCATAACTGAGCTATTTAAATCTGTGTCTATAATTTGATTAGGAGATATAAGTGATGACATTAAAACCTGATACAATTTATTAGCAACTACACAATATAAACTCTCTTGTATAAGTAATATTTATTATATTGAGTCTTTAAAAAGAGGAAATTTATATGATGCTTTGTATATTAGTGTATTTTATCTAATTAATTATGAATGATGATACGTCTTTTCTTATGTTCTACTGCTATTTTCTAGGAGAATGTTTTCAAAATCCCAAAAGTAGAGTGCTCCAGTGTTAGTTGCACCTATAACATATTTTTGATCATTGGTAATAGCAATTGAATTAATAATAAACATTTTTATTTATATAAATTTAAGTAGTAAAGTAATTATTATGTTTATATAAAAATTTTTAAAAGTATCTCATCATAATAAAGTATTTTATCTCTTCTATATATTTTAACCAAAATGATGTTTTGAACAACAAATTAAAATTAATATTATACCATATTTAAATCTTAGGACTTTTTGAAGGGGGGAAATTTAATAAGAAAAAAAGTATTTTTAATAATAGATATGAACTTTCATTAGTAGGACAGCGATTTATTAACCTCTAAACTTACCAATCATGTGACATCAAAATTGGTTACTTAAGGTTTAGGTGTATTAGAACAAAGTGATAGTAGCTATTCATCCTAACAATTATGCTCTGTAGTTTATTTATACATAATTTTGATAGAGTGAGCAAAATAGTGATAGGAGTATCAATTTAAATACAAGTTCATTTAAAAAAGTTAGTAAAAGCACTCTTGATCTATAGAACTTGACTAGCAAACATGCTTATATTTGTGCACATTTTAATTTCTTAGGTAATTGCCACTAAGAACATTGCAAGTATACTTTAAAAAAATGTTTAGGAAAAAGCATATATATATTACTAAAGAAGATGGATTAAGTGAACTCATATCTGACAATATTGATCTAATAGATAACCTAACTCGATGTGGAAAGAAACTCAAATTGCATCAATCTACTTATAGAACTTAACTAGCCTAATATAGAAAATACAAATCTAATAGTAATCAAATTTATGATAAATTTGAATCCAAATTCTCAGATTAAGAATAAATCATTTTAAGAGATTTTCCTATTGAAAACTTATGCAATTTAAATGATTTATCATTTAAAGCAGATAAAATCAAATCTCAGCCAGATATCAATACTGATTCTGAGAGTAAATCTATTAATCGTTTGATTAAACCAAAACCTAGAGTGGATTATAAATAAGTATCGGAAATATTAGAAAATTGTACATCTCCTTTATAAATTTCCTCTGAGATTAAGAATAATCTTATGTCAAAACTAAAATCAGACATTTAGAGAATGAAAGAAAAAATTAAAATAATCACAATGTTAAAAAAATGGATAAATAATTAATAAGTTGATTTTAATGAATACATAACTTTATAGTCTTCCCTCTCATAAATCCAATAGATACATTACTCTAATTTCCTCAAACTTACAAATATGTCAATTCCAAGTAAAAATTAATATAAATCTTATAGATTAAGTATGTATCAATCAATAGTTTCAATATAACTAAAATATTTGATAATGAGTTTTATTATTATCATGAGTTTATGTGAATATAAAAATTAATAGTTTTTTTAGATTATTCTGAAATATTCTTTATTCATCAATACATATTTATTGTTTTTTATTCAAATGAAAAATTTTGATCTTGTTTATATTTTTATAGTATTATAATCTTAACAATTGTCCAAAAATATTTAGCTTCTTTTTTTTATATAATATTATTAAATTGAATTTTAATAAAAAATAAAATATATAAATTTTATCTACAACCTATAGAAGATTATATGATATTATAATTGGATTAATATGTGTAAATGATCATATCTTTTCTTAAAATGTGCTATCTGATTTAGTTACTTTTTTATAGTCTGTTTACTGGTAAATATTATATGAAGTTCCTTTAGGATACCAATTTTCATCTAAAAATATGATTAATTGTCTTTTACCTTCCATTTCTAATTATTCTTAGATATCATCCTATGATTTCCATAGTTCTCTTCTACAATTAGGATTTTTTGGAGATGGGAATACTCTATCACTTTCTGGGATATTGAATTGATCTTCAATTCCAACCATTTCACCTCCCCCTTTAGAAGAGATATAGTATATAATTACATTCACATTCATATTCAAACCATGTATTAGGAACACCAAGATCCAAATCACCTGTTGGTTTGATCATAGGATCTGACCAAAGAAAAATTTCCCAATGATAATCAATTAGTTCCCTTACAGGAGCAAAACCAACAGGTAATTTGGCTAAATCTTCAAGAACTTAAACATTCCATAAGATTTCAACTTTTTCTCCTTTTGAATTAGTAACAACTTATCTTGCAACATAAACACTGTTAGGAACATAATCAACATCAAAGCCACAGTTATATACCAAATATGCAAAATCAACCTATTCTTATGGTGTTAATCCCATATTTAATATCTTTTCAACTTCTCTTCTAGTGATTCCTATAAAATAGAATAAGTATGGCACCTGGGACTCTTCTCATGATTTCATCAGGATCCATCTAACAACTCCATGTTCCTTATCTACCAATAGAAGTATTCTACCAAACAGCTCTTACGTCTTCCATTCTAATTAACAATATGAAGGATAAAAATACGTATAGGGTCCATCATAAGGAGGAAGAGGACCAGATTATCTGACTGGATTGACATGTCTTACATTTCGGACTGAAGTAGTAATGAATTGAAATTACCTGGTAAAGGGACTTACTATGATTTGGCAATATCAGCAATTTCCTTATTTGATTAGAAGAAGTTTGGGTTCAAATAGTGTCTATATCTATTTGGATTATATGGACCATCTAGATGATTTAAGTTAAGTTACTTACTTCTTGATGAGAATGTGAATTAAGGCAATGCTTTACGAAACCCTTTGTTAATAGCACGATTAAGCATATCTATATATAAATTATTTATAAAATGTATATATATTTAAAATGAATTATATATATGAATAACTTGTTTGAACTCTAGGAATGTCAATATAATTTACATCAATTTTCAAGTCCAAATTAATCAAAATGATATTATTATATATTAATTTTAATGAATTAGAAGAATAATAATTGCCATTATACTTTAAGAGATAACTATCCTACAAATCCACCAAATCGAAGAGGAATTTCGAGTTTTCTTTTAAAAACATACTCAATGGTTATGGTATTTAATACAACTCATTTTCTTGTAATCCAGACCTTTAATTTGTGAATCAAATATAATGATTTGAGAATTAAATTCTGGAAAATTACATTATTAATCAATATATTAATAAATTTATTTAAAACTAAATAATTAGAATCCAGAATTTGAGGATATTATATCATTTAATAGTGTTGGAAATGCTTTTATAGTGAAAGATTAAACTGGATTTAGTGACTTTGTGTTACCAAAATAATTTAAACATCAAAATTTTAGTTCCTTTATAAGACAATTGAATATGTATAGTTTCAAGAAGATAAGAAATGTCAATAATCAATATTAGTTCAGCCATCATTACTTTTTAAAGGGAAGAGAGTACTGTATTTGATTAGAATAGAGATCTACTCTACAAAATCATGAGAAAAAATGGTGTTATGCAAAGATGCCATTATCTCAAATTATAAAATAAAGCAAAATAGGAAGTTACTCAATTATATTCCAATTATTCAGAATTGAAGACAGATATAGAATAAATATAAAAAGAGCTCGTCTATTTCTATTAATAATTTGATTAAGTTAAAATTATTGAAATAATTTTTAGTTTTAAAGTACTATATCTACTTTGATTGATTCCTCTAGACAATAGATTAGAGAGTTAAGTATTATAAAAAATTAAAATTCCATTTGTAATGACTTACTATTCTAAGTATTGGCTAATGTATCAAAATCATAACCTGAATAAAAATATCATTGTAGAAATTCAATTATAAATATAAATAGTCCAATATCCCTTTACTAACTCAACCTAATAAACTTAAACTACTAAAAGTAATGGAAGTGATAAAGATGAATTGAATAATGATAATGAAAATAATAATAATTCAAGTAAAGAGGGTAAAATTTATGTTATTGTTATTATTTTAAGATACCAATCAAAGTTTTTAGAGTAATTCCTTTAGAGAACCATAATAATAATTGAAATCAGATTGAACCGAATTTGCAATAATATATTTCAAAAATGGAACTAAATTATTATTTAAATTATTATTCTTCCCAAACATAATTTTATTATATTATTATAGTCTGACTATTTAGATCGTATAAGTTTTCTTGTTTTAAAAAACAAATTTAATCGGCTTTTATTTTTAAAATAAACATATTCCTAAAAAATCTATCTTAAATAATAAGGCTATAGATAATGATAATGGAATTTATTTTCTTTATTTTATATCATATAAATTAATAATTCTAATGGTTATGAAATAATATAAAATAATAATTATATGCCATCAATTCAAAAATTAGAAAAAGAAATCATATGATTAATCAATCCAAAATATCTGGAGGTAAGATTTTAGCATAAGCATTAAATGATGGTTAATATCTATTCAGAGTTGTATCTACATAAGATCTCTAATGAGTGAAATTATCAAATTTCCAATAAGAAACATTTGAATAATCTCCTAAAACATTTTTTGCTGATGAAAGTAAAGGTTTCGGTCTAGCTGGTTCTATCTTATATGGAGTATTTCTTAAAAAAGTATTCTTATAATCAAAATTCATATTATAAATATTAATAAATGTAAAACATATTGCTAGACTTTAAATAAGATGATAAGAATATCAAGAAAATAATAGATAAAGAGATAAATATTAAGACTTAAGGAGTTTTAAATATTGATAAATATAATTCATAATTTCAAGTTTTGGCTCAAGATTGTTTGTAATAGTGTGAAAAAACTACTCATTTAAAAGGAGCCAAAGAGATAGTTGAATGTATAATTTATTATATCATTTGAGTTAAGGCATAAAATATTAGTCATGAAAAAGTAATTGAAGCAGTGAGATCTGCAAATTTTGTGGAAATTCAAAATGTTAATCAAAGATTCAAAAGACTTTTTAAAGAAATATTGGAACATCTCTCAGATTAACTAATTAATGTATTTAAATAAGAATATTTGATATTGTGGTTAGAATGTAAGAATACTAAAACCATCTTATAAGATAAGGAATTAAAATTAAAGAGTTCTGAGATAACTATGTAAATTTAGGAATAAGAACTAATTCTACTAAGAACTCATAATTCATCATAAACTACATTTTTAGAACATAATAAAAAGCTAGAAGAAACCATAAATAATTTAGAAAAGGATAATAATAAATTAAAGGAAAATCTACAAAATTAGCTTAATATTTATAACAATCTGAAAATAAATTTTGAGGAACTTAATAAAAAGTATAATAAATTGTAATAATAATTTGAAGAAGTTAAGTAAAATTATGAAAAAGAAATAAACTAATTAAAATAATAAGAGTTAAATTTGATTTAAGTAAATAAAGATTTAATTGAATTAACAAACTAATTGTCAAGCTAATTGGATAGATACAAAGATTTATATGAAATGTAAAATTAAAAAAATCTTGAACTTAATGATCAAATTAAATATTGGAAATCAACTCATTTTTAAAGACTTGTTGATTTACAATAATCTGAATAAAGGATAGGATCATAAAAAGGATATCTATTCAAATATAGAAGAGAAGTTCAAGACTTAAAAAGATTTAAACTTTAAAATGAAGAGGCTTAAAAAGAATTATCAAATGTAAGACAAACAGTTTAGATATTAAATTAATAAACTGAATAATTGAAAATAAATTATGAGAGTGCAAAGATCTAGAATTTGAAGATCTAGATTGAAAAAACAGAGAATGTTAATTAAATATTAATAAAAAATGCTTTATCAACTAAAAAAACTAATAATGATTCAAAATCATTTATTGATTCTCCAAAAAGAGGAAAATTTGATTTTAGTTAAATTAAAAAGCCTACCTAATAATAGTCTCCAAAAGAAGAATTAACTTAATTAATATTAGGTAATTCAAAGTTTCCAATAAATAAAAAAAATAGAAGTGCTAGTGCAAAAAAGAATCTATAATTAGAAAGTGATACTTCTAAAAATAATATAGCTTTATATGAATTGGATTAAATGACTCCTTTTCTTGATAATAATTTATAATAATTTAATATTAGTTAAGCTCAAAGATTTCCATCAAATTTGAAGAAAAGAATAAGAAGAATAAATACTGAAGGATGAATTTAATAAGTTAAAGATATATTTATTAAAATTATTTAAAAAATAATTAATATAAAATATTATAAACACAAGAGATAATCACAAATCTGTCTTTTCTTATTTATATGCAATACTATCTCCAATATAATAATCTAACCAAGCTTTGAGTTCTGAAATTACAAGATTTGAGCTTTTCAAATATTCTTTAGGAGCCTTTTTATCTGCTGCTAAGTATAACATCAATTTTGGAACTGAATCTACGGTAATTTTAGGATGTTCATTATTTGCAAGATCGATATGGCCAATTTTAATTTTTTCTTTATTTTAAATTAATGAAAATTCATCAAGAAGTTTGAAATAATCATCAAATAAATCTTTATTTTTTGAATCCCAAAACAATAATAAAACATTTTTTCCTTTATTAAGAACTTCTTATGAAAAAGTCTATCCTACAATTTTATATATATCTTAATTTTCTGTTTATTGAGGAATAGGTTCAGATTTATAAAATTCATTTAGATTTTTATTTCTAAAATCATCTATAAATTATTATATGTTCTCTTAATTAAGAGTTTCAGATTGACAAATATATTTTTATAATTAATATTTTCTAAAGTTGGTTTCTGTAATAACAAGTTTTGGAGTATTTGTTGATTAATCAAAATCAAATAAGGACCATAAAGTTGGATTTTCATCAAATGTTGAATATGTAAATATTAATCGATGATATTTTAAATCATTAATTTTATTATTTAAAGCAACTTAATAGTAAGCATTAAATAAATCTTCATTTAAAATTCCATTAATCAATAGATGTACTTGAGTTTGAATCGGTCCTCCAAAGACTCTTGCATAATTGTCTTCATCTAATCTATTAATTAAATCGAGACTTTCTAAATAAAAGAAATCTAAAATCTAATCTGTGTAAGTCAAATTATATTCATATTATTCAAATTTATTATTTCCTTTATGTAATATAAGTGTAGGAGCAGTAAAATTCTTATAATTAGAATTAAAAGCTTTTAATCCATTTATTCTGGCTTCTTTTAAATCACCATTTCTAATTAATGTTTCTAAATCTTCAATAATTTAAGTTTTAAATGTATAATTATCAGGTAATAGAACTAATGAATTAAGTTTATTTTAGTTAAAATATTCATTTACATCATTTTCTGTTTATAAGAATTCTAATTAAGGACTTATTATATCTAGGATAGATTTAAAATGAATACCAAATATCTATGATTAAAGATTATCGAAATTTCTAATCCAAATCATTTTATCAAAGTTTTTGATCACAATACCTTTTTCTGATTCAATTAATCCAATAGGACTTTTAACAAATATTACATCTATTTTAGTAAAATTAACATTTTAAATAATTGAATTTAGTAATTTAACTTATGTTTCTTCTTCATTTCTATAGAATATAATAAAAATATAATACTTTTCAAATATAAGATGTACTACATTCTTAAATGTATTTTTGATTTAATCATATGCTTCTTTATCAATTTCATATAATTTATCATATAATTTATTTTGCTTAATATCATTTCCTTAAATTTCCAATTTCTCTTCCAAATTTAAATCAATTTTAATCTCTTCTTCTTCAGTTTTAATTGGCTATATATATAGATTAAAATATTTACAATTAGTTATGTAGATGTAAACATAATCAAAAGGGACACTAAAATAAGGTGTTGTACTTTCATTTAAATTTATTATTGATATTTAAGTAAAAGACACGACTTATTAGCATATGAAAATTGACACGATTGTTAAAATTAATTATTTTAAAAATTTCTAGAATATTTCTATTTTCATTTGATGATAAAATAACAATTAATTATTAATTATAATAATATAAAACAAATAGATATAGATTATAAATAATGTATATTGATATAATATAATTATAACAACTATTTTGATCAACTTGTTATAATTTTCTCTGCATTTGTTTTTCTATTTGATTAACTAGAACTATTCACTTCAATATAGGAATCATAAGAACATTGAGATTACTCACTAATCTTTTCATCCTAAACTTTTCTTAGACTTGATTATTGAGATGGATCAAATTTGATGAATCGCATACAATTACTAATAAGAACAACAATAACGGAAGATAGGGACATGGCAGTAGAAGATATCATTGGAGATATTGTAAATCCTTGTCCATAAAAGACTCCTGCAGCAATAGCTAAATTAATATATGAATAATAATTTACGAGCCATAAATATATTATAAGCAAATGCCCATAATAAATTAATATAGACAACTTTAAGTGCTATATTCATTAAATTAAATAATGAAGCAACTTTCCATAGATTCTCATTTAACATAATAACATCAGATGCCATCAAATTTAATTCAGATTTTGCATTTATTGCTACTCCCACACATGCTTATTATAATGATAATATATCATTTAATCCATCTCCTATCATCATCACTTCTTAATTATTTTCTCTAAGTTCTTTTAAAATCTTCTACTTTCCTTCTGCATCTATTTCAGCAAATTAATTGATTGAAGGAATTCCTAAATACTTACCTACTGAATTAACTGTTTTTTTAGAATCTCCAGATAAAATATATACTTATTTCTTTAATTTTTATCTTAAATATTAAATAACTGCTTTAGCTTCTGGTCTTAAATTAGTTTTATTATCTAAACAAACAACTACTTCTGGTATATTATCAATAGCCATTATAATTACTGTTTTACCTCTTCCTTCTAAAAATCTACATTTATTTAATAGATAATCTTCTAAAATGGCATTATTATTTTCTAAATGTTTTAAATTTCCAATTAAACATTTAAATTATGTTTTATCAGTAGTTCTTGTTACATTTCCTATAATACCATTTTTTTCTAATTTTGGTTGATCTGTTAATACAAAAGTACTCTATCTTCCTATTTATCTAGATATAGATTCTTTAAATAATAATGTTGCAATTGGATGTGTGAATTCTTTCTCTAATATACTTATAATAGCCCATAAATCTTGAACAGATAATGTTTAATTGTATTTTAATTTTGATTAAAGAGTACCTTCACAATATTATTATTCTCTTTTGGTCTCAATAGGATCTGACATTACTAAAGATCTTTAAAATTGTTTAACCTTCATTATAGTTTTATCTTAATTCTTTGAACAAACTTCTGTCTGATTTTTTGATAATAAAGTAAATGAATCAATATGATCTACTTTAGTAAATAAAGTTCCAGTCTTATCAAATATTACACATTTTACTTTACTAATTTATTCAAAAATTGTATTCTTAATTAATAAACAATAATTAATACCTTTTTTACTAATATTCCACATTTTAATGCTAAATTAAGTGTTATTATAACAACAGATGGAACAGCTAATCCTAAAGCACAAGGACATGATGCAACAAGTATAGATATTGCTCTTTCAAATGGAAAACACCATACACAATATTCATCAATTTCTACTATATCTAAACCAATTAATAAAATCCAAACAAATAAAACTAATAATGCTACACAAATAACACCAAGTACAAATTTTTATGATACAGATTATAACATTGCTGAAATACCAAAAGTTTTATCTTCCCTTTCAGATTATGCTAAATTTAATTATTCTGCTATTTAAAATAACATAGAACCCTCTATTACTTACTCTACTTAAAATATGCATGAACCATCTAAAATATCTGCACCTGATTTTAATCTCATTCCTATTGTTGCTTCAAATTTATCATCCCAACCATAACATATTGAATCTACAACTGTGACTGAACCTTTTACTATAACACCATCAACTAATAATTTCATATTCTTTTATAGAATAATTAAATCTCCTTTTTCTAATAAAGATACTTCACATTAATGTTATGTATCAATATCATAATCTTAGTTTTTCACTTAAACTCTTGTTACTATTGGAGTTTTTAATAATTATTCTTATGGAAATATCTAATTCTGCATATCCATAATTGTTTATTTAGCTTTACCTTCAAAATATTTTCCTATAGTTATCACTGTTAATATTAATCCTGCTGACTCTAAATCATGAATGACATTCATTATTCTTTCTAATTAATCATATTTCTCTGTTGATTCATTTTCACTCTCAATTGCATATACTATTAACATAAATATACTCATAACATAAGCAGCTAATGAACCTAAAGTTAATAATGTATCCATATTAAACATTCTAGTATTTATGACAATTTATACTTGTATTTTATAAACAATTAATAGGCATTTTTATATGTTTATGTACCAAATTTAACTAGAGTCAAAGTTGTCATAATAAATATCAAAACTAAATATAAACTAAAGATGGATTTTTCATTAGGATATGTCAAAATAGGTGAATAGAATTCAAAATGAGGCATAATAGAACATAATACTAAAAATAAAGCACTTAATATTATTGCCAAAATTAATTTTTTTTTAGTGACACTTTCAACAAGTCGTTCTTTTTTCCTAAATTTTTCCAATAATTAATTATAAATATATAGACTCAAATCTGCATCCAAGTTTTCTTTTTCATCATTTTTTATTATCTTATCTTTCACAAATGATTCAATAAATTGTTTTAATTAATGTCCTGATATTGAAAGTGGTTAATAATTAATTGACATTAATTATCCAGACTATAAAAATGTAAACTAAAATTTACTTATTTATTGTATTTAAAAGATTATTCTTATATTCCACTCAATCCTCCTTGATATTCTTTATAAAGATTATTTTTTATATCTACAAGTTCTTCTAGATCATACTCAGCATTTGGAAAGAAGAATTGACATGTTCTTTGTTAATTAGAATCATTATTAATTAATCTAGGCTATCCTACTATAAAGAAGTTGTTTTTCTCAAATATCTCTTTGATTTAATTCATTGTGCTTCATATTAGATTTATATCTTTTACATAATGTTTTAATCAAAAGAAATGATCACTCTTTCAGCCATAACATTTACTTACACATATTAGATTCCTAATATTCATTATTATAAATCCATACCTGGTTGACCTTCAAAACTTGATTTGATTTTGTTAGCACACATAGTACACCATATCTTTGACACTGTTAGATCGTATACAACTATGTTAGATTCCATAATTAAATTACGAAAAATTTTATAATTTAAAAAGCCATTTATTATGTCTTATTTATATATTTAAAATATTTGGATCCCTCAATTAAATAATTACTTTGAATTACTCTGCATTCAATTTAAAAATTGAATATATATAATATTTAAAAGGATTAACATTTTTAGAATTAATGGAATATTAATTATATTTTTTAAATATAATTAATATACATATACATAAAAATTAGGTTAATAATAAATAACTTTTTTGTATTTTCTTAGACTTTTTAAGATTATATTAAGATAGTAATAAATTAGATTTGCTTTAATTTAATTGAAAGCTATAATAATTAAAATTTGGAAATACATTATAATATAAGTATAATACTAATATATATATATATATGACTAAAATTTGGTAAATAATGATACAATAATTCAGCATTTGCTGCACATAGGAGTTTCGATAGCTTTCAATTATGTGTTCTATTCTTATTATTATTATGTTACTAATAAATTTTTCTTTTTATACATTTCTATAGTAATATTAATTTTTGTAATACCTTCGATTAATTTTTCAAAACATTGTGCAATATTGGTTCCTCTATAAGCAGATGTTTCTTCAAAATATAATTCATTTTTTTCAGCAAATAATTAACCTTCTTCCTTTGTGACCTTCCTTGAATTGTTTTGTCTTTCAACCAAATCAGTTTTATTACCAACCAGATACATAACAACATCTTTATTAGCTGCTGTTTTTAGTTCTTCCATCCATCTTGTTAAATTTTCAAATGTTTTTTCTTTGGTAATATCATAAACTAATAAAGCACCTCCTGCTCCTCTAAAATGATTTTTTGTAATAGCTCTGTATCTCTCTTATCCAGCTGTATCCCAAATTTAAACTTATATCTTTCCTCCATCTTATAATGTCACAGTTTTTGTTGCGAATTCGATACCTACCTTATTTTAATATAATTTTTTACCAATAGTGGGTAAATTGTTTCTTGGTTATTGTCCTCTCACATATTAATTTAATATATAGGTTTTTCCTACTCCTGCATCCCCTAATAATACAACTTAAAATTAGATATAGCTATTACTTTTATAATTAATGTCTTCCATATTTGAAATTTGTAATAAATAGTAATATAAATTATACAAAAGTCATAATTTCTTCATCAACTAATCCAAACGTTTTTATACTTTTTCATCAATCTCCAAATTTTAAACTTATCTTTTCTTTTTTCTTTTTTCATTAGTTTCTACTTCATCATCAGTTGTCAAATCTAAATCATCATTTAATTGATTCTAAGTAAAAACAAGTATTTATTATGAAGTTCTCTAAAGCCAAGGTGCTTCAGGTTTATTTTCTATAAGATTAGGCTAAATATTAAATGAATCACAGTTACTTTAATCATAAATAAAAATTCTTTTTTAAATTCTGGACAAATATTTGGTGGTTAAATATCTGGAAAATTAAGAGATAATTTGCATTCAAAAATTCCTTAACCATATAAATGTATTTTTATAGTTGGAAATCCATTAAAAATACTTTTCTCATTCATTAAAAAAGTTAAAATAGACTTATTAAAAACATGAGTTTATTTTTTATCAATTTAATTTTAAATTAAAAGTTTTAAATAATCCAATTCATCTGAAACAACATTACCAACTTATTCTCTTATATCTTCTACTTTCATCTTAGCATTTGTATATTAAGATAACTATTAATTATTATTATTATAACATATTACCAATAAATAAATTATAGCCATATTGTATTTTATACCAATTATATGTTACACTATTCTCTCTGATTTCAAAACCATTTCATTTAATAAATCTTCACTCTTTTCTGAATCAGCATCTTGATGACTTGAAATACTATTCATTCTATCTTTTTATGATTTCATCCAATAATTTTCCAATTACTAAAGAATTATTAATGCTTCATTGTATTTGTGCTAAAATATCATACTTGATGATTTAAATAATAAAACATCTTAAGATTAAAATATTAATCCTATATCTTTTTAATCAATATTTGGAAAATATACAGAATCACATTATTTTTTATTTTAAATTGTATCTAAAATTGTCTTTATATATGTTAACATTTAAAAATCTAATTTATATTTAGGTTCTTTAACATTTTATTGTGTTAATTAATTAGATATTATACATGCTTTGTCTATTTATTACAATTTAATTTCACACTTTAATTTTAATATCAATATCTAATTTGTTTATTTGGCATCATTAAATGCTTTAAGTGCTTCTTCATAAGCATTATTATGAAATAACAAACTTCCACTCCAATAATGAATCTCATCTGAATTATTATACTTAACATATTTATTCATATCACCAAAACTTTATGCTGTACTAATCATTATATTTTATATTACTCTCCTTTTATCTAATAACATTTAGCTCTTTCTAAATATGATTCTGAATGTTCCTTATTAAAATGAATTGCTGTTGTAAAATCCTTTATAGCTTCTTTCAATCTCATACTTTAAGCATGTAAGATACCTCTTATGTAAAAGTGATCACTTATACTATCTTCACTTTTATCAATAGCTTTTTCTAAATCCTTCATTGCAGATGTATATCTTCTCTTATAAGATTTCATTATTGCTCTAGCAAAAAATAAGTTAGGCTATTTTCCTTATTTATTGAATGCTAATTCTAATAACTATTCACATTCTTATACTCCATCATATAATTTATCAAGTAAACAAATTGAACATTTATAATAATAAGGTTCTAATTTATTTGGAAATATTTCTATTGCTTTGTCAAGCAATTTAATTGATGGTTCATACTAACCTTATTATTTTCATAAAATTTACATTTTTATACTAAAATAAGAGCTTCAGCAACATATTTATTATATAATTATCCTCTTTCTATTTAATTGATCATTTCATATGATTTCAGAGCTGAAACATAATCAGAAGTACAAAACTATGCATAACCTAAAAATTTATAATAAATTGGCAATAAGAATTTGCTAATTGATTTTAATTCTCTAATTAATTAAAGTCCTTATGCAAATTATCTTTTCATTAACTTAATAGTTCCATTTACAAAAGGTTTTAATTTATTGATACATGTAAAATTCCTTTATAATTAATCTGCTCTGGATAAGTGTAATTAAGCTTCATAAAAGTCCATTAGACATATTTTAGACTTAATAATATAAGAAATAGCTTTGGCACTTAATTAATGTGATGTTGACATTTAAATAGCTTGCTCAATATAAATCTAAGATTCCATAAAATTTTCTATAAATTATAATATTATTTACTTTTTTTAAAGTATATTATTCCTTTTAATAATAAAGCTTCAGCATTTTCACTGTCTTACTATAAGATTGTATCAATTTTAATTAGTGCTTGGTCAAAATAATTACATTTAATTAAAGATAGACAATGACGTGATCTACCTATAAAGTCTGTATTGTTTAATTTCTCATAAATTTCTAAAGCTTTCTGATGTTATTTTAATGCTGAATGACATCTAGCTTTATATTAGAGTGCCTATTTATCATTTGGATTATGAAGTAATGCTTATTCTATAAGTTTAAGAGATTCATAGTATTTTTATGCTTTAAATTCTAAAACAGCTGATTAAATGTAGCCATCTAAATAATTTGGATACTCAGACAAACATTTATTGAACTTATATTAAGATCATTAATTACCCAACTTCTTGCTTTATCAAATTAATTTAATTGTTTGTATGCAATTCCTAAAATCAAATAAGTTTTTTTTGAAAATGGACCCTATTCTAACTTTGTAATAACTTGTATTGAGTTTCCAACTTAAATCTCCTTAATCATGGTTTAAAATTAATCTGTAGGGATGACTTTATTTTGAATGGGTTCTTTGAAAAAGCTCCTTTGAGTTTCCCTTGAAATTGATAATGATAATCCTCTTGTTTCAACTGTATTTTGAGTTTGTCTTCTTCTATTAAATTTGCTTGATATTATTACTATTTAATAGTGAGGGATCTGGACATAGGAGACGGTTTCTCAATTTTATCTTAGGATACTGGCATTTACAATTTATTTCTCTATTGTTAGTTATTGAATATGAATTTCTGAAATACAGGAGACTATATGTAAATTTTCATATATAAATTAATTATATTATTATGAGAAGTTAAAGATTTTGAATTTGTGTAAGAGAATTTATAGATTCTTATCAAGACAGAAAAGTATCTGTAAAATTAGTTTTTAGAAGAAGGGAATTTAATTATATACTTATTTAGAAAACCAAGAGCATATTTAAATAGTAAATATTAATCCATATACATTATTCAGAATAAATAAAAAATGTCAAAAAAAAGTTAATTGATGATAAATTAACAATCAAATTTCAATAAGGTAAATTTAACTAATCTGAAAATATCACCATTTAAATGCTTTATAAAGAATTTTTTAAAGTACAATAATATTATTAATATCAGCAATAAAATATTTTTATTGATATCACAAAGTTAATTGGCAATCAAAAATAAATAAATTAAAGTAGGGCAAGAGAAGTTGAAATGTAAAATGCAAGTATCATCATTTCTTGAATAAAGAGAAATAAATGGAAAATCAACATATGTTTGTGATGATGATACAAATTATGATGAAAAAGATTCAGCAGAGAAAGTGCAGAATCTAGATTAATTATTAGAAATGGAAGCTCAACCAGATATATAGCATATAACTATGTTAATTTAAGAATACTGATTTTATTATATGTTGTCTAAATAAGAAATTCCAAAAGGATGCTTTAGAAATACTCAAAATCTAAACTTAAGTAGCAAGAGTAGTTGTTGATTAAGTTAAGATGCTAAATATTGCTGAAAATAATATTAATAAAATCAAGTACAAATATTAAAGAGAAAGTAGTTTTTATTAAAAACAAATTAAATTAGACATCTAAGCTTGTTAATATGCGAATAATTGATATAATATATCCAAATAAATCAAATAATTTATATAAATTGATTATCAAATGTCATCATTTTATCATAAAAAATTACATCTGTTAATCATAAAAAATTATATTTATTTTTAATGAGTAACATTCATAATATGAAGTATTTAGTATTATAATAAATAATTTGAACTTTGTATTAAGTTTTATCATGAATTAAAATAAATCTCAAAATTCTTCTTATAATTTTTTACACAATTCTGTATGCATTCTACATCTACATTATTTGCCTTGATTACATTACATCTAATTCCACAATACTTTGTTATTCTAACAGCTTATTTAAATTTTGATATTCTCTCTATTACTTCTTACTCTTATTTATTTTACATATATAATTATAATATAAATATTAAAAAAAATAAAAAAATTTATTTGCTTCTCTAAAGTTATTCAAAAAGATTTCTAAATAAAATCTTTGATTATCAAATGCATACTAAATTTAATTTATTATTGAAATTAATAAATATTGATTTAATCTATTAGTCAATTTTTTAGCATTAAAGATATTTAGATAATATTATTAATTAAAATTACAATAATGTCACTTTTACACATTATTATGAGTTTAAAGTATAGTTCATTTAATATGAAAATATCCACCTTAGAGTGAAGGAACTTATAAAAAGAATGTAGATTTCATGAGATCATTCTTTAGTTTTGAATCATTATTTATGAATACTTCAAAATATGAGGGAATTTAGTATAATGTAGTATTTATTAATATAAGAGATTTAAAAAAAGATTTAATGAATTCTTTAAAAAGCATGTCAACATATATAATTTTATATATATAAATATTAAATCAACCATCAAAATTCATATTGGCTAAGGTATTTTTAACATGTGCTCTTGCTGTATTTGAAAATGGACTAGGTATAATAGGGGAATTTATAATTTATATAATTTAAGGTGTATTATATTCTACAGCAACAGCTAATCCAGAAGATTTCTTACTTTTAATTGCAGTTATTTCAGTTTCTAATCTTTCAATTTCTTTATTTTTAGATATAAACCAAACACATATTCCCATTAATAAAATTGATACACATATTGGTATTCCAAAATATATAATTAATTTATAATATGATGGTTCATCATTATCATAAGCAAAAATAGTAATATTTGTATATCTTTAGAATACAACATTATTTTGAATATTATTTTAAATCATGATAGTTTCATTTTAAATTATTTAATAATTCTATTGAGTATTTTTTTGATTTTTTATAGGATAACAGATAATATAAGGATCTTGAAATTTAAATTTAGTAAAAAATAATCCATATTTGGAAGTTCCAAAAAAGAAGTTTTCCATAGAAAAATTATTTTAATCAGTTAAATGACTCATTGTGAGATCTATATTTGTTAAATAAAAGAAATCTATATCTATTGATCCTAATAATGTATATTATGGAACATGTTTAATTTAGAGTCCATCAAATTTAGTCACAAACATAATATGATGTTTATTTTATCCTTATAATATAGCAAATTATTCAGAAACATCAACATCTTTGATTTTACTAAATGTTTCAAATGAATTTAGTTCAATTAATTCTTGTTCAGTAAAATAATATTCTACACAAATATATTTATGATGATATTAATATACAACAAATATATTGTTTTTGTAATTATCAATTGCAATAAATTCATGTTTGATTGTTTAAAATTTGAATTATAATTTAAGTGAAATCTTTATAATGACTACATCCATTTAATAGACAGAAATACATGACTATTCTTCATCTAATAGAATGAGATAGATGATATGATCAATTTTCAAAATAACTAAATCTTTAAATCTAGTATTTGATATCTAATCAATAAAATGTAATTCATTTCCAATTATTTTATAAAGATCTAAACCATCTTAACCAACACAAGAAAAAATATAATTATCATATTCTTTAGTAACTCCTCTCTCTTTTCTTTATTTAATATCACTTAAATCTCTTATCTAAAGTTTAGCTACTTTTTATTCCATTTATTAAACACTAAATAATACTGCACCTCTAGTTTGAAACAATATTCCTAAATTACTTGTACTACAATAAAGTAATTAAGGCATTTCAGCCATAGTATCTAAACCTAGTTCTTTGAAATCTGCTTTCCATATAATTTTAGCAAATTCACCACTAAAGTTCTAATAATTGAATTTTAACAAATATAAAAAATAATCTGAAGTTATTAATATTACACCATCTTTAACATGTATCATTGTTACAATATTCTCAAATTGTTATCTTTTAGTTTCAAAAATTAGATTTAATTCTTTCAAATGACAAAATGGAAATGTTTCATTTGTAATTAATTTTGAATCCTTTGCTTAAAAAAGAGATAGTAAAAGTGTCTCTTCTTAAATAGGAATCTAAAATTCAAGTGATTCATTTTGTATTTATCGTATTCGATAAGATTAAACATTAATGATTAAGTAAATAAAAATAAACATTTATCATCATAAATTTCAAATTTTGAAGGCAATCCTAATTTTAAAGATATGAAAATATTTGAATTAAAAATAGTCATTTAATAAAATATAAGTCATCATTATTATTATTAGATATTATTGATAATTAAATGTTAATTGCTAGGTGAAAATGGTCTAGAACTTTATTATGTATTGGTTCTTCCACTAGTTGGTATTGATAAACTATATCCTTTTATACTCTTTGCAATTTTTCTTTCTTCTTTTCTTAAACTATAATACCATTTGAAAATCATAATGACTAAATATTATTATGATTATTAATACTTATTAATGTAAATATACAAAATAATAATGTAATTAAGATAATTACTAAATAAGATTAATGTTAATATAAATAAGTAGAAACCAAATTAACTTAAAAATTAAGATGATGTCTCTCTATTGTAGTACCATTATAAGAAACATTATAAACTAAAGAATAGATTTCAGAATTATCTTAATAAATTTGACAATCAATTTTTAATGGTATCAATTATAATTGACTACTAAAAAGTTGAGTTGCAGTGATACCTATCAATTCATTATTTCTTAATTCAAAATCTCTTAAATTATATTTTATGATATCATTAGATAATGAAGTACCAAAATTAAATGCCACCATATGTCTACTATTACCTTAAATAATTGCATATTCATTATTAACATCTACATCTTTTATTTTATTAGTATAAATTAAATTTTATATTCTCCATTCAGTATCATCTACAACATATTCAACAATTGCATATCTTAATTTCCATTTATATCCAACAAATATATTGATACCATTTTTTGTATCTACTGCAATACCACCTTCCTGAACATCAATTTTTCTGACTTTAAAATCTATTACATTCTCATAACTATTCATTTTAGCAATAATCAAACCCATATAACAATCTAAAATGTATAAAGTTGTTTTAAATATAGTAAAATCTTTAACACATAATTAACTTTATCCAATATCTACATGATTTATAGTTCTATAATAAGTAAGATTATTTAAATGATAGATATCTATGCCATTTAAACTTACTGCTGTATATATAAAATCACCATATATATTTGTTAGCCAACGTTCTTATCTAGGAATCCATTCTGCAAATTCAATTATACTTAATGGCTATAAATAAACAACAAAAGCTTTTGTATCTGTAATTAATAATAAAATGTTATCATTCAAAATGATTTGATGAATATAATTAATCTCATATTTAGATAGATCATAAGACATTTTTTCTTTCAAATTATTTTTATGGATTATTACTAATCTCAAATTTGTAGAAATAATAGCAATACGATGATCATCTTAACTTACTAAAATAAGCTCTTCCATATTATCTTCTGAAAATTCTATTATTTAATATAAACTTATGCTTTCCTATATTGATTTTTATCTTAATTCACATCCTGTTCCATTCAATTATCCATCCCATGCATGTGGTAATTACAATATAGTACTTCTTATCCCTTCATGAACATTAAAATAAGCATTGTTATCATTGATTTCTACTATTACTTATCCAAAAATGCCATATATTAAAAACAAAAACATTTATATGCTTAAAATATTTAAGAAAGCATTTTCAAAAAATAAGAAATCTCTTACATAATCATTTTAGTCAGAACAACCAGAACTTCCTCCTATTCATAAAGCTTCAACATAAGACTTTTAAATAATTGATGAAAAAACAATGGATACAATTTAAGAAACATATCAATAAAAATAAAGAAGTCAATCATTTGAAGCTAGAGAAGAACCTCTTAAATAATAAGAAGAATTTATGGAATATGTAGTATAAGAAGATGATTCATTTTTTGGAATTGCTCTTAAGTTTAGTGTTAATGAAGGATATTTAATGAGGATCAATAATCTATCTAGTGATATGATTTTTAAAAATTAGATTTTAAAAGTCCCAATAACAAATCAACCTCGTTTTTCTATTGTAAAGATTCCTGATTAAATTAAACATCCTGAAAATATATGGGAATAAGAAAAATTTAGTTAGAAATGTAATTCTTTATTAATATCAATTATATAGTTGAAGTGATTTATTGTAATAACAAATAAAATTCTAATGGAACTTTAACTTTAACAGGTGATATTGTATTGTTTGATCCATGCTAATAAGAATAGATATAAGATAAATAAAATAAAGTACGTATGAATGCTTGTATTTCTATGATTGATATCAATGAAGCTGTAACTTATGTTTTATAAAATTAAAATGGATGTTTAGATTATATTGTATAAATCCTATTATCAGGTATTGGCAAACCTTAATTTGAAAAAAAGTATTCTAAACAATTAAAAAAATATAAGAAATAAAAAAAGAGTATCGCAACTGTATTTTTTAGAGTATGATAATTTATTTAAATATATTAAGCATGCAGAAAGAGATAGAGATGGAAAATTATACACTGAAGAAATTAAAAAGACTAATTGTGCATTTATTGCAAAATTTATAAATGAAGCTTGTACTGGATATTCTGAATAATCTAAATTAACAAAATTACCATATATAGATTTAATTGAAGATTCTAAATAGAAAAAATAAATGGAAACTGATGAAATTTAAGATGTTATTGGTGAAAGAATGGGAAGTATATTATATATATATACATAATAATTTTAGAATTATGGGCTTGTTTAGAATATGTGCCTGTTCTAAAAGAAACCTCTAATTGTTTCACTAATACTACTTACAAACAAATTATTGAATAAATTCCAGCTGTATATCGTTTAGCTGAATGGGTTAAATAATATAATATTGATGATGATGGATCAAGCTTTTTAAATATGCTTTATGAAATTAAAAATAAATCTCCAATCATTATTATTATAAAGGATTTTGATAACTTTATATTTGGAACTTATATTTCAACAGAGATTCATTAATATAGTTTGGGATTTAAAGGAAATGGAGAAACCTTTTTATTTAATTATGATTAAGAAGTATAAAATATATTTAATTTATTTTAGAAAAATGAAATTAAACCATATTTTTGGACAGAAAAAAATAGAGATTTTATTTATTGTGATGAAACAGGTTTAGGTATAGGTTGTGGAGATAAATTTGGTTTATTTATTGATCAAAGTTTAACATTTGGATATTCAAATCCATGTGAAACTTTTGAAAATATAAGATTTACTAAATCTGAAAAATTCAAAATTATGCATCTTGAAGTTTGGGCAATTTTGCAATAATGAATATAAAATTCTCTTGTTATTTATTAAAATATTGTTTTCTTTCTCTCCAGTAAAAAATTAAATGACATATTTTTTTTTATTTCTTTTCATAATTTTATATAACCTTAATTTAAATATAGTTTCCAATTATTAAAACATTTCTTCAGATTTAATTAATTTGTTGATGATTAAAAAAAATGTATGCAGTAACTATTTTATTAAATCAACTAAATTATATATAATAAAACTAGAAAATACCATATACATGTCAAACTTATTTACATTTTCTAATGTAAACACTATTAAGGATACTGATTCTATTAGTAATAAAAGAAATTTACTTATATTTGAGAAATACATCTAAAATAAGCTTAAGAAAACAACCGTTGTAGGATTATCAAAATAAAAAAATTTAGATTAGAGTATTAACACATGTAATATGTATAAAGAGAATCTTAAACAGAGTAGTCAATTAAGTTTTAACAATTCTGATCTTAAATCTCATCGATTTAATCAATCTGAAAAATCTTTAGCTTCTATTTTGATAAATAAATAAAATGAAACAAATAGTATTAAAGCATCTAGTAGACCATCATCAATACACAAGAAAGTTAGCTTTTAAAATCTTGTTCTTGTAATAAACACAAATATAGGAATATAGAAAAAAGAAAAATTGATTGATAAAGAATCAAAATTAAGAAATAGATAATTTTTCAATTCAAATCAGATTATTTAATAATGATACTTTTGAAATTCATTTAAATTTTTATTTTTCTTTTTCCTACAACTCCCTTCTACAATTTATATTATTTTCCGATAATTTATTATTCTTATTAAAACAGTATCATATAATTTTTTTTAATTATGATCTAATCTTTTAAAATAACTAGAAAACTCTAAATTAACATTGATTCATCAACATAAAGTGATTAATAGAGTACTAATTTTCAATCAGAAAGAAATCTACTCATCTCAACACCATCTTTGCTTTAGAAACTTAAATTAAAACCTATTTAAGAATTCTCAATTATTACTTAAACAAATAACCATTTTTAAATGAAGTCCTCAATCAAAACTAATCCTTCCTTCTAGTTAAATGATAACATAGATTAGTTAAAATAATCATGTTTAAGGTAAAATTAGAAAAAAGTGAGCTTCTGTGATAAAGTCCTTATCATTGAAACTTAAAAAGGAGTTATAAAGAGGGAAAGAATATCCACAAAAGATGAATAATAAAATTATTCCAGAACACCAAAAAGAAGAAACTGCATTTTAATTCATCCTTAATAAAGAACTTTGAAGACCTGCTAGTCAATTTTTATTGATCAACTTTGAAATCTGAAGAAAATTTGAATATATATTAGTTTATAATTTATTTAATTGAAAAAAATGGCCTTAGATTAGAGATCTCCTTTTGAATTAAGGATCTGGCACTTTTATACAGAAGAAGAGAAATCAATTACTCTTTTGAATGCTTATAAATAAAGAGTTTTGTTTTCTGAAGATATTAAGTCTTTGCTTCTAAAAGATAGATTAAATACATGGTCATATTGGGGATTTCCAGCTGCTTGTTATGCTCTATTTCATTATACTGGAGCATTGTAACCATACATAGCTACTAAATATTCATTATCTACATAAAGATTAATTCCTGCAGCAATTTCAGGTATTCTTTGGCTAGGTTGGTTACACTTTAATCCATTTTACAATGCCTTATAAAAGTAATAAGTATTTTCATAATTATTCTAGTGAGAAGTTGCATTTGCTAAATTTAATAGAAAAAAGAGTTGGATTAAATATGAAGGCACTTAATGAGTAAGTTCCTCGTACTTGGACAACTTAGGAGATTCACAGATAAATAAGAGAGTCTTACAACAATAGACATGGTTTCTTCACAAATATACTTTATCCAAGCGAGGAAAGAGCATCCCCTTTATAAGATATTTCAAGTTATCCATTTAAATATAGAAGAGATAAGATTGTAAAATGATAAACAATGCATCCTACACATAATAATTATCAATAGCATTAAAACTTAATATGCCATTATCATAAGCAGCTATGATTTGGTCATTCTTATATCGAATACTATTGATTCCTCTTTGTTTTTCATTCATCATTTATTGGCATTTCTGAAAATTTATTTGATTAACATCTCAAACTTGAATTGTTCTATTTGTTGAACAACTTAAAATAATTTAATAATCTTTTAGTTTCATAATTTCTCATAGATTTTACAGAAATCCATAAATCCATCTAAATTTATTATATGATTTCAAATTTCTCTAGATCATTGAGTTTTATTAATCCATCTTCTAATCCTATTAAAAATTAAATCTTCTTTTAGTAGTTTTTATTGATTAAAAATTGAGAACCTACTTCATTAACAATATTTAAGAAGTAATCATGAATTTTAATTGAATAGGAATAATGAGTTGGATTTTTTTCTATTTTTTTAATCAACTCTATTGTTTCTATATGATAAAATCTAATAATTCTAATCTCTTTAGAGGTGACAATAATTAATGAATCAAATAAATCTGATCTTCAAATCGGCATATGCTTTGCATTATATTTTCTATTGATAAATTTTTAATCATCAATATCCCAGATTCTAAGATAATTATTTAAAGATGAGACAACAAATATGATAATTATATTAGTTAAATACTATATGTTTTGTCAGTATTAATGGATAAATCTATAACTCCTAAATTATGATTTTGCAATATCTCTTAAACTAAATATTAAATTTATAATCAGTTAAATCATTTAAAATATATTTATTTATCATGCATATTCATTTTTTAATTTTAATTTCTATTCAGTTTAGGATAGTAAATTAAACTCTTTTTAATTATTTCTCAAAGTTTACAATTTACGAGCTTTTTCTCTTTCCTATATAATTAATTATTTTCGATTATGCTAAAAATAGATCAATATATTAATATACTTCATTATATTGTGCCCACATCTTTTCATCCTCCTTCTCTTATTACTTTTTCTGTTCATTTTCTTATCTTTATTTAGCTTAATCATTTCTGATTTGTTATCTTTATTCTTCTGACATTCCTTTGTAATGGTAAGGTATGACTCTATGAGGAGCCAAAGCACTTTAACAGGTTGCAGTACTTTATGTATAATAAAAGAGGATTGTACTTCTCTGTCCAGACATCATTATTCATTATTTCTTGCTGATGTTATTTTTTTTCTTATTAAGCTAATGCTGCCATATATTATTCTCTATCCTGTTTTTCTTATGCCATTTAGTTATTAATTTGCTGATTTGCTATTTCCATTTCAACCCTTCTTCTCTGTTGTTCTTGATCTAAGTCTTTTAAGGCCTAATTAATTTGTAAAGTCTATTAATCATATTATTATTAGATCTGCTTATTTAATTGTTTTTTGGCCTGGTTCTCTTGAGTTTATTATTATACCCAATCTCTCATTTACAGTTACTACAATTTTCTTCTATCTCCCGCAGCTAAAATAGAGAATGAAATAGGATGACTTACTCAAGTCTTCCCCATCTAACATTTTCAAATTGGAAACTCCGACTTATTATTTCATTTATGCATGATTGTAAGTAGGGTTTTAATAATGACTCATTAAATATTAATATTTTAATTTTCAAGCATTATATACTCCAATAACAATAGCATGATCTCTTTCATATGGTTCTAAAGTCAATTATTCTAGAGGTGTAAGGCCTTCATCCTGTAAACATAATACAATATTATTATACCTTCAATCTTTGCACTTCATGTTAAAAGACTACTTCAGCTCTATTAGTGGAATCTATGCAATTAGCTTTAATGGAGATCATAAAATGACCACCTTTCTTCAAGAAATATTGGGAATTCAAACCAACAATTCTAGCTTGATCTGGTTATGCAACATCGGCAAATACAACATCAACCATTCCAACAAGCATCCTGTACTCAAGAGGCTTTCTAGCATCAGCAATAATAGGAACAATATTTGTTCTTTTCTTAGCCATATTGACTAGATCTCTACCTGATCTATGAGAGAATTCAACAGCATATACGACACCTACACTAAATTTTATATTATATACCTTATGATCCTATGATGTCTGAAACATGAGAAACTGTAGTTCCAGATGCAGCTCCTAAATATAATACTTTAGCACCAGGCTTAATGAAAATATCACTCACTCCACCTATCACTCCTGCTGCAATCTTTGATCTGAATGGATTCCAAACTCTATATTCTACTTTCTCTCCTGTTTATTTATCTTCAACAGAAATTCTTTTTTCATTATAAACTGATTCTCCTGGTACCATATTTTTAGTAACCAAAGCCTCTTATTATCCTTTAGCCACAAAAACTCCTTCCAATCTTGGATGAGGAACTACAAACGCTTTTGGAGGTCCTCCAAAACGACCTCCTCTTCCACCTCTTGGGGCTCCTCTGCCTCTTGGAGCTCCTCTTCCTCGGTCTCCTCCTCTACCGCCTCCTCGTGAATCTCCTCTTCCACCTCTGAAATCTCTACCCATAAATTATAATTTAAAATTAAATTTTTATTCAATCCAACAATATATTCAATTTATTATTCAACTCTACTTTTCATCATCACTCTATTTCTAGACAAATATCAGTATTTGAGACTTTATTTGTCTTATTAAATGGCCCTGTAAACATTTTCTTCTCAACTTTGCCTTCTTTCAACTTCCCCAAACTATACAACGAAATTATACACCATCTCACTTCCGTATTGTCCTAACTTATATAAATTCCCAATTAAGTATTTTTAGGAACATCTCCTTTATTTAAATTAAAATTAAAACTCAAATCTTTGATATAACCATTAACAATATTCATATTCTATTTTGTTTAACACAATTTCAATAATTTATCTTGAATCACTTTACCATCATTGATTAATTGAATCATTATTTGATTGTCTCCATTATTAGGTAAATTTGATATTGAATGTATATGTATATCTAATCCTGTTTTTTGTTTCTAATTTAATTTCCTAATATCTGTTCGAACATCTCCTTAATGAATTTAAAATTCAATCTTCTCCTTCAATTTCTTAATCAGCTTATAATCTAAAGGGGTTTGTAATCTAGGACTCTTATATAATTCTGTGAATAATTTTGTTGTATATAATTTCTTATTAAAAACCATATTCATAGCAAACCATGCTATCAAAACATCATCATAAACTTCAATTAACACAAAATACCCTTCCTTACATTTTAACATATCCTCAATATCTATAATGAAAACAGCTGAATTTGGAACAATCATCTCTTATATACAATCATCTTCATTTTATTACTTTACAATTTCATTATTCTTTAAAATCTTCAAAACAACTTTCCTATTTTTTAACTAAACTTCTTAAATCTAAATAGTAACTGGTAAATATCTAGACACATTTGAAAGTTTCTTTGAGTCTTTTTCTTTTACTTCATCTTCTTCATCTTCTTGAGTATAACCACCTTTAGATTTGCTCATCCTATAAGATGGTGTTCTTTCATAAAAATCTAATTGCAAAGGTACTTCTTTAATTAATAGTTTAATCTCAAAACTTAACTTTTTATTATTTATTGTATATAAGTTTAATCTAAATTCACCAGTTTAAATTGTTGTTTTTTTAAAAACATTCAATTAAGTCATTCCCAAAAATTAATTATTTTAATGGATTATGAATACATAATTTAACAGATTATACTTAGAAAATTTATCCTATAAATACTTCTTTCCTACTCTAAATGTAGCATAGTAATTTGAATTACAAATATTTTTTGAATCAGTAGAAAATACATCTAAATCATCTTTTACCTAACATTATCTTTATAAAACATCATCTATAATCTTTTACTCAGATTAAATAGATATGCTGATTTATAGATCGTCTTTAGATACAAAATTGTATGTTTAAGTTAATTAAACTATAATTTAAGTATTCCATTCTGGATTTTCCACATTTTTAACTTTTTCTTCTTCTTAAATAGCAAATTTATTTATTGTAGGTAAATTCTTAAGTTATTCCTTCTTGCTCATCAAAACAAAATCTAATTAAATATTACTTTTAACCATATCTTTTTAATGAAATGGAGCTTATTAACCAGGAGGTTTAATTAAATTAACTTAAAATAAGCCTGAATCAATTTATAAATTATTTAGATCTTCTGTATCTTTGAATAATTGAGCCACATACCATCCTAATAATGCATTATTCTAATAAATAGCAATATAAACATAAGCATCTTTTGTAGTAAATCCCTCTTGCTCAAAAATGGATAATATATTACTATAATCTAATGAAAATTCTGCATGTAAATTATATCTTTATGATTTATCAGTAACTTCATTAGGAATCAAATTTTAAGTCATAACACAATCTGTTTCACTTTCATCTTTTAATATAATATCATTAATGAAGAACCCAATTTTCAATTTCAATTCATTATATTTTTTTGTATCCAAATTATTCAATTTTAAAATATCCATAGCTACAACTCCTGCTCCACTTATCACTACCTTATTTCTTGTACTACCTAAATCTGGTTCTTAAGGTATTTCAATATTTTTTTAAGATCTAACTGTTTAATCTCCTCCTTGTGTAGCCTTTAATTTACGTTTCAATTTGTTAAATTACTTAACATTAGTTATTTAATTAGATAGTCCATCTTATTATTATAATTGAAGGAGATGTCTACTTGTCTAACCTCCTTTATTTGTCCTATCACCTCTTACTGTTCTATCCCCTCTAATAGTTCTATCTCCTCTAATTGTATTATCTCCATTAGCCCTTCTAGTTGCCTCTTTTACATCTATGTTTCTCCTACTGTCAACCTAATCTTCTTAAATTAATTAAATTCTAATATTTTTTGTAGATCCTCTTTATGAATCTTTATCAAAATGTTTAATAGATTCTAATTTAATAATAGCATCACTAGATTATTGACTATTTTTCTCTTGAGTTGGTAAATGTTCCATACTGTCTATTTTTTTACTGAATCTACTTTTCACTTAATATTTCTATTATATGCTTGTGGTGGGAGATTCCTTTTATTTTTCATCTCCAAAATATTCATCATCATTGATCTAATATGTAGGTCTAAGAGTTCTTTATTTTTTAGCAGGAGATAATGGTAAGTCTCCAAATAATTGAGGTTCTCTCTCTCTTAAAGGTTTATCATATGCAAAAGCCTTAGCTAGATCTTTAGGGAGTTAGGTTTCATCTTTGATTTCTTACCTTATAATTTTACATTCTCTATGAACATGATAATGTGGAATATGATAATCACTTTCTACAAAGATAATTTCATCGAGATGTTAAGGCTATTGCATAATTCTAAAGTATAAACATAAATTTCCATAATAAGGATATTCTTTATTATATACTAAAAGATCTCGTGGTTTGTATTATTATTGATAGAAAGGCAATTTATATTTACCTATGTATAATGATCCAGTACGATCAAATAATTTAAATACAGTCCAACCAAGCATAGATAGAGATCCATCACTTTCAAATACCCAAATTTCAATATATAAAATAGTCTTATCATCTGCTTGAACATCTCTCATTTATTCTATTAAATTAAATATACATTTATTAGTTCTATAGGTTTCTGCTTAAGTAAGACAATCACTTGTTAATTTATATGCATGATATTCTTCAGTTTATTTAAATATTCCAAATGATATTCTAGCTTTAGTGTATTAAATAGGTAATTTTGATATGATATCCCATTAAATTGTAAATCCTTCTAAATGACTATAAGGAACAGTGGCATCTTCATTTGTTTCAAAACCTCTTTTTCTTTTCATTGTCATTTCTTAAGCCATTTTATTTATTCTTTCTTTGACAACTTCATTCTCTATTGAAGTTTTAATCATTTAAATATTAGATAATCTATCCATAGATAATTATCTAACTGCTTCATTTTCTTCGTTTCTCATATAACTTAACATTTAATCATTTATGCTTCCTGAGAAGTCTGTTTTCTGTCTATTGTGTTACAATATTGGTAATGAATGTTATTGATTCAATTCTCTCTTAAAACTTATTGGTAAATGTTCATAAATTGGATGATTTGTATAAGATGGATTATATCCTTATTAAATAGGTGGACGTATATAATAACCTATAGGTTATGCTTATTTAAGAAAATCATGTCTTAATTTTTAGAGTGTGTTCAAATAAATTGGATCTCGCATACCAGAATTTAGATAATCATTATGTAATCTATCAATTTCATTAAGAGTAGTCTATGTAGGATCAATATGAATAGGTTATTTTTTATATTTGAAATCCATCTCCTCAATTACTTATTCAAAAGGCTTTTTACGATTGCCTTCATTATAGTATTCAAGTTTTTCTCTAATGCGAGTAAGTTCTTGCACCTATTAATCCTACTGAAAGCTTTTCACTGGAGAGATTAAATGAATTGGTTGAGACTCAAACCTTTTATGCTAAGTTAATTAGACAGGTTTTGGATACTTGTCCTAATATCCATACAACTAACTAAATTGTAACATTAAAATGAGTTAGTGTTTAATGATAATATAAAATATAAGCGTATTTACATCCGAATTGTTTTCATATATATATATATATTTATTTATAACAAATTAATAATTGTTAATCATTTTTTAATAGGATCTAATTTCTTTTTGTTTTTACTTTCTTCTTTGTTTCTATTTTATTATGGTATTCTCTTATTATATGAATCTCTTAATCCTTCTTCCCATTATCCTTAAGACATTCTGACATCTGGGCCAAATAAATGTTTGACACTCCCACAATTACCTTGCTTAAATTTCATAGTGTAAGGTGGCAATTCTTACATTCCTTCAAAACCAGAATAGGTAAATTTCATTGTATTAAACTTTCCAGTACTGAAAGACTTTTTAAGTTCTACCTATTCTTTATAAGGTTTTGGAAATTCTGGGAAATCATGTCGATCTTTCTTAGGTATATACCACCATCCCTTCTCTTTCTTACTTAAATTTTCATCATTTGTTTGATATCTTCTTAATCCAGTTTCATAATCTGCTAAACTTCCTGATGCACTTAATCCTAAACGATGATTAAGAAGATGCATAAAATTAGCAACATTATCCTTATTTTTGATATCTTAAACATCATGTTATTTCTCTGAAAAAATAGTTTTTTTATCAGCAAGAGAATATGGTTGATTAGGTATTTTACTTAAAAGCTCTTTCATTTTGTTCTAGATATTAAATATATAATAGATATACAGCATCCCAATGTCGAAGTTGCAAAACCCATTCAATATCATTCTCTGTTATCTCTGGATGTTATAAGAAATGGAGATAAAAGTTCACATTTCTAGGTATCCTAACTTTATCTATAGTTTAAAGAGTTTTATGTGATTTTTCGAACTTTTCTTATTTATCTTATTTATCACCTGCTTTTTCGAGACTTTTTTAATCTTTTTGAGGTGGAGATTTTTTCATATATATAATTATTTCAATATTAAATATCAGTCAAATTATTTTTGATAAAATTTCTTATGGAGTATATTTTGAGTATTAATCTTAATGGAATCATTGTCAATAATAATCTTGTATTTGATATCTATTTATTTAATTTCAAAAGGAAAGGATACATAATTAAAAATTACATTATAAAAAGTACTACATTAAATACTATAAAAACTGCCAATTTCTATGCTACATGATCACTTAAATCTGAACTAAATCCATCTATCATATTATCAGTCAAATATCTAAAAGATGCTTAATTTAATAAAATGTATAAAAATACGTGTTAAATAATTAGATTAATAAGTTCTCGCTTCTTTTGTCTAATTGAAATTATTCAAATTCAAAATATTATTCTTCTCAGGATCATCAACTATCTTAAAATATACAGCATCTCCTCTTGCAACTGTAGTAAAATTGGGTTTAGATCCTAAACCTATAAATTTATCATAAATTGTTATTATGTATCTCAAATTCTCTATATATCTAGCAACTCCAATTGAATTACCTTAAGCCAATGCTCCTCTTGCAAAGGCTTAACAAGTAACAGTATCAGGAGATCCATATGAAGGTAATACATCACAAGGATCTGACATCATAATATGATCATAAACACTTCTATAATCTGAATTCTAAACATCAATATTCAAAGCATGTTGTTATTACATAGATGTATCATATGCATACATATCCTTTACATTTTATTTGATAACTTCATAAGGCTTTTGATTTAACAATTAAATTTCTTAATTATAAAATAATTGTCTTTCAGAATTATCACAAAATCTATAAAAACCTTCACATCTTGTTGTTATATTAAATTCAGCAATTTATTAATTCATATTATTCAATTCATTTTAAGTTACAAAATATGTAAATATAAAATATCCTTATAAAAGCATAACTGAAAATACAAATAGTAATATATGATCCTTATGATTTTAATTAGAATTAATAAACTTCTTCTTCTTTTTTCTTGATTTTAAAGTCTTATTTAATTCTGCCTGTTCTTCTAAATCTTCTTAGAATGATACATTTTCATCATCTTCTCCTACCTACAAATTACTGATGTAATTTTCACATTTACTGTAGAAATACTTAACTGTTTTTTCTGGAATATCTAAGAATAATTATAATATGGATAATCTCATCTAAGCTAATAGTATAATTGCTATCGAATAAATTATTAGAGACATAAATAACATAATAGCAGAAAGTGTAATTATAATAATTTCAACTTTTTCTTATCTTGTAGTTCTGTCATCTAATGCTAAAACAAATTAATCTGATACTGTAGATAATGCAATCCAATAATCATTTAAAAGATTGTATTCTACAAAGAAAACACTTGATTATTCTTCAGTAATCTCTCTTAATGGTAGATTTGATACTTCAATTCCTTTACTGATAATTTATTGAGTTGCTTCCATAAAATCATATTATTAGCTTTAACTAGTACTAAAATACATTTTAACAGCATCTGAAACCTTGAGATTTGAATAAATATCTGTTATTTTTAACTCACTCATTAATACTTCCTTATTTAAATCTTAAACATTATTTAATTATTTAATAAGGGCTTCTTTTTAAGTTTTTTCGTAAGTAGATGCATTTGCATTCTACCATACACCTAAATTCAACATTTTCAGATTTTATACATTTGTCAATATAGTTTATAAGGTTGCATGAATTTAATTTTCTTTACCAATAAGATTGATATTTTCTTCAATTTCATTATATTATTGATTTAAATAAAAGAATTCAAAAAAGGCTAAAGATGTCATTACTAAATATAAAATATTTGTAAACCATATCATTTTTTATATAATAGAAATTCTCCCTTAATTTTTAATTTATTCTTATAATGAAGCTCTTGATTTAAAAATATTATTATTAATATTACTTTCATTTTCTTATTATTATTCAATATTATTTTGAAATACACTTTGTTAATGTTCTTCATCAAATTCTTCCATAATTTCTTCTTTATCAATTTCTTGAATTCTATTTTAAAAGAGTTATAATGTTTTAATTCCTTCACCATAATCAAATTTTTAATCTTCTGATGATTTAACCTATGTGATTGATTAATTTTTTATAGACATTGCACTAACATCAACAGTTTAATCATGAACTGATGATAAATCATGAATAGCTGATACTTAATCAGTAGAAAATTCTCCTAAAAATATCTTTTTACCAACATTATATTTAAATTAAAAATTTGATTTTTATTTTTTTAATGGAACTAATCTATTTTCATTCTCTTTTTATTCTAATTTCATCATATAACCTAATTATTAATTATTTAATGTAACTGAATTCAATGTACATATGAATTCTTATGAAAGTTTAGTCTTCTCATCAATATATTCATTAGATTAAATTTATCCACTCATAATATCTTCAGGTATTTTATATTAAATAATTCCTCCTCCTTTAATTAAAAATTCACTCTTATCTTACAATTAAGGAAATATTTCACTAACCAATAATTTCTTATTCTAAATCAAACGTAAATCTAAACCAAGTAAACTTATACAATTAAATGAAATAGAATCTATAATATCATCACTATCAAATAATATATAACATGTTTATTTATATGGTTTGAATAATTTAAATTAAGCTATTATCATAACTGATTAATCTAAAGATGTTAATGATTTCATTTCTATAATACATGGAATAAGATAATTCTATTTATTTTTAACATAAATTGATCTTTCTTTCATCAATTTTTAATCAAATCCTAATTTCATCAATTAATCATGAGCTTTTTAAAAGATATTAGGAATTAAGACATTTAATTTTCTATTAACTAATTCATTTTTCATATATCCAAATACATGACATGCAGTATTTAAATTTATTATTTAACCAAATTTATCTTAAGCTAATGAAATAATCATTGTTGGTAAACTTTCCATACTTATTTCTTCCTTACTTGCCATCTATATACCTTTCCTTATATAAGATGCATCCATAACTCTAGATTTCTCATATAACAATTCACCATATTCTTAATCTTATACAACATCAATCATAAATTTACTATACATTTTTAAACTCTTTTATGTATTTTACTTTGTCTTTTGTAATCTATTCCATATCATATCAATTTCATTCATTAAATTATGTATATTTAAACCAATCTAATTCAATTTACCTAAATCTGGATAATCTTCTTATAATTAAGACCAGAAATCCATATTTATTAAAGTTACTCTTTCTATTTTGCTTTAAAAGTTCTTAATGATATTTAAATACATAGCTTCATTATGAGTATCTATTTATTCAACATTTTAATCATTCATCTCATCTTCAATAATCTTTTTATATCTAAATAATACAAATTCATAATCCATAGTGGGATTTAGATTTTAAGCTTAATTGAATTCTTATAAAGCATATTACCTTTAACCAATATGAAGTAAGAAAAATCCATATCTAATTTTTAATTAATAATCATATGGGAATCTCTTACTTGCATCCAAATAATTTTATTAAATTATCTTAATTAATTCCTTACCACAATCCGGTCTAATACATGTTTAATTATGAGTCTTTAAATATCCATCCAAAATTATATTAAATAATTAAGAATTCCAATTATGTAATCTTAGTAAATGATGTTATTATAATAATATCTGACTTATTGTTCCTTTCAAATTATCTAATAATAATAAATCTATTCTTTCTTCAGGATTTTATATAACAATTATAATCAATAAAGGTATTCCCAATAACCATGCATATATTGTACCTCTAAATATGACATCCTCTAGGATCTTACTAAAAGCTAACATTATACAAGTCCAATTATTAATTGCAATTATCATTTACCACATTTTGTATACATATAAATTATTATGTGTATTTTAATGATAATTATATATATATAGAGTTATATTACCAAATGCTATCAATATTATTTAAACATATTGTGATTCAATAAATGAGTAATTTAATACTTAAATCACAATATAAGTTTTTAAAATAAAATCATCAAATCCACTCTATTTTGAGAGTGAATTAGTATAGATAAAACGTGCTTCATAATAAAGAAATGAATGAATAGCACTCAAAATGTAGAATATTATCAAAAAAATAATTGCTACTATTGAATGAACAGTATGACTGCCTGTCCAGCATTCATAATTTGTAAATGAAAAGTGATAAGAATCTTTGCATGTCCAAACTGAAATAAATAAATCTACAATTGGCATATATAAAATTGAAAGCATCAAATTAATTATTGACTTTAACATTGTCATGGGTAGAGTTTTGCTGAGTTTCTCTGTTCTATTGCTTAATACTAAATAGAGTAAAATTTCTAATGCTATGATACCTACAAACAAATAAGTTAATATCACCATTGCTGAATATTACATCTAATCATATTAAGGTGATAGTAAAACATAACCAGTTATCTAATTTACATATTTTGCTATATCATCATGCTTCCAAGCCTAATAAAGATTTCTATTGAAACAAATGTAAGTCATTTAAAATAGTTAGATAAATAATGATGCAATTGTAAATAACAATGATGGATCATCATCTATAAGCATCTACCTGGTTACTTAAAATAAAACATTCTTTATCTCAACAACAACTTTACCCAAAGAACTTTGCCCTTCTTTTGATAAACCATATTCAGATTTGGTTTCCATTATATATTTAAATAATTAGACTTTTAATTAATTAATCTAAAAAAACTTATAAGGTTTAAAATGATATTAAGTATCTTATAACTAAGTATATCTTTTATTAAACTAATTTTCATAATTAAAAAATAAAAAATGATTCTTATTTATATATACTTCAAATACATAATAATAATTTATATATAAATATTATATAAATTGTTATTTCAAAATTAATAGATGATGTAATAAAATCAAATATTATCATTTACTAGATTTTCATTTATGATAAATTTTTGTGATTCTTTAGTGTTTTCTTCAAAAAAACGAGATTTGGGATTTAATTTAAATAAGTTATTCATTTTTTAATTTTATTTGTATGTTTAGGTGAGATCATCACTTAATTTTCTTGTATTTTACCTTTTCAATTTAGAAGATTTAGATGATCCATTTATGCTATCTTTTTTATAAGTTTGATTGACATAATCATAAATCATTACATCTTCTTAAAAATCAACTTTTTTTGTTATTAAAACATCAATATTTTTCTCTGAATTTGCAAATTCATATTCTTCTCTTGATACTTAATGTGAATGAGAATAAACTTTTGGTTTATTCATCAAATCTATATTGAAAGACCTTCTTATAAAAAACTTTTCATCAATATCAGGTAATTTAATGCATTCCAATTACTTTTTGAACATATGAATATTAGTATCTCTTTCATCTGATTATTCTGTTTAAGAATGAGGAACTTAGATTTAAGGTAGAACCAATTTTCTTTCATGATGATAATGTTTTCTAGATATTTCATTCAAATTAGCATGTAAAACAAATTTTCGATCAGAATTTTACATTTACTAATCAAATCTATTTATTGAATTTGATCCATAAGACTCTTCAGTTTTTAAATTAAGCATTATTTAAATTTAATATATTGATTTCTTATCAAATGAAATTATATTCAGATTTTAAGCCAACTAAATCTGAAAATAATTATAATAATTATATTAAAAACAGTATTAAATTTATTCAAGATTTTCAAAGATTTAACATAATGCAAACGTCTCTAATTATATATTATTTTATTAAATAAATCTTCTAAATATCAAATTTTCTCAAAATAAGTCTTTTCTCTATAAACTTATAAACTTTCAAATTCAATTTTTTTGAGAATTAATAATCAAGATCATGATTAATATTTTAATAATAAATCATTTGTAGATTCTCTATAACACTTAATTTCTTCTTCACTATTACTATCACATTCCAAATTTTAATTACCTACTCCCCATGCTTCAATGTATGTAATAGTTGGTGTCTAAATTGAAGAATCAATCAAATCACCTAATATATATATATGATAATTGAATACCCTTTATATATGGTTCCCCTTATTTTGCTGCATAACTAGATTATTACATATTTTAAGCAGAGATCCATAATCTAAACTATTTCATATCTCCTCCAAATCCTAATCCTTTTTTGTTATCTGTTTTATTTATATAACAGTAATTTTAAGATCCAGATCTTTTTGATTTAAAAACATCATTTGCAACATTAAAAGGTGTATAAGTTGGATACAATTAAAATAATATTGATTAACTTGTTCCTTAATATGAATTGGTCTCTATCCATTAGGTTGAATTTAATGCTGCCACAATGCAATGTTTATTGTTTTTACCCTTTATTTTTTTTTATTTTACATTTTCTTCCTCATCACTATCATTTTCAGTACTATCATCAAATTTAATTATTATAAGTGTTGCACCTTTAAATCCAATTAAAGCATTGTATAATTAATCAAAATTCCATCCCCTTACACTTGTCCATAATAATTCAAAAGAGTCTGCTTCTTAAATAATAGAACTACTAATAGCCATATATCCAAAAGTTGAATTATTTATTAAATAAGAGGGTTTTTGAAATTTTGACAATTGATTATAATTTCTTTAAGAAATAAATAATTAATTGAAATATTTTGTTAATAATATTGATAAATAAGGAAAATTTTGTTCTAAAAATATTGTAAGTTCATAGAACATAATAGAACCAGCAGAAGATGTAAATAATCTACTTAAAATAGATCTTGTAGTGTATTCATCTTAAATTAAATAATCTGTAACAAAATATCCTTATTCCCATATGAAGTATTCAATCTCACTTAATAAATCAAATGCATCTAAATATGAGATTTTTTCTTAATCATAATCAATTTTTGCCATATTTATCTTTTAAATAGAAATTATTGAATATTATTCTGTTCTAGTCATCCTATTCAAAGTTTCTGATTTAGTCAATTTACCAACTATAAATATGAGGATTTTTATTCACCTAAATCTTCAAATGCATCAAATGATAGTCTTTCATCAGAATGATAAAAAACCATATATTTATATAATTTCAGAGCAATGGTTGGCCTATTTTTCAAGAGATATTGAAAACATTCTTCATTCAAATAATCATTCTTGTAAGTTCAATAATCAAATTAATAACTTACTCATCATGTCTAGATATAAGCTTCTTGTATAGTCTTTTTACTTATTGTCTCTCATCATCATTCAATATTGTTCGTTTTTGTGATCTTTTGGATATACAAAATTCATTTCCCATTTTATAATTAATTTTGGTAATGTAATATTAATCATCAACTAAACAACATATTAGAATAGTTAAAAACTGAATTTGAGTCTCTCCTTTCTTTTTAGCCAATTTATATATATTTATATAATTCTGTTTTAATTTTAGGAATTCAATTTAAATAGCTTAGTTTTAGCTGAAAACTTATTGAAATTGATAAGAAGTGATATTTAATTTAAGAAGATAATATCAATAGGAATATTTACTAAAGAAACTATTGAAATAAAATTGTAATTAAAATAATTAAATTTTATCTATGATGCAGCAAAGAGATTTCTATGGGAATGATTATATATACAAACATATCAAATAAGTAAGTTTACAGGAGTTTACAGATTAATTATTCAATCCCGTAAGACATTAGAAATAAATGGTTTTATTTACACAGAATGAGTAAAAAGAATAATAAGAGCTATATAAATATTATGTCTATTTGGGAGGGGGAGTATTTGCAGTTTCTGCTTTATCAGTTATTTTTTATAAAAAGATCCCTTTTCTTAATAGAATTGAGAAAAGATGGGCTAGAATATTGACAAAAGCATTATTACTTTTTGGACCTCTCTAAGTAATTTGATTTTTATATCATATAGGTATAATCTATATTTGGTCAAAGAGCTTAATATGAATTATTAGATAAATAGTTTATATAATATCATAGACAATTATAAGATTATATGTTTTCAGGTGACATAAGAAAACTTAAACAAGATATCTAAATTAGTCCTGTATGATTTAAATTTATATTAAGTTGGGGTTTTTAATATTATATAACTATGTTCATTAAATTACTGCATTTTCATCAATATCATCTTCTTAATGTCCAACATGTAATAATCTCTATAATTCTAATTTCAATATTTTATGAGCTATCAATATTGGCTTAATATTTGATTATTAATTTGCTTAACTCATAATTCTTAACTCAAGAGTTTTCAAAATAGTGTTCCATTCTTAAAAGATTTCTGGAGTAACATATGGTTATAATTCTTTTAAAGTACTTTCAATTTCCATTCTATAATTTTACCATTCCTATCTCACCAATAAAAATTACTTTTCAACATCATCATTTGTCTTTACATTTATAAAATGATTTAATGCTTAGAAAGTAAAAATCTATTGGCTAACACATAATGAAGTAAACCTATTAAATGATAGACTTCTTTCTTCATTCTAAATAATGTCTGCTTATTCATAAAATAAATTCATAGCATCTTTAAAATTGAATTTTTGATTTTCTATATGTCTAAATAATGTAATAAATTCATTATTATTAATTTTTTTATTTCCATCTAAATCTGCTGCTTAGAATGCATGAATTACAAACTCTTTAGTTCTTGTTGTAATAATTCTATATTTATTCATTACTTTAATAAGGAAATTATCAACATCAATTAATCCTTATTTATTTAAATTCTTAGGATCTGGTTCCTTTAAATTTTCTAAATCATTTTTTAAATCTCTAAGTTCATCTTCCATCATTTTATTTTCTAAATATACTTTCATATAATCTAAAGCTCTTAAGTATGGAACATGAAATTTTTATTCACTTTCACTTTAAACAACATTAACCCCTAAAGTTGACTCAGAACACATAAAATCATACCCTTATAAAAAGAAAGATGATTCTTCTATTGAAAAATTCAAATGTTCATCTTATAATATAGCAATCATTCTTGCAAATACATTAACTCTAAAAATAGATGAAAAATGAATAACTGAAAGTAGAAATTATAAATATTTCTTTTCAGCAACATTTTTAAATCCATATCTATTTAAAAAATTATTAAAAACAAATATTTGCATTTCTAGATCTTTTTGTGTTTCATTATCTTTGCTACTTCTAATTTTTTCATCATACAATTATGTAATTGTTCTTAAAACATTTTTTAAAGGCCAATAATTTACAACTTTTTTAAATAAATATGATTATTCTCTAGCTTTAACTGCCAATATTACTCCTGGATGCATCAATCTATCAATTACATTTACTTTATTTTATTTTTATTAAAAATTAAATTGCAAAGCTTTTGTAATTCTATTTTTTTTTTTCTTAAAAAGAATTTATTTTTTCTTTTCTTTTTCTTCTTCTTCATCTAATTCAGTTATAAGATATTCTTCTTCTTAAATCTCTGCATCTAATTCTACAGGCATTCTTTTACGTAAAGAATCAAATTCAACTAAAAATTATTCAGCTATTTATTTATGACTTTATTATTATGTTCTTAAAATATGAATCATCAATTTTCTAGTAAATGAAAATAATTAATTTAATAATCCTGCAAAATCATTCATAGATTTAGTTAAATTTTATTATTTTTAAATTTATAAATTATACAACATAATTAACATAGCTACTTATGTTTTTAATTGTATCTATTCTTATTTACTTAATCCAAATTTATTAGCTATAGAATTAGCTTATAAATTTTGACTACTTTATATTATAGAAGAATTTGAATTAATAGGATTTAAATTTGAATTAGTAAGCATTTATGTTTGAGTTAATTCATTTGTCTAAAATTCTTTTACAGTTGGTAATGCCAATTTATCAGAACTAAACATCTTTTCAAGTTATCTTTTATTAGATTTTTGATTCTATTTTGAAGAATTAGTATTATTTTTTATAGGTTATGTTTCAATTTTTTCAAATGATAATTTCTTTAAACTAAAATTTATTCTTTTTTAACTATTAGGCATTGGAGAAGCTTCATCCATTTCTGCTACTTCAGCAATCAATTTAATATTATTTTTAGAATCTTTATTAGTAGATCTCTTTTCATCACTATTTATTTCTGGAGGTTCTACAAACATAGATTATTCTGAATCACTCTAAATTTATTTTTCTTATGGTTCTTCTTTATCAAACAAATCTCTTAAAGTTTTCATATTACTAACAAATAAATCAAACATATCTTCCTTTTTCATATTTCTTATATGATCCATACTACCTGGCAATCCATCTAATATTCTAATTAAACTTGCTCTCTATTCCTTTGTTTATTATTAATGAGTTTAAATATTTTTATTATTTGTAATTTATTATTAATCATCTTAAAGGAAAAAACCCATTTATTCTTTAAGTTAGAATTCTTTAAAATGTTAATCTAATTCTTATTAATTGATTATTTTATCATATTATTGACCAATTAAATTTAAATCAGTTTATGTTTCATAAGTACGTAAAGGTATTTCAGTTTAACAATAAACAGAAAAAGTTATCTTTGGTGGTTCATCAACAATATCTTTAACAACAATATCAGGATTTTATTCAACAGATGTTTTTTATTCAACTTCTTTTAATACTTAAGATAATGATAAATCTTATTCATCTTCTTCTTCTTGTACATTAATAACTTAAATACCAGATTATTTTATATATTAAATTTTAGATATTTTATTTCTTAATTCTTTAATTTCTCTATTTAAATTTGATATTAAAGTAGCAGCACCCTTTTTCATAGTTTTATCTAATTCATTCTATTTAGTCAGTTTTTAAACTATTAATATTAAATTTTATTCATCTTCTTATTATGTTTTCAATTAATTTTCTAATTTCTATATGACTTTTTTTAGATCTAATATCTTTTCATTCAATTCATCTTATTATTATTCAAATTCTACTTATAATTCCAATTAATTTTTATAACCAATAATTTACATTTATTACTTATCAGACTCTTACATATTAATTGTTTTTCTAAATACTGTGATATAACCTTTAAAGATTGCAAGCATTAATTATCCTCTCTCTGTACATTAATATGAAACCTATCTAATTAATTCATTCAAGCATATAAATAGAACATCACTTGCTTATTACAATTTAGATTTATGATCAATACTTGGATTTTATGATATATTCTCTAATTGATTTTATAACCATTTTTTTAGATTAATAGCATCATTTCTCCCAGTAGGCTCATTCGAAAAGAAATGTGTACTAGTATGTTTCATGTCTTTAACTATCCCAAATATTATTCAGATAAGTACGTATTTTTTTCTTTATCGATAATTTTCTTTCGGTATTCTAAATGCTTGAAATTTCTTCAAAATAACCCTTTTCTAAACCATTTACTATTGTTGTTTTTAAATTTGACATAACATTTTTCCTATTACCACTTACTTCTTGTAAGTCTTATGCTACCCAATTCAAATTAATGTCAGAATATTTTTCTAATATTTAAAGCACATCATCGAATGTATTTTCGAGATTTTATGTTTTATAGTGATACCTTTGATTTTAAATCATATATTCCCTATTCTATTTTCTTTCTTTTTGTTTAAGAATGTATTCATTTAATCTTATTTCTGCTATTTATTACTTTTCTTTTATTTGTTATTACAGAGTTTTATGTCTAAATGAATCAGCAAGATGAGAAATATCTCTTTAAAAACTTGAAATTGATTATTTTTTGCTGGATCCATTTGAGTTTAGATTAGCTTTATAATCTAATAAATTTTTTAAGAAACCAGATGTAGTCCCTTTGGATTAATTTAATACTGGAGAGCAACTGTTCATTATTAATATGTTATTAATAAAAACTATCGAAAATTAAACTATTTGATAGCTATTTGTTTTCTAACAATAAATTTTATTCAACTTTAGAATTCTTAAAGATTTAATTTTATTAATATAATAATATATTGATATTTTTGAGTATTAATATATTCCTTAATAATTAGACTAATCAAGTTGTCTACTATACTCTTTTTTATTATTTATAAGATAATTGATTTAATAAAGACTTAAATTATGAATCCTTCAATATCCAAAACCATTTAGTTTAAATAGAATAAAGTTTTTTTATTTTTTTTTCATTATTTAAAATGATCATATATTTAGTTGTTCAGATTCCATTAATAATTATAACAATTATTATTTTAATATAATATTTATCATCTTAACTCAAAACTCTCTAAACATAAAGGGCAGTAATAATTTCTTTATTGTAATTAATTGTCCAAAATAAAATAAAATTCGCATCCTTGCCCATCACAAACTTTAATCTTCTAAGAATTATTCTTTAATAATGTGCTTCTTAATTCAACAATTTAATTTTCATGAAGTTAATATAACAAAATTTATTAAACATTAGTATAGGCAGGATTAAATTTCATCTAACAATTCATTTTACAAATATTCTTAAATTTACAAGTAGAAGGCAACTTAATTTATTCAAATAAGCTATTTTCCACTTCTTGAGTAAGACAAACATGTGGGCAATATAAATTAAGAAGAGAACCACTTTTTGTAAATTGCTAATTAAATAAAGTCTAGACATGATTCTCAGTATTTTGTAATAAATTTCCACTTTCAAATAGATCTCCAGTATCTCCAGATTTACTTTCAATTTAATTTGGATTTAATCTTGGACCTGGTTAGAAATTTATTTCTGATTAACTTGTCTAATCTAATTTTTGGGATCTATTAACTTATAATACAAAATTACAATTAAATAAGATTTTAACTTGATTAGAGGATCAAAGAAATTTATTTTTTTTATTCTCTCAAATGAGCTGGAAGTGAGTCCATTAATTTGACTTTAAATAAATCTTAAAATAATAATAATAAATATATTTCTATATGATATATATTATAACTACAGAAGAATTAATACACTTCTTAAAGTAATATTATTATAAATAATAGAAATAAATAAAAAGTTTAATAGTTTGAATATGAGTTTGATTATAAATTATTATTAATAGCAATCACTACATGCTAATTGATCTCAACCTCTTTTATTTTGTAATTTAACTTAAATTTGAAGATTTTGTAGTATCATTAGTATTATATGATAGCAAACAATAAATGCATATTGGAAGATATAATTAAGTATCAGATTTTACCCAAAAAAATGTACATGTATTACATTATTTTAAATTAAATGATTCTTAATATTTCGAGTAAATTGTTTCAAGTTAAATTTTCAATAATTTTCTTATCAATACATCAGAAGTATATTATTTTAACAATTTATTATTTATTTTTTTTCCACATATACAAGAGATTATTGATTTTTATTGATCCAATTATTATTTAATATTATTTTGAAAACAATCATAATGATATTTATGTTTACATTATGTTGTAATAGTTTGAGAATGTGTCTGTTGATGTTATTCTAAAGTTATTATGGAAAATGATTAATTATCTTCTTATTTGGAGTATTAATTATCTATATGCAATAGACAAAAATTGCATACTATTTCTTTATAGTTAGCTAATGAATAACCATTAGGATTGTTCCCATTAAGAAACTTATTTCTCAATCTAATTATTGGTTTAAAAGCAATTCGTATTTTATTTTTCTAATTTACTTGGCTTTCACTTGTACCAGATTAACTTAAATCAACTTTTTTTTTTATTTAAGAATCATAAAGTTTAGGGTTAATATCTTCTGTACTACAAGATGAATGTTTTTTTCTTCTCTTTTCATTGCGATTCTGTGGTCTAATATAAAGGGTTAATTTTTGGTTTAAATTAAAGCAACTACTATTTTTTTACAAAATCGTACTAAGATACTCATAGTCACTTATTTAGCTTTACATTATTTAAAGAATTAATTATAAACTAATATTAATAAGAACTATAACAAATATTCTAAAAGTCCGTATTTTTATATGATTTAATGTAGATTAAGAATTAAAAAATCAATTGACTTGTATAAAGCTTAGAATCTATGACTTATAAATTTTTGAAGTTTCATAATATATTTATAAATAAAAAAAGGAATTGGAGATTTATTTATAATTAAACAATAAAAAAGCTTATGATTGATTAAATTAAATGATAGTGAAAGTTTAAAAACAAAATACTTTTAATTTATATTATAATATATTAAATTAATAATTAATTAAAACCCATAAAAATAAAATTAATTCATTTATATAAAAGGAAAATTTATAATTAATAAAGCTTAATCCTTCCAAGATTCAAATTTAGAAAGCTATCCAAGTTTAAACCTATTTAATAGGTTGCGGGCAAGGCTCCTATTCCGGAAGCTGAGCTCGTTACAAAATTAAACAAACGAAATCTATTATATATATATTCAATTTTATCTCTTTTAACTAATATATGTTTTCAGTAATAAATATTAATGTACATAAAATATTATATTTAAAAAGGAAATCAGTTTTATTCAAATATTACATCAAAAATCAAAGTTTGAAATGGACAACAAATATCCTTAAATATGATTGTCTAATACTAGTATGTTGATTTTATTAACATTATTATGCAGTTTTGTAAAAATTAAATCTAATTTATTAAATTATGGGAGTTTGCTAGTCTCATTCTGATGGAAAGAAATCTAATAAATAATAATAACTTCAAATAGTGAGTGAACAAACATTATAAGAGAAAGTAAAGAACAAAGATAATGTTATTCCTCGCCATAAAACTATGCCTTCTATACATTGCTACTCAAAAGAAAAACTGGTTTCTTGCAAAAGCATGATTGTTTCTAAAATAAAAAAAAGAGTTTATGGAGAAGCTTTAGCAAAGTTCTATTCAGTTCTTAATTCCTAATTTGGTTATAAAAGTAAAATGTTTAATAATACTTAGATAATGATAATATGGGATTAGTACAGCATAATGTTACTGGTGTAGTAAGAGTTGCAAGAAACATTTTGAAACCAAATGAACAAGACTAAGATTTTGATCACTTAATTACTAATTTATAAGATCAAAGCTATGTAGTCAAAATTATTTATTTATAGAATTCTCTTCATTTTGCCAACATCATTGAATTATATTAAGATTCCAAAAGTTATTATGCAGTATAAGAGTATTGTAGTGGAGGTTTGCTTATTGATAAATGTGGATTAATTAAAGAAGAGGAAGCAATATATATAATATCTTAAATTTTAGATATTTTAGAAGAAATTCATAAGCAAGATAATTATCATGGTAGTCTTAGTATATCAAGTTTTGCATTATATGATTAAACAAATAATCATTATGTTAAATTAATTGATGTTATTCCAATATTTTAAGCTAAAGAAAAGTCAAAGATTAGTGAGATGTAAAAGGATGATCGTTAGGCAGTTGGTCTTATTTTATTTTAATTGATAACTAATAAACCAATTACTTCTTAAACAATTGAAATGATTATTAAAAGACCAAAAGATTTACCAACAAAAACTGAATGGTATTAATTGGTAGTATTATTGTTGGAATCAAGAAGTTCTATTATTTATGAATAAGTCTTATAAAATAAATAATATAGAGAAATGGTATAAAAATAGGAAGCAAGATATACTGAAACTATAATCAATAAATCAGTTAAAAAGACATCATATATTTAATAAAAAGTTCTAATTATTATGAATTCCATTTTTTTTAAGGAAAGATAATAATAATTAGAGAAGATTTTTAAAAAGAATGATGGAAATAGAAATGGTACACTTTCAAAAGAAGAACTTTACACTGCTTTAGGAACTGAAGAGATAATAGATGATTTATTTGAGAATATTGATTGTGATGGAAATGGAGAAATTGATCTTGATGAATTTATTCTACATTCATGTGATAGAAAATCATTAATAACAGATTTTAATTTAGAAGCTACTTTTAAAGAATTATCAAGAAAAGGTATAATTGTAGCATCAAATTTCAGTAGATTACAAAATTGTGATGAGGAGAAGATTGAAAATGACATGGTAGAATTCTGTAATAGTAAAAGGGTATTGAAATATATATAAATTTAGATGAGTTTAGAATAATTCAAAAAATTAATGATGGATTTGTTGTGAAATCTGTATTATCTAATTTAGAATTTATGATGAATGTTTCAAATTTATAATAATTATGAATTATATTTTAATTTTTTTGCTGATAGGCTATGCCTCTTGTTAATGTTAAGAAGGATATATATGGACAAATACAGGATGTAGATGTAATATAGTATTTTAAATTAAGTATGTCAAAACTTTTGTAGTTCATGTACAAATGGCTTATGTGACTAATGTCCTCCTTCTTATTATGGTGATTCAACTCATTGTTATAGTAATCATTAAAATAAACTAGGTTGTTATATTGGATGCACTTAATGTACAGATTATTAAGTTTGTACATCATGTCAATCCCCATACTACTTCCTTGTTCAGAATTTATGTTAACGATGTACTTCTCCATGTGAAACATGTGATGACTAAGGTGCTTGTTTAACTTGTATATCTGGATACATGGTAGTGGGCAATGATTGTTAAAAATGTTAAAGTCCATGTTCATAATGTTCTGGAGAATTATATAAATGCACTTCATGTAAACAAAGTCCTCCTTAACATTACTATCTCAGTGGTCAAAATTGTATATTATGTGAATTTCCATGTGTGAGTTGTATCTCCAAAAATATATGTACTTCTTGTAATTAAGGATACTATTTGAATATAAGTCAATACTGTATTAAATGTACTGAGCCTTGTTTGGATTGCAATGGTCCAACAAATTGTTTAAGCTGCATTAACTAAGAATATTATATCGACCTTGGCGATAATTAATGTTAAATTTGTAGTAATTTCGATTCCAATTGTTTAACATGTTAAGCTTACAACTAATGTAGTTCATGTAAACCAGGATACTATGTTTAAGACGATTTTATAGGTTCATAATTTATTTCTACTTGTAACAAATGTTCTTCTTAATGTCTCACTTGTTCTAATGATTCAAATGAATGTGTAAGTTGTAATAATATTTATTAACCTCCAACTTGTAAATAAATTTGCAATTCATCACAATTTTAAGATGGTTTATTATGTTACTCATGTGCAAGTTAATGTTAAACCTGTAGTTTAAAATCTATTTAATGTTTAAGTTGTTCTATTAATAGAATAAGTCCTCCATTATGTCCATGTAAGGAAACCTATTTTGATTTAAATGGAGACTGTACACCTTGTATTTCAAATTGCAAATATTGTTTTAATGCAATCTCTTGTATAAAATGTTAAGATGGATTATATTTATAAGAAGGTATTTGTGTTTAATAATGTGATTAACTTTATTATATAAATAGAGATTCTAATTGCATATATTGTAATATAAATAATTGTATTGAATGTAATATTAATGGAATTTGTGATTAATGTTAACAAAATTATCTTTTATATAAAAATTAATGTTATTCTTAATAGTGTAATTAAGGATAATATACTATTGACAATGAAAATTGTTTAAATTGTGATATTAATTGTTATAATTGTTTAAATTAGGCAGATAATTGTGTTGAATGTTATAATGATTAATATCTTTTAGAGATTGACTAAATAAATAATTGTGTTGTGGAATGTCCATTAAATTATTATATACATAATAATTAATGCTTAAAATGTAACTCTAATTGTTAATAATGTTCATAAGAAAATGTATGTACATCTTGTATAGTTGGATAATACTTACTAAATAATATTTGTTATTAGAATTGTCCCATTTATTATTATGGAATAGATCAATAATGTTTATAATGTCCAAATAATTGTGAAACATGTTATGATAAATATTGCTATAATTGTTAAAATGGATATTTATTCTATTAAAATTCTTGTTTAGAATATTGTCCAGAAGGTTATTATGGAGATAGTAATTAAAAATGCTAGAGTTGTTAAAATATATGTAAAGCATGTGTAAATGATTATGAATGTATTTCTTGTAGTGCACCTTTATACTTTGAAAATAATACTTGTATAGGAAATTGTCCAATTAGTTATTATAGAGATCTTGTAGATAACAGATGTAAATAATGTATAGATGGATGTGAAATATGTGAGAATGAAACATTTTGTTATAAATGTTTACCAAATTATGCTTCATTTAAAAAAAGATGTGTAATTGAATGTGATATTGGATATTATGTAGAAGATTAATATTGTAGATAATGTGATTTTGATTGTTACACTTGTTATGGACCAACAAAGTTTGATTGTATTGTTTGTAAATATGGATTGAAATTGTATAAATCAATGTGTATAGAAGATTGTCCTAAAAATACAATATTAAAAAATGGATAATGTATAGAATGTCATGAAACATGTGATACTTGTTTTGATAGAGGCAACTAAAATTGTTTAACATGTAAATTAGACTATATTTTACTTAATAATGGTTGTTATGCATATTGTCCATCATAATATTATAAAAATAAGGGATAATGTTTGAAATGTTAAGATAATTGTGATATATGTATTAACAATTTATCATGTATTCGTTGTTTAAATAATTATTATTACAATAGAGGTAATTGTTTATCTGTATGTCCTAATGGTTATTATGGATATGATGGTGTTTGTGAGAAATGTCATTTTTCATGTGCAACATGTAATGGAGCATTACAAACTAATTGTGTTACATGTACTTAACCTTTAGTTTAGTAAAATAATGAATGTTTACCAGGATGTTTAAATAGATATTATAAGAATTTATCAAATATATGTTAATCATGTAAAGAGACATGTGCAATTTGTACAAATAATGATAATTGTTCAGAATGCATTTATAATTACTATTTACATCCCTTAACAAAAGATTGTGTTTTAATATGTGATAATGGTTATATGCATAATTATATTCAAAGAAAATGTTAAATATGTGCTACAGGTTGTTAATCATGTTTTGGATAATCAATTAATCAATGTTTATCATGTTTTCCTAATTATTTCTATTATAAAAATTAATGTTGGTATTCTTAATGTCCAATATCAACCTATGATGAATAAGGAATTTGTATATAATGTGATTAATATTGTATGACTTGTGATACATAATAATCATGTCTTAGTTGTTTAAATGGTTATTTTTATTATAATTAGAAATGCTATTAAACATGTCCAGATGGATATTTTGGAGATTCTATTAATAAATAATGTAGTTAATGCAAATAAAATTGTAGAATTTGTTAAGATGCTGATAATTGTTCTTATTGTTATAATCATTATACTAATAATGGATAATAGGATTATTTTTTGTTAGATAATTAATGTGTTGCTATTTGTCCTATTAATTATAATTACTTTTTATTTGAATGTACATAAAATATTACTCCAATATAAATAATATAAAATGTAGCTGAATATTGTTATGATGATCCAAACACTTATTTGGATATCAATTAAAATTTATGTATAAAATGTGAATAATCATGTTAAACTTGTTTTGGTCCTTATAGAACTTAATGTAGAGATTGCGTTAATTTAATTGCAAATCGTATGTGTGTAGATTAATGTGGACAATAAACTTATTAAAGTGGCAACGAGTGTATACCTTGTCATCTTAGTTGTAAATATTGTGTATCCAATAATCGAATTGATAATTGTACTCATTGTCATCTTGGAGCATATCTTTAATTATAAGAAAATTAATTATATGGTAGATGTGTAAATATTTGTGATGTTGGCTATTATTAAGATTATGATAATAAAATCAATGGTTAAATAATTTGTAAATAATGTTCATCAAATTGTTTAACATGTATATATTTTCTTTAATGCACATCTTGTGTTGAACCAAAAGTATTAAGAAATGGAAATTGTGTAAATAGTTGCAATTCAAATGAATTCGTATCTAAAATAGATAATAAATGCTATTAATGTAAAGCAGGATGTTCAACTTGTATAGATTCTTTATCTTGTACATTACCATTTATTGGTTATTCATAAACATTATATTTATAAAATAATTAAGTTTATGCTAGTTGTGGAGAAGGATATTATACTTCAGGATTATTATGTTTAGAATGTTTAGATGGTTGTAGAATTTGTAGTGATAGTAATTCATGTTCTAAGTGCAATAGTTCATTCATTTTATTTAATTCTAATTGTATTCCTTAATGTACTGGAAAAAGCTACTTTGATAATGGTTAATGTTCACCATGTCATATTAATTGTTCATTTTGTTATAATGGTGATGAAAATTCTTGTATTTCATGTGAAACTGGATTAAAATATATTGTAATTTATGATAATGTAGATAGCACTTATAAAAGTTATTGTTAAGATACTTGTCCTTAAAATTATACTTATGATATTTAATAAAGGATATGTCTATCTAATTCTTGTCATAATTCATGTCTAACATGTGTTGGAGATTAATATAATTAATGTGTTACATGTTCTAATAATTAGATATTAAGTCTTATGACATCTAAATATGGAATATGTTAAAGTACATGTTCTGTTGGAATGTATAATGATAATGGAATCTGTTTAAATTGCAATGACTTTTGTTAAGAATGTACAAGTTATTCTTCTTGCACTATTTGTAAATCAAATTTTTATCATTTAAATTAATAATTATGTGTTATTTAATGTCCTTTAGGATATTATTAAAATATAGATACTTATAAATGTGATTAATGTGATTCTAATTGCTATGAATGCATCTATCCTAATATATGTATTAACTATATTTAAAATTGTGCAACCAATTAATTCCTTTATTAAAATACTTGTATAAATTGTCATTGGACATGTTTAACTTGTGATGGACCTACTGAATATGATTGTACAAGTTGTGGATATATAAATCCAGAATATAGATATAGTTACTATAAATAATGTTTACTATCATGTCCGAAGAGTGATGATGCTTATAAATGTTAATTATGTCCTGAAAATTGTGAAATGTGTAATTCAAATTAGGAATGTATTTCATGTTTTATTGGATATTACTTATTATTTAATACTTGTGTTACAAGTTGCGAACAACGTTATTATGCTAATTAATAATATTAAATATGTGAACCATGTTTTACTGGTTGTTTAGAATGTGTTGGACCTAGTCATTAATAATGTGTACTTTGTGAACCTAATTATTTACTTTCAGATAATTAATGTTTACCATATTGTCCATATAAATATTATTATAATTTCCTTTCAACAAAATGTGAATACTGTGATGATTTTATTTATAAAAACTCATGTGTAATTGAATGTCCATTACAATACAATCCTATTAATAATGTATGTGTATAATGTACAAATGATTGTACTAGTTGTTAAAATGGTTTGTATATGTATTAAAATACTTGTATATCAAATTGTATCATTGGCACATATAATGTGAATGGTGTTTGCAATTTATGTGATATTTAATGTTATTCATGTTAATCTTAATCAGATAATTGTTAATAGTGTTCTAGTGTGACTCGTTATAATGCACCTTTTTGTGAATGTTAAATAGGATATCAATAAGACTCACCTAATAAGGATTGTATCAAATGTGCTAATTAATGTCACTCTTGTATAAATACTTTTAACAATTGTATACAATGTAAATCAGACAGAATATCTAATCCACCAGCATGTACCTGTCCATATGGTAAATATGATAATGGTGTAAATTGTGTTCCTTGTAGACATGAATGTGATGATTGTTTATCAAATACATTATGTTTATACTGTAAAGGAGATAGAGTTGGTAATAATTGTTTATGTAGATTGGGATATTATGATGATAATTCTAGTTTATATTGTTAGAAATGTGATCATTCATGTACTACATGTACAAAATATGGTTGTTTAGAATGTTTAGGAAATAGAATATTAAATAATAATAATTAATGTTTATGTTAATAAGGCTTTTATGAAGATGGAGAATCAATTAATTGTCTTAAATGTCATTTTAAATGTTAAACTTGTGATATCAATTAATATAATTGTCTAATTTGTAAAGGTGATAGAAAATAAACTCCATATTGTTAATGTTTAGATGGCTATTATGATGATGAGGTTAATATTGATTGTTAATCTTGTCCTAAAGAATGTTACACATGCAATAAGGCAAGTTGTTTAAATTGTAAGGCAAATAGATTTGGCTCTATTTGTGATTGTCCTCCAGGAGGTATTGATAGATAAGATGTTGGATATATGCATTGTGAAACATGTGAATTAGGATTACCAATAATTTAAATGTAACCTGATTTAACTACCTTAATTATTAAATTTGGAAAATAAGTCACTTTCAATTTTGATCTAGGATGCTCTTAAATTATAGATGTATCTCTTCTTGGTGTCAATCCTAAATGTAGTTTAAATCAATTATCATAAATCGTTATTCAATTAGGTATAAATAATTCTATTGAAATTGGAAACCTTATCCAATTATTTACTAATATTAAAGGAATTGATTGTGATCTTCCATATACATCAATATTCTCAACAAATATCTTACCTCCTTACATAATCAATGATAGTGATGTTATGATATTTGGACCTACACAAGTTTCTACTTGTGAAGTTACTGAATTCAAAGTTTCTTAATACTTTTTTGATGGCCATAATGGTTTTAAAATGGTATCATGGAATTTGGAATCATTTTCACCTTATAATTAACTTACTGAATAATAAATCTTTGGTATATTATATGAAGTCAATCTCTACAAATCTACTGTAGTTACTATCCCTCCAAATATTTTACAATAAAACACAATCTATAAATTTAAATATTAGTTTATTAATTATTTAGGCTAGAATCAAATCAAATATTATCAAGTTTAATGTTTACCTCTTAATTTACCAATTATTTCAATTTAATATGAAAATCAATAACCATAAGTTTACTATATCAATAATAGAATTATCATAAAAGCAACAATTCAATAACAATCAAGTTGTGATTCACCAATTCTTAATAATGTAAATGCATTTTACAAAATATAAGCCTATTATTAAAACAATTTAATTATTTTAGATAAACAATTTAATTTCAAACATTCTTCTTAAAAATATGTAGAAATATTTATTGAACCCTACACATTCACTTAATCAGGATATTATTAAGTTTTCTTAATGGCTACATTTGATTAATTAAATATAAAGTCGAAATCTATGACTTTCAAAATGCTTATGCCTGGAATTTATGCTAAAATTTATGGAGGAAATTAAATACATAGTTTTGGTCAGTCTTTTAATATCACTGCTATTGTAAAAGATTTAAATGTTAAAGAATTATAAACTAAAGATATTGAATACTCATGGACATGCATTAATGTAGCATTACAAAGACCTTGTGAAACTGTTGATAAATAACCATTTACTATAAAAAATCAATAAATTGTTAAAATCCCTAGTAGAACACTTGCTCCCTTTAATTCTTATTAATTTGTAATGAAAGCACAAAAAAAGAATCTCATTTAAGTTACTTCTAGTATAATGACAATAGTAGATGTTGAAATATCAACTTTCTCTATGGATACTCCAAATATTGCATTAAATATTCCAATACTTTTTAATCAAGAATTGTTATTTGAAGTGTCTTCTTTGTAACTTACTAATCTACATGGCTGCATTATTTATGATTTTTAACAACTATCAGCTTTTTCAATTCCATATAATACTTTTGCAATTACCCTTTAAAATCTTTTAAAATAAAGATATGATCAAATTAAACTATAAATTTTTAGTACTGATTCAATATATTTTAATCCACTATTAACTAGTGTTGAAATTACTACTATTTAACCACCTTTAAATTGTAAATTAAATGTATCACCTAAAAAAGGATTATCTTTTGATACAATTTTCAAATTAGAAATTTAAAGTTGTGTTGATTAATAAAATCCAATCTATTATAAGTTTTTATTTTATTATAATTAAACCCAATATTTATAAGATATTCTAATGAATTCTTAAATGAATGCAGATCTTATTATTGATTATTAAGAATTCAACATTTATTCCACTATACTGCCTAAATCAACTAATTCACATTCAATAATTATAGCAATCATCAAAAATTAATTAGGAGCTTAAACTAATTTGACATCTACAGTTATAATAGGAGATGATTTGGCTGAAATTAATGATAAAGTAATACAATTTGAATCTGAAATCAATTCAAATTAAGCAAAAGTATTATAATAAAATAAAAGAATTCTTAATGATGATATTCTAAATACTTTTACTACTTTATACAATTAATCAAAATATTTAAATGAAATTTAACGTTTATCCTTGTTGAATATACTAACAATAGGAGTTGAACAATATACAACATAATCTAATCATCTTGATGATATAAGATCTATTTTATACTTTGATTTGTAATCTAAATTAGATTTACCACTTATAAGTGAAACTACTAAAATGTAAATAAAAAAATCAATTAATAGAATAATAATAAATAATACTGTTTATTTATAAGATTTTAGTTAAATTTAAGTTTATTTAACAAATCTAAATTAAAGTTTATCTAAAAGTATAAATGATGTTTTATTTATAATTAATTCTATTTCTCAGAATCAAGTTGGATATAGAGACTATTAATAAAAGGAACTTGAAAAAATCAATATGATTCATCAATTGTCTACATTGGATTATTTACTCAAATCATAATCTAATTTTTACTATGATTATTTTCATGGAAATATTTCATTATTGAATGAAACAATGTATAAAAGTATTTCTAGTAATTTTGAATCAATTTTAAATTTATTATAAATGCTAAAATATGGATTATTATTGGTCTAATAGGTTAATGATGATCCTATTACATTTTCTGGATCTTCTTTTACTTTAATCTTTAATAGATTAACAACAGAAAAGATGAATGAATATTTAAGTGAAATAGAATTTGTAAAACTTGTTGATAAACCAATCGATAATAATACTCATTTTTCCTAAAGTTTATTGTTAAATTTCAGTTATATTCATTACTTAGAGAATCCATTTGTCTTAGATTCTTCATATCCTAATAATACTCATTTTACAACTATTTAATCTATAGAACCTACATTACAAAATGGAAGTTTATTGATTCCAACTTAACCAATTACTACTAAATATAATGTCACTATACTTAGATAGAAAAGACTACTTCAATCATATTAAGATATATATCTTATGGATGAATAACCAAATTATGTAGATTTTGTATGTACAAATAAGTATTTCACTTAATGGGAATCTAACTTTTGCAAAACATCAATAGAAATAGACACATAATCTTCATTAATAATAGCTTGTGATTGCTAATATTTTGGTCCTACTACTATCAGCAGTACTTTAGCTGATATATTTGAAATTGATAAATTTTCTAAATCTTTTTCTTTAGAAGCTATTGAAGCACTAAATAAATTTCCATTTCATCGTTCAGTAATATTCTATTGTTTAGTAATATTTACTATTTTATTGATATTGTTTTTGCCTTATGGAATAAAAAGGGATTAAATAGATAAGGAAAGAGCTATGCCATAACATATGATTGAATCTGAATATATACGCAAGTTATTTGAAGACAGGTAGAAGGAATTGTAAAAGGAGATGGAAAAAATTAAAGAAGAAAGAAATAAGGAATGGAAAGAATTTTATGAAAAATAAAATTTAATTGAAATTGTAACTGATGATAAAGAATAAAAATAATAATCTTTAGATAAGGATGAATAAATATAGGAAGTTTTTATTTCTCCAGATATAGACCCAGATGAAATGATAGATTAATAATAATAAGATTAAAGTGATAATAGTAATAATTTCAATTTAGATATGAGTCATGATAGTGATGAAGAGTTTTAATTTGAAGAATATCCTCCAATCAATATTTCCAAAAAAAAAAATAAAATGTAAGCTCCTTCACCTTATGCTAAATTCTTTTAACTAAAAAATCCATATTCATTAAATAATACAATTGTAAATAGATTATATTTACATAGTTCATCATATGAAGAGAGTCTGTAAAATTAACAATAACATTAAAATTAAAAAAATCTTATTCATGAAAGACATAGTTCAAGAATTTAATCAGATTAATTTTCAGTTAGAAATTCTGAAAATATCTAATAAATAATACTAAAAAAGATTTCTTCTAATTAATCTAAAAATTATAATAATTCTCTTAATAGCTAAGCCAAATTAAATGATTATCCTCCTTTATCTCCAAATTCATCTAGTCCTATTGGAGCAATTTATGATTCTAAATAAATTATATAACCAAATTAATTAGGTTAATCTGGATCATAATATGAATCTCATGTTAATAGCAATAGTACTAAAGTTGCTAAAACTTAGATACCTTTTAGAAAATCTTAAGAACATATATTATTTTTAGACCATGAATTTTATGAGGAGGATAATCTATCAATTGAAGAAAAAGAAAAAATCATTTAAATTTGGTATTTAGAAAAAAAAAGAAATAAATTATTAGAAGAAGGATTTAAATTAAGATTTACATTAAAAAATCTATTTTTGTTCATAAGTTTGTTTCAATCTGTTTTAAGTATTATTGCAATTTTTGATAAAAAATTACCTAGACCTATTAGATGTTGTTTAATTTACATGACCCTCTTAACTACATGCTATATAAATATATTCTTTTAAGTAGAATTAAATCCTGCAGCAACAATTGCTTATAGCATTCTTTCATCTATTTTATCAATGATAGAATTGATTATCCTCACAGTTTTAATGCCTCATTAATATATATTAATAAGAATTATTGGTTGGCTTAGCTTCTTAGTATTAACAGGATTGTTTAGCTATTTAATAATTGCATCTATGGCATTTGAAGCTTAAGATTCTGGTGGTGATGTATCAAGATCTAATTAATGGGGAATCAATTTTATTATTAGCTTCATTACAATGAATTTTTTTACAGACCCTTTATAATTGATGGTATGTTTCAAAATTATTTAATGGAGTTTCAATAATGCTTCACCTCATTTACAATAAATATTTATTTTGTTATGTATGAATAAGCATTTTAATATTTACTTTGATTTCATCGATTATTGAATTGTATGTAAATATATTATTTCAAACATATATATTTAAATTTGTCTTTTCTTAACAATTTAATTATTAAATATTTATTAACAAATATATTAATTATGGACTTATTAATAGATAAAGTAATCAAATAAATAGAAGAATTTCTAGATGCTAAATTACAAAAACTTGAATAAAAAATATATTAAAAAATTGAACTTTAAGATGCAATGATCAAGTTGATTCTTGAAAACTTGAATTAATTAAAGGAAACATAATAATCTCATCAAATAATAGAATCTAAATCACATCGAACTAAACATTCTGTTAGCGTATGTTATACTCATATTTAGTAATCTTTGGAAATAGTCAAAATTCTTAATACATGTTGTGTTTGTAATCTTGATATTATTGAAAAATCAGAAGAAATAGAAACTAATTGTCATCATTTTTATCATTAAAATTGTCTCTAAAAGAAAGTTAAATAATAAATAGAAATGGGATTTGTAACTGGAAATTGTGTTGGAAGACTTTCAAAAACAAATAGATTATGCTATGGCAAAATAAGAATCTAAGATTGTAAATTTAGTGATTAAAGTAAAATAATAAAAACAAATCTTAATCATCAAGCCTTAAAATTAATGGGACAATTTACTACTTGTCCAATGCATGATTGCAATTATTTTTTTCGTTTAAATGAAGAAATTGAAAGCAAAGTCAATTTTTGCAATAATTGTAATAAATATTTTTGTTATAATTGCCTTTAATTTTGCCAATAATAACACTAATGTTAAATTATTCAGAAATTTTCATAAATTATTTGTAAATTCTGCAATAAATGTGGAGTATTACAAATCATATAAAAATTAAAACCATAATTAACATGCACATAATGTTAAAACATGATATTTTTATGATTGTATATATTATATAATTATCATTCAGATTATTTCAATGTTATTCTCTGAGTTCATTTACTTGTGATCTAATCTTCAATAAAGTTGATTCACAATATTATCTAACTTGCTCTCCATGATTGTGTGAATGAGGTTCATTATATTCTCCCTATTGAGGATATTATTATTAATCTCACATAATTAAATTGTACATCGCTATTATAATAGCTGATAATTCCAATTCCAAAATATCCAATGATTACTCCTCCAACCATGTGGGGCTAGCTTACTATACCCCTCTTGATGAATCTCCATAATTAATACATATTTTTTAATAAAAATAATAATAATATATATACAATAATAATTAATATTATTTAATCAAAAATTATATTTACCTAAATTTATCACTTTCATTCCTATTAATAATTTCCTCAATATTAAATATTCTTATCTATTGAGTATGACTACTAATTTAAATAAACTAACATAATAAATATTAATTAATAAAAAAATGATTTCGTTTGTTTAATTTTGTAACGAGCTCAGCTTCCGGAATAGGAGCCTTGCCCGCAACCTATTATATAGGTTTAAACTTGGATAAGTTTTGTAAAAAATTTCTAGAATTTTTGAATCTAATGATTGAGATTAATTTCTAATAAAAATTTTCATATATATTAAGTAATTTATTTTATTTTTATGGGTTTATATTATATATTACTAATTTTATTAGAATTTTCTTCATTAATTTAATCCCCTTGTTTAAAAGTTCTTTTTTTAAAAAGATAGATTCTAAATAGTAGTAGTCTCTTAAAATTATTAAAAAAAATATGATATTTATATAATTTATGAAGTATCAGTATAATTTTAATATTACAAATAGTTAAATTAGAATAATATTATCACCTACGTAATATTTTCCATATGGTTTCTCTTTATGATGGAGGTGTCATTTTTAAGGTTATATGAGCCTTTCTTGCTTGTGCAATTAATTACAAAAATGATGGATTGTATTCCATACATAATTAGTTATAGTTTACTGCTGTTGTTGACCAAGGATCAGCTTTTTTATCTAAAATATATTTCACAATTTTTGGATTTCCACCTATGATAGCAAAATAAAGTGTTGGTCTTCCAATTATATCTTGAAATTCTATATCTGCCCCATTTTCTATTAATAGTTTTACAATCTCAAAGTGTCCTCTCTTACAAGCCCAATGCAAAGCCGTCATGTAAATCTATAAGTGTTTTCAATCACGCTTACATAATCGAAATCGTAAACCAAATATTTGTTATCTTTAATAAACTCTTTGACTTCCCATTCTTTTCCTTATTTTGCAGCTTATATAAATTCATAAGAATGCTCCTTTTAAAATGGTTTTTAACTAATCACTTGATCACTAAATGCCTAATAAATATCCAAATTTAATCTACTAATGTATTAGAGAGTTTTTTTTAACTCATGTTATATTTTTTTAAAATCAATTTTTCTACGCATTATATCCTATGTTATTGTTACTATTCTATCTTAATTATAAAATTCCAACATCTCATCAAATACTCCCATATCTTAAACATCTATTTCTTTTTTTTGTTTCTTTGTGTCAGTATTAATTTACTGTGTTACTAAATTAACTTAGCATTCTCTTTCTGTAAAACATGCTGGTTATTAAAAAGTTTCTTGAGATACATTTTTGCTTTTTAATCTTAATCTTAATAACTAAGGTCTAGGTTTACTTTGTAATTACAAAGAGGATTAAGGAATATCAACAGTTTTCTTTTTTGGTCTTATGTGTGTTTTACTATTACTTCTTGAATGAAAATTTTTGTAATCAATTGCTTAAGAGTTTTAAGTTCCTTAAAACAATTTGCTTATTTTTATTTTTTCATTTGTACAATATGATTTCACCCATAATGATCCATCTCTTTCTCTTTCAACATTTCTAAACTCTCTACAAGTTTATTTGATTTATCTAAATATTTCCCTTTTTAGTTCTTATGGTTTTTAAATTTACTCAAGCTTTTTCATTTCCTCTTTAAAATCCATTTGTTTTGAAGGTTAAGTTAAAATATCTGAAACAGCTCTTGATTTTCTCATTTTTTATTCTGATGCTGCTCTATTGAATACAAGTTGCTAACTTAGTTTATAAACTTTTATTGTAGGTCTTTCATAGTCGAACTCATATACTTTTGGAGTAAATTGCATTATTAAATTTACAAAAATTGAATTATAGACAATTATTCTTAATCATTTAGATAATTAATTTATGTGTTGCTTAATTGAAATATAAAATGTTTAATATGATATTATATCATTTTTATTCAATACTATTCTTAATAGTCATTATATTAATTAGTTGTGATATTCAATGAATAAATTTTAAAAAAGTAAACTATTCATACTTAAAATTATAAAATTGAATTTAACAAGTATATAAGCATTTATATTCAATAACACAGTAAGAATATTGCCATATTATATTTATGATCTAATATTTTTTAATATTTTTAGTGTTAATTATATCATAATATATAATAAGATTTGATATTTTTAACAAAATATAAATTCATGTAATTTTTGAATTTTTTATATTACTAATAAGTATGAAATGATTTATTGTTATTTTATTTGATTTTTAGTATTATACTTTAAGTTTATATATTATGTAATTTGCATAAATGTTACTTTAATTCCAGGTTTTCTAATAAGTTTATGCTGGCATGTAGCTATAACTGAGAGACTATATATCATCATATTTGTTTATGCAGAAATTAATTTTTAAATATATGTTTATCAAGATTTTTGCTCAAATTTACTTGAGTTTTTGTATTGTATTAATTTATTGAAAAATTGCTACATTCTAATAGACAGTCATATATTGAAATAATTTATGTTTTGAATATAATAATATATTAAATAACTATAATGAATTCATAATAATTGTTCAACTAGATATTCAACAAACATGCGAGCATTTGATAGTAATTTTGTATGTGAGATAATTTGTGTTATTAAGTTGCTTTTTTCTTCATCAAGCTGATCACTTATTATTTTTTATTATTCACATAAATTTTCATAAGAATCCTATTGAACACTTAAATGTTTGTAGTTTCTAAATATAAATTATACAAATACTATCCCAAGACTTCCCATCTATATCTAAGATATTTGTAGTATCTATTCTTTACCATGGCTAGAGTTTTTCCTGGAAAATGTTTATGAATTTTTTAAAACTTAGGTCCGACATTTAGAACTAACTGTAGAATTAGCTTATCTTCCTCTGATGTGAATTTTTAACCTAATTTCTTAGTATTAGAAGCATCAGAACTTCTTCTTTTTTTCCTATGGTAATCATATTTGTTTTTTTTTTTAATTTTCTTTGGCTAGTCATTATTATTTATTTATGGATCCTCTAATAAATGACAATGCATAATTTAAATTATTAATTATATAATATTGAATTAAATATCATTCCATTCCAAATTATCCATCCATATCAGCCTGTATTACTGCTTTCAAATATGATTCGATCTCTTCTCTAGTTTCATACATTGGTAGTTCTAATCTATTAAAACATGTATGTGCTTTTGGGTAAGGATTAGCCTTAGTAAATGGTACACTTTCAATACAAAACTTAGAACAATTTCCTCTATTGCTTTCTAATTTTCTAAATCCTTCTACAGGTGTTCTAGTTGATCCAGTACAAAATTATAAAAATTTGGCAAGATTAAATTAATCAAGTTATTCTAAAATTTCCCAAAACCATTAAATTGTTTGATGAGTTCTATAGTAAGCTCCTTTGTAATCAGTATTATCTTTCCAATCATTAATATCAATGAAAGGAGTTCCATAAAGGATCATTTCTAATTCTAAAGGTTCAAGTAAGCTAAGTAGTTATTTTGGAATTATCTAAACATTAATCATTAATTTAATACACTATATAAAGTTGATAAAAAAGCAGTCAAAAACGGCTTCACAGAAATATATGTATAATATTCAATGCTAAATTTTCTTATATATTTACCACAGATTAACATATTCTTAACAATTATCCATATCTAATTAAATAGTTTATCCTCCCTTTTTTAATTCATAGTAATCTCCTTTACTTTATCTATATATAACAAAAAACTCTGAAATATCATCTGCTTCAAACTTATTATTTACTAAAAAATCCCATGATTAATATAACTAAAATAATTTAATATTTATACTTAACGATCATAATAATAAATATCTTCCAAAAATATTGGTTAACCAATTATATGTTTAATTATTGATCTATCAAAATATATATTTAAAGGAATTCTTTCAAAAATACATTTACCTACTACAATACCTAATAATTTAAAACAATCTATAATATGTTCATCTGTATCTGCTTCACAATTTATTTTATAAGATACATCCTCACAATCAGCTAATTAAAACATACCAGATTCTGGATGTATAATTTCTTTCATTATTAAATTAGCCCATTCTCTTAAAAGACCACCTGCATCCAATACTTTATCACCATCAATATGAACCTTGACTTCTTTGTGCCAATTAATCTCTTTGTACATATTCAATGTAGTCATTAAAAAACTTTCTTTATTTACAGATAATGTTTCTGCACCTTATTACCATGGTATTCTTTTTTTCTCTAATTATAATCTAAACCAAGTTTATTTGATTGGAAATTCAGAATTTTTTATTTGTACCCAAGGTAAAGCTAACATTTCAGAAACATTGGCTGCTGGCATAGGAGGAGATAACTGAGTTAAAATAATGTTTGACTTACTTTCTTGTTCCATTTATATTTGATCTTGGACCCAGGTAATAATTCTTTGCACCAATAATATTTTTATTTTCTATTTTGAAAATCATCCTATATATAATGAGGCTTAAAATTATAATAATAATCTTAGTACAGTGGTTCTTGGATTTGGATTTGGATTAGGAATAGGATGATGGTTCGGTTCGATAACTACATCTCCAACTAACAAATTACGAGATTAAACAGGTTGATTTTAAATTGGTCTAACTCTACAATTCGTAACATGTTATTAATACTATTTTATTATAATATTCTTACTAGAAGAGCACTTGTTTGTGCTTAAAATACTAAATGACATTTTGGACATTATTGATTTTATTATAACTAGGTTTAGTTTCTTTTTAAACAATTTCCCATATGAACTTATTAATTTTTATATAATATAATAATCAATTCTAATTCTATCTTATTTCCTTAATTTTCAATCCCTTTTATTCAATAATTTTTAAATCAATCTTAGTTTATTTCCAATATCAATTATTATCAATTATTTAACTTAATCAAATCTGCCGATCAATCGATTAATATTAAAATAAATTAAATTATTCTTAATATTCCAAATACTCAAAATATCATCATATATTATTTATTAATAAAATTAATAGAATTACATGAATAATAATTCATATGGTAAGGGCACTCCTAATAGGATTTCAGATAAAAAAAATTCTACTGTATAATAACAACCTGAAAAAGTTTAGACATCATCTCTTACAAACTCATAGATGGTGAAAAAAGTAAGTTATCAATTTATTTTAAGCAATTTGATTAATTATAAGTCCAAAAGGCATAGTTAAAACCTTAAGAATAAGATAAATAATAAATAGAATAGGCTTTAGATGAATACAAAGAAAAGGTTTTTGAAGAATTAAAGAAAATCAATTAAACACAATAGTAAGAATTAATTAAGGAGAATTAAGAATTTAAAAAAAAAATTGAATAATAAGATAAGAAAATGTAACAAATTGAATAATTGATATAATAATAAAATGAGAAAATACAATAGTAAGAATTAATTAAAGGTAATTAAGAAATTTTAAAAAAAATGGAATTATAAGATTTGAAAATATAACAATAAGATTAAAAGATATAATAATTAGAAGAGAAAATATAATAGTAAGAATTAAAAATTGAAAGTCCGATGCAAAATTAAGGAAATACTGAAATCTAAGAGAAAATATAGAATTTTATTTCAAAAAATGAAATAGCTCATGAAATTTGGAGAACAACTGCAGAAAAAGTCTCAAATGCATATGGAATAATTGAAAAATAATCTTAAGATCTAGATATTTACAAGAAATAAATTGCAGAAAAAGTAAATGAATATAACATTAATATGACCTAATTAGTAAAAGATGAGCTTAAAACCCTTGAATAATAATTAAATTAGACTCAATAGTAAACAGGTTATAATCTAGAAAATTTATCTAGATATGAATAAATATTAATTAAATATTGTGAAGAAATTAATAAATGCTTGAATATTTAGGGTATCCAAGTACCAAATTATAATAATAATCAATTTTAATAATTCAATTAATAATAATAACCATAATATTCATAATAATTGGATTAATAATAATATTCATAATTATAATAAGATTAATATTAATATTAATAATAATAATATCAATAATCATTGGATTAATAATAAAATTCATAACCAATTCATTCATAAATTAACTTTATCACTCCTCAATATTAATAGTCATCACCTAATTATAATCAAAACACATAAAATGATACAAATTCATAAATACAATTTGTGCCAAATTATTAGGACTCACAAGTAAAATCAAAAATTAGATTAGTATCTACAACTTAAGGTCCAACAATACAATGAAAGAAGATTTTTTAAAATATATAATAATCATTAAAAATTGAGCTTCTTCAATTTCCTTATAATATTTATTAATAATTTTATTTAATAGAATTTGGCTCTAAAATGATTCAATATTCTTAATAGTAAAACTCTAAAAAATAAGATTAACAGCACATCAATAAAAGTTAGTTTGATTATAGTACTTTAAAAGATCCTTAAAAGAATAAAACTCATAAAGAATCATCAAAGTAAAATTTTTAAAGTATTTTTGACAATTTAATTATTCTATTGAAAGATCTTAAGTCTAAATAAATTAAAATCTAATAATATGTTTAAAAAGAAATTATAGCCATGAATGAATAATTAGATAATATTTAAAAATAATTATCTTTAGCAGTTTTATAATTTCAAAGAGAATAAAATCTAGATAATGCTACAGAGTCTCTTGTAAATGTTTCAGCCTAAAATTTTTTTAATTAATCATTATATTCAAGAATCAACAATGAAATAATTCCAAATAAATAACAATAATTTGGCAATCATATAAATGATTCAAATTTCTCTATATAATTGAAAAAATAAAATACTTCTGATATTCTATAACAAAAATACTTATCTCAAAGTAAATTAATATAAAATTCATACTCATAAAGATCAAATGTTAACGTAGCAATTCCTATAAATAAAACTATAAAAATTGCTGAAATACCTAATAACAATAATTTTTTTGAATAATCTAATAATAAGAATATAAGACCTTTTCATTTAAATGCTAATTATTAACTTAATTCTAAAAATAAAACAAACTAGAGTAATAACAGTAGCAAAGCAGAAAATCAAGATAATTCAATTCTTTAAACTTAATATTCTGGTTAAATGATTTGCTATTATTGTACAAAAGTTGTTCAATCTGAATTTATAGCAACTCCTTGTTATCATTATTATCATGATTAGTGTCTAAGAGAGTACTATTAATTTTAATTAGATAATTATAATACCAATAATTAATTAATTTGTCAATGTAAGATTAAATTGCCATAATAATTTTTTTCAAAGAGTTTATAAATAGATCTTAACAGCTTATTATAAAAATAGGTTGATTTAATAAAATAAAAAAAAAGAAATCAGATAGACTATTGTGTAAAATGTCAGTTTTTCTGGATAAAAAGAATTAATGATACTCGAACCAAAAAATGTTGGATGTGTGATTAAAATGGGGTTATTCTCATATAATCTAATTGAAATATCATATTATAAAGATCAAAATTATAAATATTTAGATAAAAAATATTTTTATATAAATGGGTTCTTTTTTTACAAGTTTGTCTTCATAAAAACCAAAAAAAGAATAACAAAAAACAACTCTGCATAATAAATAAGAATAAATATAACCTACTGATACCTTTATATCTATGAGACCAACTCAATCCATAGGAGAGCATTTTTTATAAGATAAGGAATTCTCATTCAATGAAGAATAATTTAAAGGATAATCTTCAAAAATGACAAAAGGATAAATAAATGAAAATTTATATTAATCTTAAGAGGCTATTATGATATAATAATCTGGTAAGTTAGTAAGACAAGTTAATGATAGTAAGCAATAAAATTATTGTTATTAATGTAAGTAAATAATAGAAGAAACTCTTATTTAAATAATATGTTAACATGTGTTTCATTAGAATTGTTTTATATCAATAATTGAAAAATAATTATAATAATAAGGAAAATTCATAATTAAATGTAAATGTGGAACTAAATTAAGCTCAAACATATTAAGATAAATTGTTGATGTTAAAATTAGATCTAAAATTCTGTATTAAATGTTTTCTGTTTAGATTTCAAATATATTATAGAATTCAGAAATTAGAAAATATTGTAATTTATAAGAGATTTAATAAATGATAGAGTAAAATACATAAAAAGAGGATTATGATTTTCATTATGCTGATAAAAAAGTAGAATTGAAAAAAAATATTACTGAATTTTTAATAGATCAAAGTGGTATTTTACATATTAGTTAATAAAAACTATTTATTATTAGTGTCTGTTTATATTGTGGAGATGAAATATCTTAAACTTTGTTGAAATTTAATTGTGGACATATCTATCATTATGAATGTTTTATAAATTGGATATAATTTTAAATTTAAGATAAAAAGAGTATAATCATTAAATGCAGATGTGGAACTAAAATGAATACAAATATAATAAGAAGAATTCAAGATAGTAAAATTAGACTCAGATTGTTGAACTATTTATTTACAGAATAATTATCTATAATACTACCTAAACTAAATAATATTAGTGAAATTGATTAAATATAAGAACTATTTAAGTAAAATTAATATACAGAAGATCAAGATTACAATAGTTCATCTGGGTTTTTATATTTCAGTAATTATTCTACACCAGGAGGGGATTGATTTAATAGAATAATTTATAATAATTATAATATATCATTTTTTCTTTTTAGTTAAATCAAATTTGGATTATTTAAATCTTATTTCACCCAATTTAGATAAATATAAAATAATATTAAATAAACATTAGACAGTATGGGAAATGTAGTTTGTTTTAAAGTGGAGTCTTCAGCAATAAATACAGTAACAGTTGATGAAAGCACTAAAAATATTTAACCAATACAAAATTCAAATACTTAGGATTCTTTAAAGCATTTAAATGAAATTATTCCTTCACCCTCTTTATCATAATAAGAGCAAAATGATAAGAAATGCTAGATGTGTACCAAAACAATAAGTTTTACTTTTGTTTAAATTAATTGTTAAAAAAATTGTGTTTATCATCCTATCTGCATAGAAGAACATATTAAAAAATTAATAGATTCAGAAAAATAAATTATTAAATGTGGATGTGGCACTAAAATTAATACAAATTTTCTAAGATTGTCTTCAATTCCTGGAAAAATGAATTTACTTTCAAAAATTTTTGAAAGACAACTTGATTATATTTTAGGTTCCTCATAACAAATAAGAAGAGATATTGAAATACAAAATTATGTTAAATAAAATCGATTAAGAAAAGAATATGATGACTACATTCTAATTTAATAAGATACCTTAACATATGAAGAAACCCCCCAATGATTAATATATTTTTATAAATTATAAAAATATACATTATAATATCTATGGATATACTATATTTCTAATTTTATTATATAAAAATATATAACTGAAACATTTATTATTTTAATTTATTATAATGATATAATATTTTAATCAGAATGTGAGTTTTGTATTATTTTTTTTATTTTTTTCTTTTATTCTAAACATTCTAATATTCAAACTGAATCTATTTACAGAAAATAAGTCTTTGGAATCTTCTGAAAGCAAGACTTATCGTGAATCAAAATATTTTTATTAATTTAATACAAATACTCCTGCATGATTCTTAACCCAAACCTTAATATTACTATATGATCCAGATACTAAAAGTAAAGAATTATAATTAAAACAAACAGATCTAATATAATATCCTCCTTCAAGTTATTATATACAAATAAATTTTCCGTTTGGCTCATTTTGTTGATTCCAAATTTTGATTGTTTAATCTTCAGATCCACTAACAAAAATATTTTCACCTTATGCAAAATTTACACAATTCACTAAATTTGTATGTTCTGTTATAGTTTAAAAATGTTCCCAATCTTCATTTAAATTCCAAACACATATTAATTTATCACCACTTCCTGATACTAAAAAAGTTGAATCATAATTAAAACTTAATGATTTTACCCATTAACTATGTTGAATTAACACTTAAGAATTAATCCATTTCTCGTCAACCTCAATCCATATTTTTATATTTCCTTCTTGACAACCAGAGGCTAATAAATTATTTAATTAATTTAAGCATAAACAATGAATTTCCATATTATGAGCTTCATTTATAATTTATTTACAATTATACAACTTATTTTCTTTACTTTATAAATATTCATTCCAAATCCTAATAGTTTTATCATCTCCTGCTGAAAATATACTATTATTAATTTTCCCAAAACAAACTGCATTTATTGAACCTACATGTCCTACTAGAGTCTAAAATTCCTTAAATCCTTCTTCTTTCTTTTGAAGTAAAACAAGATTATCTTCATTGTTATTTCCTTACAAACCACAAACTATTAATGTTGCAGTTTTATTTAAATCAATACAATGACACACAGAATTTGTTATTATTTCTTCTTTTATTGTATATAACCCTTTGCTCTTTTCCTCTTCATGTTTATCTTATTCTGATGGTTTTTCTGCTTTAGTATTTTTTTTTAATGGTATTTAACTAAGTAAATTCTCTTGACTTTGTTGTGTCCCTAGTCTTGAGTGATATTAAGATTTATAAAAAGCTTTAATAATTGAAGCTATTTTCTAACACTTTTATTAAACTTAGTAAACATTATGCATATCATTAGAAGGAATTTTGGCAACAATTTAATTGTCTTATTCAAAATCATAATACTTGCATAATATCTCTTATAGTTTCTCAAAATCTTATTCATTTAATTTATCATCATATAGATAATGTTAAATTTATTTATCACTTAATTTATGATTTATCAAGCTATTAAGACAATCTTCAGTTTCATCAAGTAATTCATCTACCTTTAATTTAATTTCCTTTCTTAAACTTTCATATTACTTTTGTAGTTCTTTTATATGATAATTTAATGGATGATCTTAATTTATATCCATTAACAATTCTGAAGCTTTATTGATTGCAATCCTGTTTTTTTAAGGACATTTTTAACAGAGTAACCTATTGTTAGAGGTTTTGCTTAAAGTTATATATTGAATGCTTTTCTAATGTTGAGAGCATAAAATTTTGGAAGCCTTTTCCTCTAATTTGATCATTAAAAAGAAATAAAATTATTAATAAGATGGAGAATAAATTGGTATTGTATTAATTAATAAAAAACACTAATTTCAGAATCCTTTAACATCGATCACATAGGATCAGACATATGCTTGGTCATCATTATAACAATAAATAAGTGGATTTAATTTATTTATATTAATATTCCTTTATAATTTTATGGGTGTTATAAATGGTGGTGATATTTTTATATTTATATTTATACACATAAATGGTTTGACTTCAATAATTTAAATCAAATGAGTAATTTGAATGCTGCAAGTTTATATGAAAATCTATAACAACCTATAAGTCAATACTATGACAAGAGTTCAAATTTGACAAGGGAAGAATATTTTTATAAACTCTCAATATCCACTACATTATACTTGGGAAATTTGTCAATCTATACAACTGAAGAATAAATATTTGAATTATTCAATAGAGTTGGAGCAGGAGTGAGAAGATTAATTATGGGAAGAAATAAAGAAACAGGAAAGGCTATTGGATTTTGCTTCATTGAATATTTTAATCATGAAGATGCAAAAGAGGCTCATGAATACTTGGACCTTTTAAAATTGGATGAAAGAGCAATAAGAGTAGATTGGGATATTGGATATTCTGAAGGAAGAGAATATGGAAGAGGCACAGGAGGCAATTAAGTTAGAGATTCTTATAGAAAGGTGGCAGATCCAGAAAGACCTAATGTTCAATAAAACAGAGGTAGAGGAAGAAGTTATAATAACAATGGAGGAAGGAGAAAATAAGCTGATGAAGATGAGAGCGACAATTCAGGAGGTGGATATAAGAAAAGAGCAGGAAACAGATCAAACAATAATTATTGAAGATTGAAAATTTTCACATTAAATTATTAATATTTAGTTCATAAAAAATATAAGAAATAAAAGTATTCATATCCCTAAAGTCTTTGATTACTTTTTAATAAAAAAAAATAAATTCATGTATTGATTCTCTAACAGTTTATATGATATTATCTTTCATCTTTGTAAATTTAAGCTATTCATTTTATTCCTTATATTAAATATTATATTAATTTAGTTTGAGTTTTATCAAATTAATCGAACCTCCATTATTAAGAAATTTAGGATCTTTAGTCAGGAATTATATTTTTGATCTATGTTATTCCCTTAAAGATAAATTAAAAGTTATAAAACATTGTAATTCTAAATAAATTATATAAAGTATTATACTATCTGAAAAACAATATCTATATGCATATATTTAAGAAAAAATGCGAAAGATTAAATTCTAATTAAGCTATAATTATGAAAAAGTATTCAATAATATCCAAATCTATAGGGTTAGAACTTTGAAGATAAAATATTTCATTCTCATTTACTAAGAAGTTATTAAATTCATAATGAATAAATTTTCAATTTTTATCTGTTATTTTTATTTTCACATTCTAGACTGATAGCTTCTTTATTCTCTATAAAATATTCCATACAATTAGCTGTATTCCATTTTTATAATTTAATTTTTCATTATAAAAAGTCTATAAAAAAATAAATATTATTTGGATTCAAATATATAAGTTTTGAAATAATATTCAGAAAGTATTCTTTAAATATTATTATGAGTAGATCAATAAATAGAATAAAGTAAATGTAAATATATTCTATATATATTTATAATTTAAAGAAATAATTATAACAATGGTTAAGCTTCTCATTATCAAATTAATTATGGAAATTGGTTGAACAGTTGGAAGATTATTCATGAAAGCATTTAATAAAATATTCAATTAATTCATTTGGAAGATTATTAGAATAAGAGGGAAAGTCTGCAAATCCATATTGTGAATTTCTGAGTCAAACTATGAAAGCAGCAAATTTAAATCACAAACTTATGACAAAAGATGAAGTAATCAAAATATTATAATTAAAAGCTGAGAAGGATAATGCAGAAAGAAAAATTAAAGTATTAATTGTAACTGAGGACTAAGATTTATTGGAGAAAGTTACGAAAGAAAGATTCATAAAATTGAGGATCAATAAATATTCTATCAATAATGCATAATGCTAAAAGTGAGTTGATAAAAGCTTTTCCAGATGCTAATGAAAAATAGATTTTAGCTAAGATAAGGGAGGAAAAAGAGAAATAAAAAGGAAAGGAATAAAGAAGAAGAAGTAAAATAGTAGGAATAGAAAGAAAATTAATTTTATATATACTGTGTTATGAAGATTGAATTGATTTAATTAAATTATGCTTTAGAGATTGTCTACAGTGTTCAGAAGACCAATGTTCTGGCATGGGACACATCATCATGATAGCAATGATGCTACCAAAAGATTATTTGACACAGTCTCTAGCACAGTTAAAGGCATCTAATAAATAAACTATGTTGTCGAGCACAATCCATAACTAACAGCAGAAGAGAAGTCAAAAATGAAGCAATTCCTTATTTATAGATATGATCCAGCTGTATATTGAAATGTTTAGATTTTAGGATGAGAATGACTTTCCAAAGTATGTGAGCTATTATGTTGACTTAAAGAAGATACCTCCAATGTACTTAGATGCATTGCTATACATTAAAGACAATTATGATTCTTCATTATCTTTACGTCGATCCTGCAGAGAAGGTATTTGCGGATCTTGCTCCATGAATTGCAATGGTCTTCATAAATTAGCTTGTATTCATGCAATTGACACTGATTTGACATAACCAGCTTACATTACTCCATTGGGACATATGTTTGTTGTCAAAGACTTGGTAGTTGATATGACTAATTTCTATACTTAATATAAGACTATTGACCCTTATCTAAAGAGAAAGACTCCAAAAGTAATGAATTTTTAATATTTAAAATAGGAAGGAAATAAGGAATACATCTAATCGGTAGAAGATAGAAAGTTATTGGATGGTCTTTATGAATGTGTATTATGTGCTTGCTGTTCAACATCTTGTCCTTCTTATTGGTGGCATCCAGATAGATATCTTGGTCCAGCTGTTTTGATGTAGGCTTACAGATGGATTGTAGATTCTAGAGATGAATACACAGATGAAAGATTAGAGAAATTAGGTAATTTCTAAATTCTCATTACATTTTAGCTGAGGATGTTAAGGTTGAAGACTGTTAGAATATAGGAATGTGTTCATTTACATGCCCAAAGGGATTAGATCCATAAAGATCAATGAACCATTTGATGAAATTAATAGAAGAATATAAGGAAAGAAAAATTGCATCTGCAACATTATGAAATATTATCATACAATTAATCATATTAATATATTATAATATAATTTTTAAATTATTAATTATAATTTTTTTTATTTATTAATATAATTCCTTATCAATTTTCCTTTTTACTTTCTCCCCTTAACTTGATTATTTTATAGATCGTTTAGTTGATTTGATTGGACTTTCGTCCATTTTTAAATATACTTAAGGTGTTTCTTCAATCAGCTCAGATCTATATGATTTTGTCCTGATGATAGTACTTTTTATATATCCTATCTTGGCTACTTAAGTTGGTCAGCCTTAGTAGGTTTGCTCTTCAGAGAGCGGCTCCGACNGATATGTATGGCATTTCAAAATCTTATTCATAAACTAAATTACCAAATTAAAGTAATAATTCTAAAGAATAGACACAAAAAAATGAGATTGTAATTGTTACATAAAATTTAGATAAATAAAAAAATATAATCAATGAGAGATGATTTATAAGGTTCTATCTCTTTGAATGATTTAAATATCTTAGGACTTTAAGATTATTATTTGGGATCAGGTGATAATCATTTAGAAACAAAACCTAAAATAAATTAAGAAAATCATGAAAGTCCAGGAATGGATTTTCAATAAAATGAATAATTTAACACTACATTAGATCAATTAGGTTCAAAATTAAATGAAGTGATTGGTCATTATCTTAATGAACTCACTAATTAACCAAGATTATCTTTAGATTCGTTTTCCTTGTAAAATAGTGAAAATTTAGATGAAGAACAATAATAATAGATTTTAGATTTTGAACTACAAGCAATGAGATAACGTATATATAAAGTAAGATAATTTATTAATTTCTAAAGCAAATTGTAGATAAAATTAATCTTTCTGTTATCCAATCTGTGTAATCTTTTGGCTCATCTTGTTAATTGAATTCATAATCTAATATTATATCAACTGCCTTTTCTAAAGAATTAATCAATAGTACAACTCATTTATCTTAAATTTCATAAATAACCCCGCCAAAAACGTAATCATATTCAATCTTTGATTTGTAATAATAACTACATCAAAGTATTCATTGTGTCCAACCAAAAGTAAACAAAAAGATTGAAGATTAACCCATTCATATAACTGAAAGTGAAACATCTAAAGAGGAATTATAAAATAAACTTAAAATTTCTTTATCTTTAAATTATTAATAACAATAGGTCAATAATTAACTTAAAGAAGAACTTTCAAAATTGGAAGTATTTATTTAAATATTATATATATAAGAAAAAGAATTAAATTTCAGATAATAGTGAAGATGGAGATCAAAATCCCTTATTAATAGAAAATTAAAGATTAAGAGAAGAAAATGGAAAATTGATCGAATTCATTTAGAATAGAATATGCGATTAATGTAAAACTATTCCAAAGAATTTTTGATTTAATATTAAAATCTATATTTTTAATTTTTATTATTTATGGAATATAATTATAAAAATAGTATATTATTTTATATTCTTAGAATATATAAATTCTTTAATCTTAATATATACTTTAATCTATCTTGCATAATTAGTTTATGGATTATGGCAATTCAAACATAATTAAACTGATGTCTAAAAGAAGCTTTTGGATCCCAACATTATAAGATATTTCTCAAAGAAAACAAACATCTTTGAGGAATTTTTAAGTTATTCAATTGTATTAGAACACATTCAGTAGTAGACATCTATAAATAATTATTAGTAATATTAATAGATTATCTGTTAGAATTATTTTTACACTAAATCGTTTAATATAAATAGTAGAGAAATTTAATAAATAAACAGATTATATCATAAGTTATATTAGATTTTTAATTAAACAACCTACTAATTGTACTTATGATTATGGCATCTTTCTCAAAAATATAAAAAAATAACATTGATTCTACAAATCTCTAAATAGAGAGCCTTAAACTTAGATAAATTCAATTCTTCAATATATAATGTTATTACATGTCTACAAGATTATGCCACATTAATCTTTACTATTATAACTTCAAGAAATATCTTTTAATATAATAAATAACTTTTTGTATTAAGTTGAAATAATAATAATTTGTTTTAAAAAGTATTTTTATTATTTAATTAATAATGAATAGAAAAATAATAGCTATCTTTTTTATAATTTTAACTCTTTAAGGGAATTAAGCAAAAGAAGATTTCAAATAATCAAACAAATGCTTGGATTTTGATAAGTTAAAAATATTTGCATGCATAAAGAATCAATTAAGAACCGCTATTACATATCAATCTGTTACTACATTTGGCTCATTCATAATTGCAAAAATAGGTATATGGCTAGCTGGTTTTTCAGCTACTGGCCCTGTTGCAGGTTCATTAGCAGCTTGGATTTAATCTTTGATTGGAAAAGTTGCAGTTGGTTCATTTTTTTCATTTTTATAAGCAGTTGCAATGGGGAAATCATTTTTATTAATAATTCCTTGTCTAACTATTGGCACTATAGCTGCCATTATCTATTTAGTATTAAATTGCTTTAGATCTGAATATTGTATTTTATAGGAATTACCTCAAAAATCAGAAATACAAAATGAATAAGGACAAAGTACTAATTAGACATCTAAAGAACAAAGGAATTAATAAACAGAATAAAATCAAAATGAATAAGAAGAATCATTTTGGAGTTCATCAATGAAAATAATTTAATCAGGGATTTCTAATACTTATTCAACAATTACTAATGAAATTTCTGAAATATCTACTTATACTTCTACTTAGTTACCTAATGTGCCAAAGGAACTCATAGAAATGAAAAATTCAGTTTTAGAATATTCCTCAAATTATTTTAATTTTTATGATTCAATTTCTGAAATTAAGGATAATATTTTGGAATTCTCCAATAAAATTGCTTCCTCTATTCAAGAATAGCTTAAGGAAAATACAAATAATATGTAAAATATATTTAATAATTTAACAACTACTTTTGGTGATTATGTAAATGGAATAAATGATCTTTTTGAATTTATTTGGCAACATAGAGAAACTATAAAAGAAGCATTTGAGTATGCTATAGAGGTTCTTAAAGAATAATATGATCAATTTTTAAATACTTAAAATTTTATAGAAAATATGAGATATTCAAAGGAAGAAAATACTTGCGTGAATAATTTTATAGAGTACCTTGCTAATACATGATTATAATAATTTTTAATTTAATTAGTTTATCTTCAAATTGTAATTGATATCTTAAAAATAAATTATATACATTATTAATTAAATAGATCATATGTTTATTTTCTATAAAATAATAATTATTAAATAGGTTGATCTTTCAGTAAACTAAGGCTGGATTAAAACCAAGGATATTTTAGCCTTAAATGAACTTTACATCCTCTTAAATATAAATTTTCTCTTAATATACTACTCATTTCTTCCTCATAAAAAAATCACCTTATGCTAAACTACTTCTTTAGAATGATGGTGTGTTTTGATTTCATTTATTGTATTATATATATTTAAATATACAATACAATAACTTATATTTGGAAATATAATTAAGTAATATTAAAAAAATTGTATACAAATAATCTTACAATTCTAATAAATTTATATATAGATTCAAATAATTGTAAAATAATTCAATAAGGATTTTAAATAAGAATATACTTAATATTTTAAATTCTTTTCTTCAACTAAAACAATATATAAAAATAATAAATAATTAAGGTAAATAGAAATATTTCAAATGGAAATTCAATTTTAAATAATTATAAATTAGCATAATATATAGAAATTCATATGTTAGGATTAGATAATTAAAAATAGATATTATTTGCAAATATTTGTGTGGTATTCATATGTGTTTTTTTTCAATTTAAATTTTATAATAAAATTAAATGATAGACGATTAAATAAAAGACAAGTTTACTTCAACTAAACCAAANTCTAAAGAACAAAGGAATTAATAAACAGAATAAAATCAAAATGAATAAGAAGAATCATTTTGGAGTTCATCAATGAAAATAATTTAATCAGAACTTTCTAATACTTATTCAGCATTTACTAATAAAATTTCTGAAATATCTACTTATACTTCTACTTAGTTACCTAATGTGCCAAAGGAACTCATAGAAATGAAAAATTCAGTTTTAGAATATTCCTCAAATTATTTTAATTTTTATGATTCAATTTCTGAAATTAAGGATAATATTTTGGAATTCTCCAATAAAATTGCTTCCTCTATTCAAGAATAGCTTAAGGAAAATACAAATAATATGTAAAATATATTTAATAATTTAACAACTACTTTTGGTGATTATGTAAATGGAATAAATGATCTTTTTGAATTTATTTGGCAACATAGAGAAACTATAAAAGAAGCATTTGAGTATGCTATAGAGGTTCTTAAAGAATAATATGATCAATTTTTAAATACTTAAAATTTTATAGAAAATATGAGATATTCAAAGGAAGAAAATACTTGCGTGAATAATTTTATAGAGTACCTTGCTAATACATGATTATAATAATTTTTAATTTAATTAGTTTATCTTCAAATTGTAATTGATATCTTAAAAATAAATTATATACATTATTAATTAAATAGATCATATGTTTATTTTCTATAAAATAATAATTATTAAATAGGTTGATCTTTCAGTAAACTAAGGCTGGATTAAAACCAAGGATATTTTAGCCTTAAATGAACTTTACATCCTCTTAAATATAAATTTTCTCTTAATATACTACTCATTTCTGCTTAAACTACATCTTTAGAATGAAACCAGATAAATTTCATCTTTGGATGTCTACTACAAGTTTCAAAATCATAAGCAATAATGGCATCAATAGAACAATAGAGAACCCTGGTCTATTAGAAAACACAAGTACAAAATTTATGAATATATCCTTAGCTATGCTATAAAGAGAATAATAGAAAATATGAATAAAATTATTGATTTTATCTAAAGATTTTAATAATTCATAAATTTATCATATAAAATTTAGTTGATAAAAGAAATGCAAGTGTAGAAATATTGGAATTTTATTAATATTCTTTATATTTCTAAGGTTGCCATATTAATATAGAAATTTTATGTTATTTTTTTTATTTCTAAAAGTTAAGAATGCATTCAACTTAAAATAGACATCAATTAAATATCTAATATATTTTTATTAAGTTAATTCTAAATCAATAAGTTTATATTAATTAAAAGTAATCTTTTGTTTAATATTCAGATTATAACACAAACTTTAAAGATCTTATAAAACAATAATATCATAATATGATTGAATCAAATAAAAAATCTCATACTTTGCAATCCATCTCTTACTAAACCATAAGTATGTTTAAATGTTAAATTAGGCTATATTGAAAGTTTAGATACTCTAGACTTATGTGATACCCTTATTGGAATAGATTTTAGCAATAAAGATAAATACAATATATTTCATAAGAAATTTTGTCCAAAATGTTTAACATTTTTAGAACTATTTACATCAAAAAAAGCTTAGACCTTTTAATGTACGTATTGCTAATGGATAATTGAACTTAAAATCACTTTGTTGTATACTCTTCTAAATTGTCTTTAAATTACAATTTTGCTTTTTGTGTTTCCTATTATAGCTTTTGCACTATCAATTCAAAAAACCGAAGGTGTTATATAAAGAATAGAAAGAAAAATTGACAGCATAACCATTATTATTATGGTTAATTTACTTTTTAGCATCCCTATTTTCATAATTGGACTAATCATTTGTTTATTTCTGGCACCATATAAAATCTTGATAGCTTTTTCAAAGGCTGTTGAACAAAGAGATTACAAAATAATCAAAAGAGTCTTCTCATAATATTGATTTTGAATATATGTGTTAATTCATTAATACGTAATAATTTTGAATTTGATATCTTGTATATTTGTTTAATTATATAATAAATGATGCAATATTAATTTTATATATTTGAAACAATTGTTATAAAAATTATTGTTTTGATAACAAATTTCTTCAATAATAAAATTATAATATAAATGTCAACAAATTAATGTTTCCATTATTTTTTTTTTATTTCACTGTAATCATTTGTAAAATCAATAATAAGAATTTTAATTATTAAATTAAAAAAATAATTAGTTCTAATTAGATCATCACAGAGATAATGATAAAAGATTAATAAAAAAGAAATATAAATTAATTGTATATTTATTTTTATTTTAATTCAAACTACTTTTCTTTTACAAGCACAAATCTTCATACCACAATGAGGACATATTTTTTTGATTGAGGATAAGAAGGTGTGTTCTTATTATTAATTTGTAGAGTAGTCGAATATTTAATCAGGTTATGTATATTTATATGCCTATGCGACATATTGAGGATTTGCTTTGGTAATAGCATCCAATTTTGTTAATTCTTCAACAACATCTTCTTTTTCTGGTCTATCATTTAATGTGCTCATCAAATTTTATGTTAATGTAGCTGGTCCTGATCTTTTTCCTCCTTTTCCTGGACCTTTTTAAGGAGGTTCAGGCTTTCTTGGTTAATCTTTAACACTCTTCTTTTCTTCAACAATTTTCATTCCTCCATGGACTGTTTCACTTACTTTAAAAATATATAAATTTTCAGGAATTAAAACATGTCTTTCAAGTTCCATATTTTCAGCATGTACAAATTTTACAGCTCTATTTGTTGCTAATAAAGCCCCTTTTTAACTTAATTTAGGATTAAACAATGCTCTAACATGACCATCATCACTTCCTAAAAATATTTAATTTAATGTTGGATGCCATAAAACTTCTGTAATGGCTTAATCAAATAATTAGACTCTACAATTAATACTTAAATCATTAACATTTAAGAATAATAATTCTGTTGGTCCTACTATATGATATCCATCTTTAAAAGTGTGATGAGCTGTTACAAGTATACTTTCATTAAAATTTAAATCAAATCTTGTTGGTGGGAATCTATTAATATTACAATATTATAAATAAATATGATGATTAGTATTTGTAGTTTCCCAAAGTTTAATAGTATTATCAACACTCTATGTAATAAATCGTTTTTAATCAGCTAAAATTTTAATTTTAGTAACAAATCCTTTATGAGCATCTTGTATTATAAATAATGGTCTTTTCTTAATTTCTCTACAATTTTAATTGACTTCATAAGCTTTTATAGTGTTATCACTACAAGCACATAACAAAAGTCTTCCTCTTATTGTTACACATTGTACTAATACTTTATGACCTGTTTTATCAACACATTTAACAGCATCTTTATGAGTTAAACATTATGCAACTCCATAAAGTTTTTTAGTCATATCCCAAATCCTTACTGTTCCATCATCACTACAAGTCACAAAGACATCACTAAAATCTGGATGAAAACAACCAGAATTTATAGCTGCAGTATGTCCAATAGTTTTTAAAATGTCTCGAATATACATATCTCCTCTATGTGTATCCATAGTTCTCTTTCCTTCTCTATCTAATACACATGCTTATGCATCAGCACAAATTATCAATACATTTTTTCCATCCTTTGCCCAACTTATCTAATTCACTTAATTCCCTTCATATGGTGTAACCAATCTAAAGCTATGTGTATTCTTATCCATACCATAAAAGTCCCAAAATCTAACTACACAATCATATGCTCCTGTAACTAATCTTGAACCAGCATTATCTATCCCAATTGCTGTTGCTTATTTAGTATGTCCTTTTATCAATAATTAGTGTGTAATAGGAAAAGTAGCTAATCTCTCTTTTTAAAGTTCCATAGAAGGCAATTCTTCATTTTATGGTTTGAATTTTAAAAGAGCTCTTTTTGCTGCTTATGCTTCAACTGCCTCTCTTAATGCAGGATCTCTAGCTAATGCAGCAGGATCAATATAATCATCATCTTCATCTTAAAAATTTTACTTTTTTTTTTCAGCAGAATCTCTATTTATCCTTATTCCATCATTTTCATTCACTTTAACTTATTTTTGAATTGGCTCATAATCAGGCTCAAAAACTTCTTCATCAGATGAATAACTTTCTTCACTTGATGGTCTTGCTGGACCCACTTATCCTGTTGGTTATACTAATTTCTCTGGAACTATTATTTATGGTGTTGCTATAACAAACTCTGCTTCATCAGGAATGTTTGGTTTAGTTGAAGTAAACTTGTCTTTTATTTAATCGTCTATCATTTAATTTTATTATAAAATTTAAATTGAAAAAAAACACATATGAATACCACACAAATATTTGCAAATAATATCTATTTTTAATTATCTAATCCTAACATATGAATTTCTATATATTATGCTAATTTATAATTATTTAAAATTGAATTTCCATTTGAAATATTTCTATTTACCTTAATTATTTATTATTTTTATATATATATAAATAATTTTTTCTAATTATATTGTTTTAGTTGAAGAAAAGAATTTAAAATATTAAGTATATTCTTATTTAAAATCCTTATTGAATTATTTTACAATTATTTGAATCTATATATAAATTTATTAGAATTGTAAGATTATTTGTATACAATTTTTTTAATATTACTTAATTATATTTCCAAATATAAGTTATTGTATTGTATATTTAAATATATATAATACAATAAATGAAATCAAAACACACCATCATTCTAAAGAAGTAGTTTAGCATAAGGTGATTTTTTTATGAGGAAGAAATGAGTAGTATATTAAGAGAAAATTTATATTTAAGAGGATGTAAAGTTCATTTAAGGCTAAAATATCCTTGGTTTTAATCCAGCCTTAGTTTACTGAAAGATCAACCTATTTAATAATTATTATTTTATAGAAAATAAACATATGATCTATTTAATTAATAATGTATATAATTTATTTTTAAGATATCAATTACAATTTGAAGATAAACTAATTAAATTAAAAATTATTATAATCATGTATTAGCAAGGTACTCTATAAAATTATTCACGCAAGTATTTTCTTCCTTTGAATATCTCATATTTTCTATAAAATTTTAAGTATTTAAAAATTGATCATATTATTCTTTAAGAACCTCTATAGCATACTCAAATGCTTCTTTTATAGTTTCTCTATGTTGCCAAATAAATTCAAAAAGATCATTTATTCCATTTACATAATCACCAAAAGTAGTTGTTAAATTATTAAATATATTTTACATATTATTTGTATTTTCCTTAAGCTATTCTTGAATAGAGGAAGCAATTTTATTGGAGAATTCCAAAATATTATCCTTAATTTCAGAAATTGAATCATAAAAATTAAAATAATTTGAGGAATATTCTAAAACTGAATTTTTCATTTCTATGAGTTCCTTTGGCACATTAGGTAACTAAGTAGAAGTATAAGTAGATATTTCAGAAATTTNATAATCATCATCTTCATCTTAAAAATTTTACTTTTTTTTTTCAGCAGAATCTCTATTTATCCTTATTCCATCATTTTCATTCACTTTAACTTATTTTTGAATTGGCTCATAATCAGGCTCAAAAACTTCTTCATCAGATGAATAACTTTCTTCACTTGATGGTCTTGCTGGACCCACTTATCCTGTTGGTTATACTAATTTCTCTGGAACTATTATTTATGGTGTTGCTATAACAAACTCTGCTTCATCAGGAATGTTTGGTTTAGTTGAAGTAAACTTGTCTTTTATTTAATCGTCTATCATTTAATTTTATTATAAAATTTAAATTGAAAAAAAACACATATGAATACCACACAAATATTTGCAAATAATATCTATTTTTAATTATCTAATCCTAACATATGAATTTCTATATATTATGCTAATTTATAATTATTTAAAATTGAATTTCCATTTGAAATATTTCTATTTACCTTAATTATTTATTATTTTTATATATTGTTTTAGTTGAAGAAAAGAATTTAAAATATTAAGTATATTCTTATTTAAAATCCTTATTGAATTATTTTACAATTATTTGAATCTATATATAAATTTATTAGAATTGTAAGATTATTTGTATACAATTTTTTTAATATTACTTAATTATATTTCCAAATATAAGTTATTGTATTGTATATTTAAATATATATAATACAATAAATGAAATCAAAACACACCATCATTCTAAAGAAGTAGTTTAGCATAAGGTGATTTTTTTATGAGGAAGAAATGAGTAGTATATTAAGAGAAAATTTATATTTAAGAGGATGTAAAGTTCATTTAAGGCTAAAATATCCTTGGTTTTAATCCAGCCTTAGTTTACTGAAAGATCAACCTATTTAATAATTATTATTTTATAGAAAATAAACATATGATCTATTTAATTAATAATGTATATAATTTATTTTTAAGATATCAATTACAATTTGAAGATAAACTAATTAAATTAAAAATTATTATAATCATGTATTAGCAAGGTACTCTATAAAATTATTCACGCAAGTATTTTCTTCCTTTGAATATCTCATATTTTCTATAAAATTTTAAGTATTTAAAAATTGATCATATTATTCTTTAAGAACCTCTATAGCATACTCAAATGCTTCTTTTATAGTTTCTCTATGTTGCCAAATAAATTCAAAAAGATCATTTATTCCATTTACATAATCACCAAAAGTAGTTGTTAAATTATTAAATATATTTTACATATTATTTGTATTTTCCTTAAGCTATTCTTGAATAGAGGAAGCAATTTTATTGGAGAATTCCAAAATATTATCCTTAATTTCAGAAATTGAATCATAAAAATTAAAATAATTTGAGGAATATTCTAAAACTGAATTTTTCATTTCTATGAGTTCCTTTGGCACATTAGGTAACTAAGTAGAAGTATAAGTAGATATTTCAGAAATTTTATTAGTAAATGCTGAATAAGTATTAGAAAGTTCTGATTAAATTATTTTCATTGATGAACTCCAAAATGATTCTTCTTATTCATTTTGATTTTATTCTGTTTATTAATTCCTTTGTTCTTTAGATGTCTAATTAGTACTTTGTCCTTATTCATTTTGTATTTCTGATTTTTGAGGTAATTCCTATAAAATACAATATTCAGATCTAAAGCAATTTAATACTAAATAGATAATGGCAGCTATAGTGCCAATAGTTAGACAAGGAATTATTAATAAAAATGATTTCCCCATTGCAACTGCTTATAAAAATGAAAAAAATGAACCAACTGCAACTTTTCCAATCAAAGATTAAATCCAAGCTGCTAATGAACCTGCAACAGGGCCAGTAGCTGAAAAACCAGCTAGCCATATACCTATTTTTGCAATTATGAATGAGCCAAATGTAGTAACAGATTGATATGTAATAGCGGTTGTTAATTGATTCTTTATGCATGCAAATATTTTTAACTTATCAAAATCCAAGCATTTGTTTGATTATTTGAAATCTTCTTTTGCTTAATTCCCTTAAAGAGTTAAAATTATAAAAAAGATAGCTATTATTTTTCTATTCATTATTAATTAAATAATAAAAATACTTTTTAAAACAAATTATTATTATTTCAACTTAATACAAAAAGTTATTTATTATATTAAAAGATATTTCTTGAAGTTATAATAGTAAAGATTAATGTGGCATAATCTTGTAGACATGTAATAACATTATATATTGAAGAATTGAATTTATCTAAGTTTAAGGCTCTCTATTTAGAGATTTGTAGAATCAATGTTATTTTTTTATATTTTTGAGAAAGATGCCATAATCATAAGTACAATTAGTAGGTTTTTTAATTAAAAATCTAATATAACTTATGATATAATCTGTTTATTTATTAAATTTCTCTACTATTTATATTAAACGATTTAGTGTAAAAATAATTCTAACAGATAATCTATTAATATTACTAATAATTATTTATAGATGTCTACTACTGAATGTGTTCTAATACAATTGAATAACTTAAAAATTCCTCAAAGATGTTTGTTTTCTTTGAGAAATATCTTATAATGTTGGGATCCAAAAGCTTCTTTTAGACATCAGTTTAATTATGTTTGAATTGCCATAATCCATAAACTAATTATGCAAGATAGATTAAAGTATATATTAAGATTAAAGAATTTATATATTCTAAGAATATAAAATAATATACTATTTTTATAATTATATTCCATAAATAATAAAAATTAAAAATATAGATTTTAATATTAAATCAAAAATTCTTTGGAATAGTTTTACATTAATCGCATATTCTATTCTAAATGAATTCGATCAATTTTCCATTTTCTTCTCTTAATCTTTAATTTTCTATTAATAAGGGATTTTGATCTCCATCTTCACTATTATCTGAAATTTAATTCTTTTTCTTATATATATAATATTTAAATAAATACTTCCAATTTTGAAAGTTCTTCTTTAAGTTAATTATTGACCTATTGTTATTAATAATTTAAAGATAAAGAAATTTTAAGTTTATTTTATAATTCCTCTTTAGATGTTTCACTTTCAGTTATATGAATGGGTTAATCTTCAATCTTTTTGTTTACTTTTGGTTGGACACAATGAATACTTTGATGTAGTTATTATTACAAATCAAAGATTGAATATGATTACGTTTTTGGCGGGGTTATTTATGAAATTTAAGATAAATGAGTTGTACTATTGATTAATTCTTTAGAAAAGGCAGTTGATATAATATTAGATTATGAATTCAATTAACAAGATGAGCCAAAAGATTACACAGATTGGATAACAGAAAGATTAATTTTATCTACAATTTGCTTTAGAAATTAATAAATTATCTTACTTTATATATACGTTATCTCATTGCTTGTAGTTCAAAATCTAAAATCTATTATTATTGTTCTTCATCTAAATTTTCACTATTTTACAAGGAAAACGAATCTAAAGATAATCTTGGTTAATTAGTGAGTTCATTAAGATAATGACCAATCACTTCATTTAATTTTGAACCTAATTGATCTAATGTAGTGTTAAATTATTCATTTTATTGAAAATCCATTCCTGGACTTTCATGATTTTCTTAATTTATTTTAGGTTTTGTTTCTAAATGATTATCACCTGATCCCAAATAATAATCTTAAAGTCCTAAGATATTTAAATCATTCAAAGAGATAGAACCTTATAAATCATCTCTCATTGATTATATTTTTTTATTTATCTAAATTTTATGTAACAATTACAATCTCATTTTTTTGTGTCTATTCTTTAGAATTATTACTTTAATTTGGTAATTTAGTTTATGAATAAGATTTTGAAATGCCATACATATCTAAATCATTTTCTGAAGTACTCTCATCTCCTATTCTCATCTGATTATAAAGTAAATTATGTAAAATATAAAAAGTTAATTTTTGATATCTAACTTAATTTAAAATATTGATAGTTTTTTTTAATTTTCTGACTAATACAAATGAAACATTGAGTTTCAAAGTAATTTTATATTATTCAATATTTATTTAATANTATAATTATATTCCATAAATAATAAAAATTAAAAATATAGATTTTAATATTAAATCAAAAATTCTTTGGAATAGTTTTACATTAATCGCATATTCTATTCTAAATGAATTCGATCAATTTTCCATTTTCTTCTCTTAATCTTTAATTTTCTATTAATAAGGGATTTTGATCTCCATCTTCACTATTATCTGAAATTTAATTCTTTTTCTTATATATATAATATTTAAATAAATACTTCCAATTTTGAAAGTTCTTCTTTAAGTTAATTATTGACCTATTGTTATTAATAATTTAAAGATAAAGAAATTTTAAGTTTATTTTATAATTCCTCTTTAGATGTTTCACTTTCAGTTATATGAATGGGTTAATCTTCAATCTTTTTGTTTACTTTTGGTTGGACACAATGAATACTTTGATGTAGTTATTATTACAAATCAAAGATTGAATATGATTACGTTTTTGGCGGGGTTATTTATGAAATTTAAGATAAATGAGTTGTACTATTGATTAATTCTTTAGAAAAGGCAGTTGATATAATATTAGATTATGAATTCAATTAACAAGATGAGCCAAAAGATTACACAGATTGGATAACAGAAAGATTAATTTTATCTACAATTTGCTTTAGAAATTAATAAATTATCTTACTTTATATATACGTTATCTCATTGCTTGTAGTTCAAAATCTAAAATCTATTATTATTGTTCTTCATCTAAATTTTCACTATTTTACAAGGAAAACGAATCTAAAGATAATCTTGGTTAATTAGTGAGTTCATTAAGATAATGACCAATCACTTCATTTAATTTTGAACCTAATTGATCTAATGTAGTGTTAAATTATTCATTTTATTGAAAATCCATTCCTGGACTTTCATGATTTTCTTAATTTATTTTAGGTTTTGTTTCTAAATGATTATCACCTGATCCCAAATAATAATCTTAAAGTCCTAAGATATTTAAATCATTCAAAGAGATAGAACCTTATAAATCATCTCTCATTGATTATATTTTTTTATTTATCTAAATTTTATGTAACAATTACAATCTCATTTTTTTGTGTCTATTCTTTAGAATTATTACTTTAATTTGGTAATTTAGTTTATGAATAAGATTTTGAAATGCCATACATATCTAAATCATTTTCTGAAGTACTCTCATCTCCTATTCTCATCTGATTATAAAGTAAATTATGTAAAATATAAAAAGTTAATTTTTGATATCTAACTTAATTTAAAATATTGATAGTTTTTTTTAATTTTCTGACTAATACAAATGAAACATTGAGTTTCAAAGTAATTTTATATTATTCAATATTTATTTAATATGATTAATAAAATAAGTGACAAATCGAATATTATTGAACCTAGATAAACTAGGAGTCTTACTAAGGCTTTTCCTTAATCTAAAAGAAATCGAGAGACTGAACTTATTTATTTGAGTAAAGTGAATGCATTTAGTCAATTGAAAAATTATTAAATTGATTACATTTATAGATCAATTAAAAGTGTAGAATTTACAAGGGGACATTTAATCTTCTAAGAAGGATAAAAATGTGAAGCCATTTATGTAATTAAATAAGGGGAAATAGAAATATTTAAAAAGGAACCAATCAATCAATAAATTGAATAACATTACCAATTAAATAAAAAAAGGTTTGTTCATCAAATGATTAAACTTCTTGGAGAATCAACAGCCTTTGGAGTAGGAGATATTGTAACTGGAATTTATTCTATTAATGCTAGAGTAAGTTCACATTTTGCAGAATTATATATGATTAAAGTGTAAGACTATAAGCGTATCCTTGATATGGAACCATAAATTAAATTATAATAATAGGAATCTGAAAATATGGATAATCTTGAAGTAATAACTAAATATTAATTACCATCTCTCTATGATTCTGTTAAGACTTCTCAAGCTTAGAAATAAGAGATTTAATATCTAAGAAAAGTAAGGAAAGGTGTCACTTACCTCATTCCATAATCCTAAAGAACAGATATAATGAAAAACTCTCACATTGATTAAAGTTTAGAAGAAATCTATAAGTATTGTAATAAATCTATTCAAGAAAGTCTGTAATATTGCATCAGAAAATGTTACCAAACTATTAATAAGTAGATTTAGATAATCCTTTAATATAAGGTTAAGAAGTAATAAATGATAGATTATTGTTGAATAAAATAATTTAGAAAGAATATACAATTAAAATTCCAAAAGAATCAACTAGAACTAATAAATTGATGTAGTAGAGTTTTATATCATCATCAAATAGTCCAATGAGTAAGAAACTTCAATTAATATTTCAAAAAGATAAAAAATTGAAATAAAATTATTCAATAAATGAAGTTTCACATAGAGAAAAAATCAAAATTATATAAGATTCATCACCTCATTCTAGTTCATTTCAATCTGCAAGATTTGATACAGGTAGATCTACATTTCATGCAACTCCATTATTTGATTAACTTGATCCAATAAGACTTAAGTAATTCATACCAACAGAACTCTTTCCAATTTATTGTCATTTAATTAAGCCAGATAATCAAGAATTAAGTTGAACTTATCCTTATTTATAGAAATTTAAATTATCAACATTTGAATTCTCAATTAGATATAATTATTATGATCAATCAATTAGGATAAGCCAATATCTTATTTAATAAAATAAAATAGAAATTATTTTAGTTTTTTAAAAATCAATAAATCTAAATGTTATTATTATTTAAATGTTTTATCAATAAATTCTAAATCTATATGATTATCCACAACACTTATTATTCCTAATTAAAATATCCAATAAATTCTGATTAATCATTCATAAAAAGATGAAATTTCTTCTTTAATAATTCTCATCTTTGAGAATTTAATTCATAAAAGAATTACAATCTAAATTAATCATTAGAATATAAAAAAGTTTCATTATGGATTGTTAAATATTTATATTTTATAAAATGAATTTAAGAATTTTATAATTATAGAATAATGACTATAAATACTAAAATATCATTTATACAATTTATTTTATAACATTACATAATATTTATCATTTATACATTTCTAAAACTACTTTAATTTTTCTTAAAAAATCTTCTTTATTTGAAATTTATAACTCTCCTTATAGATTCTTAAAAGCTAAACTAATTTGATCAATTAATAAATTTGAGATGATTCCTATTTAATTGGTCATTATTGATATAAGGAGAGTCTCAAACTAAAATTATTAAATATTATAATTACATCAGATGGATTAAAAATAGAGATGGCATATAAAATTTCTGGTATAGCAAATATCACTTTTGAATTTTTTGGGTATATTAAAGTGATTTAGCAACATAAATTGAACATTTCATATAATATCTATTTTCCAGATATATTAATGGCATTTATTTTATTTTTAATCATTTGCAAATCATTTATATCTCCAACTGAAGCTTCTTAAATTAAAAATGTTGATATATTGCTTAATAAAGTTCCAATTAATATAAGAGTTGAACAATTCTCATTAATAGTATCCTCTCCATGATTATCATAAATAATATCTTTTAATGATTCTTTACAAATATGGAAAATATCAAGATAAGAATTTAAATCACACTTATAAGCTAAAGTTTCTGAATGATCTTAACATATACAATCAAAAAATTCATATAACAATTTTTTGTATTTTGGAATATGTTAAAGTAATGGTCTATAAATTAAGAGAAGTTAAATCTATAAGTTAAATAGTTCAAGAAAACATTAATCATTATAAATAATGAAAAATCCTTAATTAATTTTCTTTTATCCTGATATTTGACTCATAAGTGCCATTAGTTTAGATACTTACTTTAATTACAAATCTGATATTTTTTATTGTGTTTTTGCAGTTTAGATTTACTATTAAATTAGAATAATAAAGAATTTCATGGCTTTACCATAAATTTGATACAATATTAATTAAATATTTTCTGTTGACAATCTAGTGTTTCTAATGTAATTGATGAAAACTAGTACTTGTTGTAGAAGATAGCTTTGAATAATGTGATAATGGCAATCGAAGAATCATAGTCTTTAGCAAATAACTCAATGTTTTCTTCAGACAATAATTTAGCAATATCAGGATATCTAATTAATTCATAATATTATTTACATTATTCTTAAGAATGTTCTATAAATATTGTCTACATCTATTTCTGAAGCAATTCCAATAAGATCCCAAACATATTTTAGAATATTGACTTTATTAATTTCATTTATAATGCTTTATTTTATTTGATTATATATATCAACAAGAGCATTGACATAATCATCAGAGCAATCATCTACCCAAACTATAGTAATTATCTTAAAAACCAAAGCTCTTTTTTTTATATATTGAGGTGTATTCAAACAAGTTATGTTTAATTATAAGAAAAACTACTTAAGCATATCTGTTATGCTACAAGTTTTAAATACTTTTCTAGGAATATATTTTTTGACTTTCTAATAAATATATTCTATTAATTTAAGACTAAATTCTATTAAAAAAGGATCACCATATGTAAATACTTAAAAACTAAAATATTTAAATAATTAATACCATTCATCAAGCATAGTCTCCAAAACTAATAAATAATTTTGATATCTTTAATCTGCACGTATCAACTGTGAATATAATTGAGATAGATTCTTGAATTATTTTGTTTCTTATTCATAACAAAATGAATCAATTGTTACAGTAATAAAACTTTCAATAAATGATAGAATTGCCATTTTTAATATTCTTGTATTCTTTTAAACTTATGAATTCTTTATTAGTTCTACTATAAATTTTAAGATATAAGCTTATCCATCAAGGTTAGGTTTAGGCTCTTCTTTCTATCCAAAATTATAACTATCAAATCCTAAATTTAAAATCTCTGTGTTTGATGTATGCAATAAAAATACAATAGTTAGACTTATAACAGCTGCACTTTAATCTAATAATAATAATTGATTATTATTTATACATTCATTATCTCCTCTTAATTATTCAATCATCTATAAAATGAGACCAATATTATCTTAGATATGTGATTTAAAAAGACAATGAAAAGGCATAAATGTTATATCTAATAATTTCTTAAATTTCTTAACACTACATTCTTATGGAATTTCTGTGAATTAATTTTATTAAAAAAATGTCTTTAAAACTATAATTAATTGATTTTGCATAATTTAATTTATTTTTACATTTAATCCATCATGTAAAGGTAAATTTAATGAACCTTAATATCTAATTTAATTCCAAAGTTCTTATAATTTTATTATAGGACTATTTGGCATGATTTTTACTCCAAATAATTATACTGTTTTTTAGTATACTTATTAAATTAACTAAAAACAATTATCAAATTATAATTAAAATTTTGTTAATTTTCTTAATGTTAAATTATTAATAATTCTAATTGCTAAAGAATGAATTTCAGATGAGAATTCTACATAATTTATAAATTAATCTTGATTTTAATATAAATAGATTAATCCTTCCCACATTACTCTTCTAAATCCTCCTTTACATTTTTTATTGTGAAATATTGATAATCTTACACAAGCAATCCTTTAAAGCATACTTATAAAATATAAAGATAGATTTTAATCAATATTTAAAAATCCAATTGCATCTTGAAAAAGTTCTTTCAAAAATATAGGATCTATTATTAAATCTAAATAATAATCTGGAAACTAATAAATTAAATTATTTATATACATTAGTTAATTATGAAGTATCCTTTCCTTCATTATCTACATCAATTTCATAATAACTTAAATTAAAATTCAAGTTCATCAATTAATATAATAAATTAATAAAAGATTCACCCATTATTTTATTTTATCCATATAATTTAATTAAAGATTCTCCTTATAATTACTAAATTTATAAATGAATAGCTTATAATATTCTCTATAAAGATAATCTATATTAAGATAATAGAATTACGTTTAAAAATTATTTAATGTTTTTCTATATTCAATATATCCACTAGCATATGAATATTATCTAATACAACTGATAATGTTTTCAAATATTTTACAAAAGACTATTTTATTTGTTTATAAAGTGCTATTTATAATTTAACTTATGATATCTTCAATTTTTAAAATATCAACCCAAAATTTCCTTATTAAAAGTGCAATAGTAAAAATTACTTAATTGTAAACATAATTTGGATGATTATGTGATGATTATAAATAAATTAGAGCAATCTCAATATGTTTAGTACAAATTTCTGTAATATTTAATCGATGGTCATATTCATTATAAAAGAATTCAGTGCTTACTTTTTAATGAGGAAAATTCGTAAAATGATCTCCATTTATCAGACATTTTTAGATAATTGAATAAAGAACAAACGTGGTTTCAGGATTACAATCTTCTAATATTAAACTTTAAAATAATTCAATATTTGAGTAATCTAGAACAAAGTTCCTAAGTAATTCTAAAACTTGTTAATTTTTCTATTCTATCAAGGTCATTATTGTTTACATTAAAATCTCCTACGCTCAAAGCAACTTTTGAATTCTGATGTATGCTAGCCTTCATTACTTAAATTTAATTCATTTAGTTTTATTTAATTTTTTAATTAATTAAAAATATGAATACATTTTTTCTATCATCTCATCTTTTCTAAAAACTATAAATATTCAAAATGATGATCCTTAAAAATAAATTTATCATATTTACTATCTTCCATATGTGTTAATATATAACTTAAAACATAATTGAAAATATATTTTTTTAAATTTCTTATTAAAAGATATAAGAAAAATTATATAAAAAAATGATTATTTATCAGAATTAATTAATTTCTACTTAATTTTTAACTTCCAAAGATTTCCAATTAGATTTTAATCTATAATTTTGAAGAATGTTATTATAATATAAAATCAATACTCCCTCGCTAATTAACAATATTTAAAAAAATTTTTTCTTGATTTTTAGAGGATTTTAAAATTTGATAAATTATATATTAAGTTAGTTATCTGGTCTATATTTTAAATAGGCTAAAATTTACTATAATTCTTTTCAATTTTCTTTATTCAATTTTTTTATTTCATTACCTATTGGATATACGACCAAATCATTAAAATAGTAAATCATAAGCAAAATTCTATATTTTATAATGTTTAAGATTTAATTTGTTTTAGATGATTAAAACAGAAGAAATATGATAAAATAGATCAAATATGAAGATATTTATACAATTCTAACCACTATGTTACACAACCATCTTGGCTAAAGCGAAAAAAGAGCAATTCAGAATCGAAAATAAAATTGGTATTTTTATTTATATTTACTAACTATGGTTACAATAAAAATTTTATAAAAAAAGTAATTAAAAAGTAATAAAAGAAATGAAAGAGAAAATTTGTAATTTTTTTTCGAATTCAATTAACGTTCTAATTTTCACAAATTAAAGGATTTTTATTATTAAACTTTGGAAAAAAAAACAATATTACAGTATTTTTTCTATAATTATTTTTTAATTGTAAATTCTATAAAAAGTTCATTGTTTTTAATAAATTAAATAATAAATTTATTAATAACTATTAACCCTGTTCAATAGATTTGTTTAAATAACAAATAGAAATCATTTATTGTCAAAACAACATAGTTCTGTAGTATAATAATAGTATGAGATAAATAAAGATTGTTAAATATGATATTAAGGATTTAGGTAACGGCAAAATTGAGTATAATCAATATTTCAACTATTGTAATTGATTTTCATAAATGATCACTCTTTCCAAAATTAAAAGCTTTGAATACTTGTATTATTAAAAATTCTGCACTTTTTGTTTATTAAATTTCTTAATAATTTATGGCTTCAATCAGTTTAAATTGTAAGATATTTTAGCCTAATCAATAATACTGATGAATTGATTATTTTTATACATTTAATTCTAGTCTTTGAAAGATGGCTATAAAAAATTGAAAAATATAATTAAATTCCTTTTAAATTATGTCTTAAATATTTAAGATAATAATTCTAATATTAATGATAAAAATATATCAATTTTTTATTAAGTTCTTTTTTCATCCTGAAGAATCAGCTGATGTAGAACCAAAAAAAATAATGAATTTATGGACATTGACATTTATAAATCAAGATTTAGAGGTAAAATATTCAAATAAAGAAAAACAAAGAATTATAGTATTGTTTCGATTATAATACTTAATTCACTTCCTAATTAAGTTTATCTATTTCGTTAACAATCAATTTTTTTTGAAAAATTATTTAGTAGGTTATTTTAGGGTGGCATTTTGCTTTTGGCACATAGTTTGCATGATATCGTAAGCTAACATAAAAAGAATTCATTATAAATCATTTATTGCAATTTCAGAATTTTTAAGTTGTGTGATAACAATACTCATAACCTATGTCTATGTATAAGCTTAATTGATAAATAAATAATGTGGTAGATAGACTACATCATAAGCTGTCAGTACAGGAATATAAACTGGAATTATTATTATTAGTTATTTACTTGTTTGTCCTTTATGGTTCATTTAAGGATTAATATTAATAGCTGCAACAATTTTATTTATTGGATTAGTGGGAAATCTGGCATCAATATATTGGACATTTTATGTTCTTTTGTTAATGATGCTGGTATTTTTTAGATTTCTTGAATATTACAAAAGAATAGATTTCTATACAATATGTTAATAGACTTCAAATTTACATGCATGTAAGAACATTTTTGACAAAACAGTTCCAAATTCAATACTAATTCTAACTGAGAATAATGATGATTTATAAGATTCTACTAATTAGTGTAAAGAAATGAAGTTAATTTATAGCAATGATTTCGCTATTAAATATTTATAAGTTTCAGATGAAAATGAAATAATTAAAAAGTTAAAAAGTATTTACATACAAACAGAATAAGAATCTATGTAGGATACTTAAAATTCATTTGTGAGTATTTATGATGTTTTATATTAAAAAATGGGGTAATTTGAAGAATAATTTATCTAGTAATTAAATACAAATCAAAGTTCTATACTATAAAATGAATATGATATATCAGAATTTAGTGATTATTTTTTATGTTTTAGATTTGATTCTTAAAGTCAAGTAGCATTATCTTAAAAATAATAATTAAAAATAAAATCACATTTTGAAATTAGAGTTTTACATTGTATTTGGGAAAATAAACATTCTATTTTAGTTATCATGAATGACATTTCTGAAAAAATTAGATTAAAACATTTAAAAGAATTAGATTAATATAAAGATAGATTATTAGCAACAGTATCTCATGATTTGAAAACACCATTAAATGGAATGATGATTGGCATAAATATTATGCAAAATATTTTATAATAACCATCAAGTATTACAATAAGTAATATCAAATAACTTTGTGCTCATCTTGATGAATTTAATCAATCAGGATAATTATTATTATCTATGATTAATGATTTACTAGATTATAGCCAAATTAATAAAGGTTATTTGAGATTGATTCCAAAATCATTCAATTTGAATAATACATTCAAATTTATTAATTCATTATTACTTAGATAATCTAATGAAAAGGGAGTCTAATTGATTTGGAACAATTAAATTGATCAAAATCACTCTGATTTATATACAGATGAAAATAGATTAAAATAAGTTTTAATTAATTTAGTTGCTAATGCCATTAAATTCACTATGTAAGGGGAAATTATTATAAAAGCAATTCAACCAGATGAATAAGATGTTATTGAAATTTCAGTATCTGATACAGGATATGGAATACCTGATGATATATAAAAAAATCTCTTTAGATTATACAGTACATTTGATATAGGTAATAACAATAGACATGGTGTTGGATTAGGATTAACTATTAGTTAATAACTTGTATCTTTATTAGGACCTACTGATAAAATTGAATTAAAATCTTAAGTAGGCAAAGGATCTACATTTAAATTCATTATTTTTAGAAGATTACATCAATCCTTAGAAAATTCAATGCATGAATAGGATTTTAATGAAAAATAAATTGTTCCTATATTTCCTACTTTTACAAACTTAAACTAAATTATTAAAAAGAGGAAAACTTAATAAAAGAAAGCACAAACTTATTATAAATTAGAGTCTCTTTCTGATGAATATTTAAAAATATTAATTGTTGATGATACTCCTTTTAATATCATAGCCTTAAGTGCAATGTTAAATTAAGTGATTTATAATTGTAAACTGTATAAAGCTTTCAATGGAAAATAAGCATTTGATATATACTCTAAAGAATAAATGAGTGTCATTTTTATGGATGTAAATATGCCAGAAATGGATGGTTACTAATGTACATAAGAAATAAGAAAATTTGAATAAATGTAGAAACTAACATAATCTCTAATAATAATTGTTACTGCTTTCACAGGATCTGATGATAAACTTAAATCTTAAAAATGTGGAGCTAATGATCATTTAGACAAACCTTTAAATATGGAGGATTTGAAATAAGCCATGAAAAAGTTCAGAATAATTTGATAATAATTTAAGCTTTATTTTATAATATATTCTATATCCTATATTTCAATCTAAATTCTATATTGATATTGCAAAAATGTCAAACATTTAATACATAATATAATTTATTTTATTAATTCTTAAGACTTGTTATTTACAATTATAAAGCTAAGTAACTTTTTATAATCTTAAATTAAAAATTTAACAGCAAACTTATAGATATGAATATGTAATTTATAATGACTCACAATTATTTTACTCTTTAGAGTTTATAGTTTTGTAGTGAATTGATTAATAAAGAAAATTTATCAAAATTCATTTTTTTTTTATATTGAAATTTATATCTATTTTAAGTAGATTCTATATAAAAAAAATGTAATAAAAGTACATTTATACATTATAATAAAATAAAATAAAGTTTGAAGTGAATTAATATTTTGAATAAAGAATGTAATTGTTTAATATTTAAAATTAAAAATAGAAAATAATTTCTAATGGAGGGTTCAGAGCTATTGAAGTATTAATTAAATTTAATGACAAATGATCAACCGTGTATTGGATTCAATGTGTTTTTTCATTAATAGTTCTTTAATTCTGGAACTCCTAATTCAAAAAAGAATTTAGAATAAACAGAGAAAATAATTGAATAATGGAGAAAATTAACAGATGAAGATAAAATGTAATGGTAATAAAAAGAGGAAGAATTAAAGTAATAAGTAAAGAGTAAAAACAATTAAAAAACAAATTAAAGTGAAAATCATCTTGATGATCAAAACCGCCAAAAATCAAAAGAAAATAACAAAGAACAAAATAATGCTATTAAAGATATTCAAAATAGTATTAAATCATTGAAATTTGATGAAGCCAAATAAAACTATATCAAAAGAATATCTGAAAAAAATGGCTAAAAAGAAGTTGTTGATTTAAATGATGATAAAAATGTTGAACAGAATTAAAAACCTTAATATTAAAAAAATAGTAAAAAAAACACTTAAAGAAATAAACAAGAAAATTAAGATGATGATGATGATAATAGTGATTCTTTTATAGAAATCAAAAAAGGAAGAAAATCAAATGTTAGATAATCAAAACCAAAATAAAGTAGATCTAGATGTAAATCTGGTTAGAGATCAGGATGTGGAAAAAGAAGAATGTGAATTAAATAATTATTAAATTTTTAGATTATTATTACTCATTTTATACTTTTTAGATTATTATAATACTTTTTATACTTAAATTAGACTGATTAAATAACAATTAAGTTACCTAATCATCTTTTGCCTATTCATTTTATTCTTAAATAGTTAAATATTGTTATATTGATTGTTTAATTATAATTAAATATCAATAGAATTAAATTTAAATGTGATTTTTATTTTATGTTGTTGATAATTTATGTACTTATTATACATTAATCTTAAGACATATTATGTTTAAATTTCTAATGAACTTTGAATAATTTAATTCTTTAGAATAAATTATTCTTATTTGATTGATGTTTATAACTTTTTATTATGTATAATATTTTTTATTTTCACTAAAATTTATTTGGTAGATAAAATAGAAAGTGCATAATTTATTTTATGAATTATAAACAAATATCAAAAATTATATTTTTATTATCCATTTTCTAATTTTCAATTAGGTCATATAATTGATAAAATAAATCGAAATTATATTTAAATTCTTTTTGTATTTTTTTTTCTTTTAATTACATGTATCTATTTATTATTAGTAATCTTGATAATTCTTCCAATGCTTAAGATACTCAATATGAGGTTTTAGCACTGATTTCTTAAAATAATATCAGTTTATCTTTTGCATATACTTACGCCCTTTCAGTAGAAATAGTTGTGTTAGATAAATCACTTTTATTTCCTATTAAAAGAATAGTTGTATTCTTTCCTGCATGCTTGTATATCTCATCCATCTATATTTACAATAATAACAAGTTTAAAATAATAGTCGTATTAAATGAATATATAATAAATCTAATGAAATAATAATATTATATATGCATTCATTTAAGCATTTTATTGATAGCCATATTTTTCTCTATGTCTTTTTTCATTACTTTGGCTACAGACATTTCAAAATCCTCTTAGGTGACATGAATTCTTCTTTCTCTCAATGCAAACATACCTGCTTCTGTACAAACTGCTTTCGATTCAGCACCAGAAGCACCTGGCATAACTTCAGCTATCTTTCTTAAATCAATTCCTCTCATTAGATTCATTTTTTTAGAATGAATTTTCAATATTTCTAATCTAGCATCAACTCCTGGATTAGGAAATTCTACTTTTCTATCTATTCTTCCAGGTCTTAATAAAGCAGCATCTAAAATATCAATTCTATTTGTAGCCATTATAATTTTAATTGTTTAGGTAGACTCAAAACCATCTAACTATTAAAATTAATAAAAAACTTTTTTACTTGATTTAATAATTCCAACATTGTTCTCTATACTTCTGAATCTCCTCCTTTTTCACCTTCCATTCTTGCACCTCCTATAGAATCAACTTCATCTATGAATATCAAACATGGAGAATGTTAACGTGCCATAACAAACAATTCTCTAACCATTCTAGCACCTTCTCCAATATATTTTTAAACTAATTCTGAACCACTTACTCTTATAAATGTACAATCCTATTATAAATTATTACATTTAATACTGTATGATGTGCAATAGCTCTTGCTAATAATGTTTTTCCTGTTCCTGGTGGTCCATAAAGTAATACTCCCTTTGGTTATGCTATACCTAAACTTTCAAAAATTTCTGGATGTTTGATTGGTAATTCAATAACCTCTTTTACTTCCTTTACTTATTAATCTAAACCACCAATCATGTCGTAAGTAGAATCTGGTACTTTCTCAACTTTCATTAATGATACAAGAGGGTCAACTTTTGTAGGTAATATTTTATGTAAAATGTAAGAATCGCTTTTTAAAGCTACTCTAGTATTGGGTTTGCAATCTTCAATTTTGATATTCTTATCTAAAGTCACAACATATTTTCCTTCTGGATTCACTTTAACTAACACTTTATCTTTTCCCATTTATTTTACAACATCTCCAACATATGAATGAGGCTCTTATAAGGCTTATAATTCTTCTTTCACTTATCTCACTAGAAATTCAATATTAAACTATACCTAAACTATTTAGCTCATTTCTTTATGCTTCCTAACGTTTAACACTGGCTTATTTTTCAGCAATCATAAACTCAAGTATATCAAGTTCCCCTTGTATATATTGCTTATAGCTCAGTTTTCCATTCATTTTTATTCAAAAAATTTAATGAGATTAGGATTATTTATAAGTATAATATTACTCCTTTTACTCTAAAACAAATAATTAAAATATTTCATAGAGTAATCAAAAAAATCAATAATAGAAATAGAATTTTATTAGATAATTATAAGATCCAAATTTATAATTAATATATTTAAAAGGAAGAAAAAAAGAGTATTTTATATTTATTACTTTTTATATGAATATCAATTGATAATATTTCAATTATGATAAAATATCTATTTAAAGTAGAATTTTAACTTAATTGGATTAATTATAGAATTATTTTATAAAATTAAAAGTGGTAATAAATTCTTAATATTATTGATTTCATTTTACTCTTATTAAGCAAATTTACATCTAAACAGAATCCTTTCTATGCTTATAAAATATGAATATTAATGTAAAGTATTTTATTTCAAATTAATTTTTTATTATTAATTTTTAAGTAAATAGAATTTATTATGTGAAAATTATAAGTCTTATAATTGAAATTTAATTTTGAATACATACTCATTAATGATTATCATTTCTAATAAGTTATACAATTCTGATAACTTTCTTATAGTTATATTCATATTATTTCATATTCTTTTAGAAGTTGAAATATATTTTAGAATATTTTCTTAAATATTCAAGTTGTCATTGAGTTGATAAAGGAATGGAATGAAAAGAGATTAAATAAAGATTTTAGATATAATATATTTTTATAGTATTGATTAACTTTTTGGATATTTTAAATAAATAGGAACATAAATTTTAATCTGAGAATTGTGTTTTTATTAAATGAAATTTTATATAAATTAAATTTGAATTAATATAAAATTTTTATGCAAAAGCGATAAGTTAAAATAGAGATGTTAAAGTATATATGAAATAATAATAGACAGTCCATCTAGATGTTTAACATAATCAAGATCACCCAAATAAAATTTAAAACTAACTCAACCTTTAATTTTAAAGCAAATTACATAATTAATCAAGAACTCAAAAGAAAGAAATACAGAAAGACTTTGTAAGCCTTACGAAAAATTAAATTATATTTAACATATATAGCCTTCTACAACTTCTAGGCCTATGTAGAGTCATGATTTATCAACCACTTTTCATTAATTACTTTAAGAGTTTAGAAATTATAAGAAATAAAATAAGGAGAATTCATTTAATAAGATTAATAAACCATTTAAAAAGGAGAGACAGATTAGTTTTCCAAATGCAATTCATCTTAATAATTCCAGCAACAATATTAATAGTATTAAAGATAAATTGTATTTAAATAAAAGAGAATCCAATGGTAAATTAGCTTAAACAATATTATCTATTGCATAAGCATCAAATTCATAGAATAATTATAGATTATAATTCAATGGAATCATAGAGGATTGTTCTTAAAAATAATACAATTATTTATATGAAGTCAAAAAAAATATGAAAAATGATGATTCTCATTATAAAAAGAATTCTTAAAGATGTGCATCAGCTGATATCTAATTGGTTGTAAGAAGTACAAATTAAAAAACAAGATCATCTTCAATAGACCGAAATGAATCTCGCTTTTTAGGTTCAACATAAGCCAACTCAATTCCTAAGGAAATAGATTTAACATGTGATGAAAATGAAATTATTGTGCATAATATTAATTTTGATGAAAGAATTGGAACAGAACCTGATCCTTTAATAAATCAAGAAAGATAATATTTGGTTGACCCATATTATTTAATTAAATAAAATGAAATAACTTGGTTAATAAGAGCTATAGTAATTGATTGGATGATGGAAACTGCTATGGGTATTAGATTAAAGAGATAAATATTTCATTTGTCAATATATTATCTTGATTCTTATTTATCTAAGAAATAAGCAAATAAAAAAAATATATAATTAGTTGGATTAACAAGTTTGTTAATTGCCAACAAAATAGAAGAAGTCAATCCAATTTGTTTAATGTAATTTCAAAAGGCTGCTAATAATGGATATAAGTAGAGTGATATATTAAATATGGAATTAGATATACTATTTGTAATTGTCTATTGCTATATATCTAGACACTTAAATGGTAAGTGAATGTTCCTTCTTACACTTATTGGATTAATTGGTTTACAGATTAATGGGATATTTTTGCAAGTAATAATGGTATCAATCTCTTTTTTAGGAAATCAAATGAAGAATCTTATAAATGTAATAATATCATAATATAAAGTATTTAGAAAGTTATGTCAACTTATTGATTGCACTTTAATGGATATACAAACTCTTCAATATATACCAAGAACAATTATAGCTTCATATATGTATTTAATAATCTCATTTTAATTAAATGTTTTTGATATTGATATGCTTGAAGTTATGTCCAGAACTTCAATGTTTTTATTAAATCGTATTCAATTTATTCATATTTTATAGGAGATAACTAATTTAATTAAATATTTGAATAATTTGTATCTATAACTTTTGGCTTTGCATTACATGATATATTACCAGCCATATAATATACAGTAGGTTTTTATGAATTACAAATTAATTATGAAACACCTCCTGGAGTTGCACTTTTATTGAATACTCCTTTGGAAGTAATATCAATTTCTATATCATAGTCAAATTATGAAGAATTTCTTTCATTTTAATGTTATTCAAAATACTTACTTGAATTTATCAGATAAAAAACAAGGGATTGATATATTTAATTAATTAATACACGTATAATAATTTTAATTAAAAAATAATGAGTTAAGAGACATTGAATGGAATAAATGGAATTCTAACAGATGTTCAAAGCTTTGGATAAGAAAGCTACAGATTTATTAGAAAATGCACAAAACCAGATAAAAGAGGTAAATGATTGTTATAAAATCATAGAATACATAAAAATTGCAACATCATGTGCAATTGGATTTGCCGTTATGGGAGCAGTGGGTTATTTCATAAAATTAGTATTCATACCTATTAATAATATCATCCTCAGCGCAAATTGATTTATTTTGTTTATTTAACATAATAAAATAGAAATTGTGTATATATATTTCTAAAATATCATTCATTTAGACAATTATATATATAGTTCTTTTTTTCTTACATTCTTAATTCATGTGGTGACATGCCAATCTTTAATTTCAAATCTCGAAATGTTGAGTCAATAAAATATTAAGTATATCTCCGTATATATTTACTAAATTCATTTGAAAGTTTTTATTCACATTTAAAACAATAGAATAACAGTTTTTATATTTCTTCAATACTTCCTAAAATTCCCAAACAATTTAAATCATACCATTCTGAACATATTTTACATTCTAATATAATCAATTATTTATACACATCATTTCTTAATTGTCATTATAATACTTATATATACAATGTTATAAATTAATGGCTTCTTTTGGAATTTTAATTTTCTATGAAATTTTATTATTTAACTTTTATTATTTTCAATGATGTTTAAATATTATAAGTCTTAAATATTTTGAGTGTCTTTTTCTTTTTGGTAATACTTATATATTATTTACTTATAATTGAGATATTTTATTCTATAATTTCTTTTTCTTTTTTCATCCTAATAGCTCTTTAATAAATAATATAGATTTATTCTGAATTGTATTTCTAATTAGCTAATTGTTACCATAATCTATCTGTTTCTTCTAAATCATAAATAGATAATCTTTTATAAGAATGTTAAATATTAGTAACTTAATTATTTTATAAAGAAATTATGAATTTTTCATCTTATTCTATGATATTCGTAATTTATTAAAAAAGTTATTCGTTTTCTAATATAATATCTGCTTATATTTCTTGTTTTTAGGTTTATTAATCAAGAATTATTCTAAATTTTTATATTATTTGAAAAAATAGTGTGTGCCCATATTTTTTCAGTTTTTGGTGGTTCACCTATCAAAGTATCCAAAAGAATACTAAAAGATCATAAAATTATATCCTTCCTTTCTATCAGATGGTGTATGAAATAAATAAGTAGATTTGAATTAATAAGCATTGAGTTCTCTAAATTTAAATATGTATTTATAATTAACAAAATATATATAAATAAAAATTAATTTAACTTAAGATATATAAAATCAATGAAATATAATTATATTATTAATTACAAAATAAGAGATAAGGAATTAATCCTCAAATCTTGAATTATTAAATATTTTATATATAAAAAAAAAGATTAATTACTTTAATTTTAGATCATTCATCAGGTATATGTATATCCATATTATCGTCAGGTATTTTGATTTCTTCAAGTTAAGCTTAATGTTGATCTTATTGTGAAATACCCTACATTATTTAAACTTTAGATTTAATAAGATTCTCATCTGGATGAGTTGAAGTATACATTTTAGGATAAATTAGGTCTTAGTTTTTTTTCATTGTAATTATTCCTTTCTTATGTTTATCTCTACACATCAGATAATTTAAATAAATATCTGTAACATTTATAATAATGCAAAGTATGAAATTTAAGAGTACATAATTATATACCTTAATTTTATATTCATTATTAAAATTGTTCATCTCCTTTAAAGTAAGAGTATCTGAACAATCTGCATTGATAAAATCTTAAAAGTGATTCATTATTGATTATTAATAACCCAGATCTACAGCCAATATGATTGTACATAATATTTCACCAATCATTTTTGTTCCCAACCAAAATCCAAAAAGATCTTTGTAATGTGAACCTTTTCGATTTAATGAATTATATTTAAAATTACATCCAATTAAGGAAATAGCTGAAATAAAGGGAATCAACAATCCAAATACACCTGCCTATATTCCTATAATCACTTAAGCAGCTAATTAAATATCCATCATATAATCTTTTATGTAACCATTCAAATTATATATAAAGTCTAAATCATCAAATTTACACAATTCTGAAGAATTAAATCTAAATTTAGTCAAAGATTTATAGAATATATTCACATCTATTAAATCATAATTTAAATAAAATTACTTCCTTATTAATTCAGGTTTTGCTTAAATAGAGTTTTGTATTTATCCAAAACTTAATTTACTTAAAGTAATTGATTATAAGGTGTATCATTTGTAACTCTCTCAAAACGATCATCTTTAATATAACATTGATATTCAATCATGTTATCAAGATAATAAAAATTAGATATTTCTGCAATAGAAAAACAAATAGAATCTAATTTTCAAATAACTATTTTTATATACTAAATCCAATTGTAAATTGAGAAATTGGCATTTATTGCGACTCAACTCTTTAAAAATTATAAAAGAGACCTGAATCCCCAATTGGTATATCATTCTTATCAGTAGTGATATTGAAATGGCTAATTGGACATAAGTCTGTTATAGGCACATTCAAATTATTTCCACATTTTCTATAATTCTCTTCATTTTTATAAGTTGAATATGCTTGCATTGCTGTAAATGTACTCTTTTTTGCACAGATTTGTTAACCTTCTAAGAATGAGTCTATAATTTACCTATATTTATACTTTATTTTAGAAAAGGCCAATACATAAATTATTAACTCTCCATTTAAGCTATTGGATGACAGTTCTCTGCTAACATGAATTAACTACATTCCATATAATAATAACTAGAATATTGTTTAATGATATACTTTTTATATTTGTAATTACCAGTTCCATTTGATTATGTGCAATCGCAACCTTTTTCAGTTCCTGGCCATGTGAAATTTAAAATATTTACGTATCCTTTATCACATTTCTATTTAATTTGAATATCCTCTATGAGTTAGTTATCCCAATCTGTATAAAATTAGAGTGACTGTTAAAATTGAATCTATAAATTACTTAATCCATTAGTTTGGATTGATTAAAAACTGATACCAGAATTAATCCAAAGCTAATGAAGGTATAGATTATAACACAACATTGATATCCAGCTAACCAAGATGTTGATTCATATTTATTGAGTTTAAGCATATAAAATTAAATTAAAATGATACACTATTATTTATTTGTCTTTTATTAACGAAAGTAATAAATAATTCTTAACTAAGAGCAAACTTCAATAGATAATTTACTAATATTATTATCTGAAATACATATATTCATAGTAATTGTAATAAAAGTATATAAATATATTTAGAAGCTAAACAATATATTTAATGAAACTTATTTATTGATAAATAAACAAGTATTTATTATTAAATTATACATATATTTATATATGTACAGATACTAGGAAACAGATAGATTGTCTCAACTTTCTCAACCTACTAAAAGATCAAAGAAGTACACTTAAAATCAATCATTAATGGTGATGTCTAGGTAATAATTCATTTTATATATAAAGACTATATGATAATCATTTTAATCGTGATCTACATGGGAACCCTTGGATTTCAATGGGTACCTTTAAATATGAGTAATTATGAATATCTGATTAAGTTTAGTCGTATGATCAAGTATGAACATTCAGATGCAGGCTTATCATACACTAATGTGAAAATAAAGAAGTTACGAACATTTTAAGAACTATGGGAAAAAAATGAAGAAATTCATAATAAAAGTGAACAACATTAAGGATTTCGTGAATTTAGAGAATTTAAAGATATTTCTGAAGAGGATGTAATTGTAACAATTGAATATTGGTAAACAAATATATTAATGCAGTACAAATTGTCATGAACATACAGGATCTACCAAACATGATGAAACACGTTATTTGTCATATGCATAACAACTAAAAAATGAAATATTGAAAAGATTTCCAATTGTTAAAGTCATCTTAAAACCTCTTCTCTATGATCATTTTGATCATAGTATTGATACAATGTTTTTATAGAGAAGATTAGGTATATATATATAAATTTGATTAATTTAAGGTTGTTTTGAAGTTTAAGTAATGTCTAAATAGAAGGGACAATTGAAATTTGCAGTAATTGGATCTAAATTAAATTCAAAAGCATGGCCTTAGATACCCATCATTATTAATAAATTACCTTAATATTTTAAAAAGGTTTCATTCAATATAGATTTAAAATATTCTGATTCAGATTAAAAAATAAAAAATACTGATGTTAGAATCTAACCATATCGTCCTTCATAATAAAGAACTTAAAGTTTGATGTGTATTTAATATCATTAAATACAATATAGTCACTTCAAGAACAAACAAAGTTCTTAGACCTTAAAGTAGTCAAACAAGACCTAAATCATCATATTCTAATCTTTCAGGATAAACTTAAAAAACTGTTAAAGATTAAGAAGATACATCATATAAAATAGAAAGAACAAATTAAGATGGCAGAATTGTTTTAACTCATGTACCTTTAGATGTATATGAAGTGATAATTGAAGAAACTAATGACTTCTTAAGAAAAACACATGTATTTCAAATTAATATTGCTTACATAGCTCATAAATTTATTTTAATTAACTAATGATGATCTACCTCTTGATTAAGTTATTGAATTAAACAAGTAAACACATTCATGTATTGTTGTTTCTGTTAATTCTGAATTGGTACCAATAACAGAATGTAGAGTAGAAATTATCCCTTTAAAAGGAGGAAAAGAAGCTGTACTTAAAGAATCTCCACCTGGAAGTGCAAAATACGAAATTGTAGTTGAACCAAATTAATTCTAAATTTTTATTAAGAAAATTGGATTTCAAATTTTTTAAGGAAAAATCCAAACAAGTTCTGGAGTTTGTGAATATACTTATTCAATAGAAAAAGCTAATCAACCAGATGAAGGTTATGATCCTGTACAAGATGCTTTAGACAAAAAGAATTCAATTAAACCTTCAAATGATTTAAAAATAAGGAAACCTAAGTATTTATAACCACCATCTGGATAACAAAATGAAATTAATCTAATTTAATTTTCATTTATTGATCTAGTAGATAAAACACCTGTTCCTAATGTATATATTAAAGTTGTGGATGAAATTAATAAAAAATTATATAGTTATCGTTCAAATGAGTATGGAATTTGTAAAGCATTAATACAAAAGAAGAGTAAATTATCTTAAGATTAATTTTAGTTACTAAAGGTAGAATCATAATTAATCATCCCTTATATTATGATATGAGTAAAGAAATTAATGAGACATAAATATTAAATTCAAATCCTATCAAATATTATATAATAAAGAAACCACAATAAAACTCATTAATTGTATTAATTGTTAATAAACCTAATGAGGAATTTTTGAATTTCTATATTATTCAAGAGAGTAATTAATTTATTACTATTAATAGATAAATAAGTAATTTAAGAAGATTAAGATATCTTATAAATTTAAAATCCAAATGATGGAATTTAATTAATCAAATTTTTGAATTTGTAAAATAAAAAAGATATCTTATAATTGGTAGCATGTTTACCTAAATTAAATATGGATTAGGTTTAAGAAATGTATGTTTTAACACCAGATAGAATTGAAAAATGCAATCTACCAATATTACCAGAAGAATAAGGAATTTTATATCCTTATTTTTGGATATTGGGGAGTTTAAAAGAACCATATGAAGTTTTTGATGTAGTCAATTAAATTGTTTTTACAAATCAACTAAAAACTTATCCAAACTTAACTAAAACTTAATTAGATGCAGAAGTAAGTTAATGTGCTTTCTAATCACCTAATTTAATTGTAGCTGCTAATTAGAAAAATGGAAGTGTAAGCATATGGAATTTGGATAATTATTAAATTGATAATACAATACTTAATGTTTTATCTGATACTGCTAATTCTATAATTATATGGGATGATGACAATGTTATGTTAAGTGATAATAATGGTTAAATAGCATGGTTAAGAAAAAATGAAGATTCTTAATTTGCCTTATTGCCAATTCTATCTATTAATAAGAAGATCAATACTATGTGTAGAGTAGGTTCTGAAGGTTTAGTGTTAGGTAGTATGGATGGAAAATTAATCTTATTGAAGGTTGATTAAAGATAACTATAAATAATTATAGATTCTTAGATTGATGTAGAATCAGTAAATTAAACAATTGAACCAATTAATAAAATAGTCTCAATAACAAATGATTAAATAGCTGTTTTAAGTGATGGAAACAAATCAATTTATATTTATAAGATTGAAAAATCACTTGATAAACCTCTAAATGCTACATAAATCAAATAAATTTAAATTAAAGGTTATTAAAGTGGTGGTAAACCAGTTTTGTAAATTCTCTCTTTAGAATAGAGATACTTAGTATTTGGAGGTTCTGATGGAATATTATATACTTTAAGTATAGATTCTCATGAAAGAGGACCAAATATTAGTTTAAATTCAGATCTATAAGTAAATACAGTGATCTAAAATGAAGATGGTGTACTTATTGCTTAAGGTAATTTTATAACATTTATCCATTTACCTGAATCTGTTTAGGATTTAAAAGTGTAAAATTATAGAAGTTTTTAATCTCCAGTAAAATTATATACTGGAGATTGTGTTACATATGAAAAAAGATTATTAACATTTACAACTTAAGGGAAAATGGTTGTTTGGTCACTCTAAGATAAATAATTTCCAAATATTAGCAATTTTTTGATGGATTCTGAATTTCCTCATAATTTAAAACCTAATCGTTGTTCATATTTATTAGTTGATGCAGCAATACCAAAAGAAAATTTTAGTGTTTATTTGATTAAAGAAAATGGAGAAATTATGAAAGAATCAAATTAGATAATCAAATTTGAAAGATAAGATAAATACTTTTATATAGAAATTGATTAAACAAAATAAGAAGGTTTATGGAGATTAGGAGCATAACTTTAAAATACAGAATTAATTAGATAAAAATAACCTAAAATATATTTTATTTAACCTCATGGATTTCAAGTCTTAAATTTTCCATAATAAATACCAAGTAGTCGTAAATAAATATATCATTGGTTTATTGGAACTTTAATTCCAAATATAGAAATGTTAAAAACTTGTTCTTTATATACTGATTCATAAATAGTAGGAAAGTTTCCTTCTTTAGAATTAATAAAACATGAAGGGAAAATAAATTAAATGATCATATTAAATAAAGACGAATTTATTACAGCAGGTGAAGACAAATAAATAATTGTATGGAATGCTTAAAAGTTCAGTATCAATAAGGTTTTATATCATGAAGCAGAAATATTAAGTGTATATGTACATAATGGTATGGTGTTAGCAGGAAATAAAGAAGGTACTGTAATTGGATGGAAATAACATGATAATATATGGTAAATGGATATAAAATTTAAATATCATGAAAAGGGAGTTTATTCTATCATTTATTTAGATGGAAGTATAGTGACATCATCTGAAGATAGGAAAATTCAATTAATTAATTTTGTTTCTGGTGCTTTAGAACATGCAGAACCTGTAGATAGAACTTTTGTTATTTCAATGGTTGCATACAATAAAGATTAATTTGCAGCAGGTTTCCCTGATGGAAGAGTGAAAACATATAAAAGAGTATTTATAATTTATTAAATATATATAGGAAAAGACTGGACCAAAAGTAATTCTTAAAACATTACGAACAGTTGCTACTACTAAAGTATAAAATTTATATTTGATAAACAATACATAAATATTAATTGGAGGAATGGATAAATTATGTGAAATAGTGAATATTGAATAAGGAACTAAATTAAAGTAATTAATTATTATACTTAATTAGAACATTAAAAGATGGTCATACAGGTTAAATATTATGCAGTCTAAGTTATAGTAAACATCTTATTACAGGTGGTTCAGATGGAAGATTAAGCATTTGGAATCCAGATAAAGGAATGTTGATTAAAATATATGAATTAACTAAAGAAGAAATTAGAGCATTATTTATTATAGGAAGATTGTTGATAACTGCTAGTATCATACTATATAATTATTAGGTTCTAATGGTACAATCCGTATTTGGCAAGAAATTTGTCCATTTATTGAATAGATCCCTCCAGATGAAGAACCAGAATAATAATAGTGATTTATATAATTCAATAAAATAATTAATGAGACCCTATACAAGTACTCCTCAAATTTAACACAGAGAACCAGCACATGTATATAATATCTATATAATTTAAGTCTGCTATTGAGTTTCGTTAAAATGTTTAACTTTATAAGTATATTGATTATCTATATTCAAAGACCTAAATACTATGTAACCAAGGCCCATCAGGATTCAAATGAATAATTCCTTTCAAGGTATAACCAATATATTCAAATTTAAGTAAAACTAGAGACCCACCCAATTCGAGAGAATTCAAGAAGACTATTCCTATAACTATGGTTTAAGATAAGGAAAGATTATATGAAGAGCTTAATAAGACTAAATAACTGTGCAATAATCTAAAATTGGAGAATCATCAACTTAAAGCATAATTAAAAAGTTAAGAAACTGCCATGCTCAAATGTAGTGATGTATATCATAATTATATTTAGCCTGAAAAAGAAGAGTACTAAGCCTCTGTTATAAATGCAATACCTTATCAATATAAGAAATAAATTAATGAAGTCCCACAATCTACTATTATTTTATAATTGAAGAAACAGAATAAAGATTTAAGAGAAGAACTTGATGATTTTAAAGAAGAAATGATAAGAGTGAAGAGAAGTGCCAAATTGACCAAAATCTAAGAATTAGAAGCTGAATTGAAAATTTATTCAGAAGAATCATTGCGTCTAAAATAGCTTCTACATTAATAAATACTGAAAACTATGAATCCGTAATTTATTTTCTTCAACATTATAGTACTAAAACAGAATAAAGTATTGAAGATAGTATTCTTGCCTTATAGGAATAGTTGCAGAAATGTGTTTCTTAAAGAAATAAATAATATTAAGAATTAAAGAAAGCTTAAGAAGAAATTGAAAAGTTGAATTTCTTGAATTAGGAATTAGAATAGAATTATTAGAAAAGCATTAAAGAAAAAACTTAACTTAAGAAATAATTAACTTCATTAGAAGAATAATTTAATAAGGCTTAATTGAATGATCCCTTATTTAAAAGAGGATAAGATGTAACTTAAATGAAATTAGAATTAGAAAAAAAGGTAGTAGAAAATAATCAATTAAAAAATGATAATATGATAAAAGATAGAAAAGTTCATGAATTAGAAAGATAACTTAAAGATGTTACTAGTACATTCTAAGATAAATTAAATACAGTCACAAAAGAAAAAGAAAGTTTTAAAGAGAAATATGAAAAGTAAAAGTAGGAGCTTATTGAATTACAAGATAAATATTAATAATTGTTTTTCAATAGTAATAGAAATTTACAATCATAACAATTATAAAGTGGTAGGAGAGAAGTTGCTTTTACAGTGTAATCTTAAGAAGATATCTAGAATCAAAGGAGAAAATCATAGGAATTTACACCTGAAGTTTAGAAATAAAATGACACATAATAATAGAATTAACAATCTATTTAATAAGAGAAGTAAAGTTATAGAAGAAAAGTACAAAGAAAGTTGAGTTCGATTAGATAAGATGATATTGAAGAATTACTTACTTAATTAAGATATAAATTAAGAGCATAGAATATAAGAAATGCAGAATTAGAATTATATTTATTTCGATAAAAAGATACAAATGAGACATCTCTAGGAGAATTGATATAGATTTTATAAAATAAACCATTTAATTTAAATCAAAATGAAAGTGTATAGATATCAAGATATTTAATTGAACCTTATGGTGAAAAGGAAATTACTTATAATATCAATTTAACCAAAGATAATGAAAGTATTATGTAGACATTGATAAGAGCAATTGGTAAATATAATATATTGGTTGGAGAGGATAAATTATAAATGCATGAACAAATAAGATAAAAACTTAATGAAAAAAAAGATGATTTAATTGCCTTTCTAAAACCAAAGAAATAACAAGGAAATTCATAATAATCTATTTCTGCTTAATTACCAGGAAGTTTAGTAAATAGACAATAATTTAAAACAGCACTATTATAGACTTCATTAGATGAGGAATAAACAGATGTTCTATTATAAACATTATATGAATAAACTTAGGATTTTAATTTCATTGATTTAGATATGGTTTTTTAAACTTGGCCAAGTTCAGGACCAATTAAAATAAATAGATCTCAGATAGAATAATTAAAAGAAGATGGTGAATTACCTGATATAGTCCGTGAATGTATAGATAGTTTATTAGAATATGCAAATAAATAAGGGTTATCAATATTAGATTTAAGAAGACAGATTGATGAAGATAATAGTGGTCATGTAGAGAGAACAGAAATGAAATAATTTTTAGTTAAATGTGACATTCAATTAAATAATGAATAATATGATTTAATTTTAGATCATTTTGATTTAGAAGGGGATGGTCGTATATCTACTAATGATATTGGAATTGTATTAAATAAAGCATATAATCAAAAGATGATTGCCATGAAAGAGTAAAGAACTACAAAGAAAACTTCGAAATGTATTAATATAAATATTTAGAAATTTTAAATTTGGTGGCTAGTCATTTTTTATAATTCATGTAGATTAATAAATTAGATCTATTTTAAATATTCATGACTATAGATTAAGATGGATCTGGATCTGTGAGTAAAGATGAATTTAAATAAATGTTGAGAACTCGAGTAAGTTTATATACTTAAATGGAAGATTGTAATTCCTTTGGATTAGGAAGAGTATGCAGATTTTTTCAAATTGATTGATAATTCAAATGATGGATAGATACATTTCAATGAGTTTTAATAGCATATGATACCTGAGATTGAGAAGATTACTTAGAGACCCTATCATGAATTGTTAAGTGAGCATATTACTAAGAAAGTTGTATGATTATTATTATATAAATATAAATGGGTTAAAAATATCAAGTATTAAAAAAATCATTAATTGAAAATATTTATTCAGTTTATGAAGTTAATGATTTCAAAGCTTAGATTCCATCTGATTTAATAAATTCTTCTTTCCATAATTCATATTTCTCATTATTTATGTTTTTGACTTTCGTGAATAATGATTGTAATAATTCAATAGTTTTGCAATTTAATTATACATTACCCTAATTTAAATTAAATCTCAAATTTTTAATAATTATTTTCATTATTTATTAATCAATTAAACTTTGTACTTATTCAATGTTTCCTTGAATAATTAAATTTTCAAATATTAGAATAAGTTTCAATGATGGTAATTCCTTTTATTCTCCACTATAAATTCGTATAAGAATTGCTATTATAATCTTCTATTCAAAAAGATAAGATACTCCAAGTGATTTATTAGTAATCTAAGTCAAAAAGGCTAGACATCTATTAAAGGTTGCATAATCTTTACAATCTAATAATTTTTAGACTTATCTCATTATTCCTTATTTTAAAACAAACTAGAATTATTAATCACTTCCAGATAAAACAAATATCAAATTTGTTAAAATTACTTATTATAATTCATATTCTTATTCATGTTTTTTCATTAATTAAATAAATCTTGCTATGATATTACAATCTAAAATTAATTGAATTCTTTTAAGATGGTTCTCTTTTAATGGTGGTAAAGGTATCCATTTTCCAGTAATTATGCAAATACATTTTGTTATAATTCCAATCTCATTTTCTTTATGAATTTTATCTATAATAAATAGTAAACTAGATTTGATTAATTCAAATTTCATTGAAGGCTTTTTTGTACACAGAGAATACAATGTTTTTAAACAAAATTCAGGTTCTTTTGTATATCTCTTAAATATATATAGTTCATTTTAATCATAAAGGAATTATTTACAAAATGGTTTTGAATGCCTAATTTTAGCAGCCTATAATATAGCCGTAAGTCCAGTAAATGCAATTAGATCATTTTAGGATTAAAGTAGAAGAGAGAAACTTGGAACTAAACCATACTGTAAAATTTATTTAACTTATTAAGATGTTCCACAAAGTAGACAAATAAGTATTTGAGTAGAATCTATAGTACTTTATATTGAGTATTGAACTTATATTAAATGAAGAAGTGGTTATATGATATTATTTTGAATGAGGAATTAGGTGAAATGATATTAATTTCCAGCATCTTCTAAATCAACAGGAAAATTCTCTATATGAAACTCTAAAAAGATAAGTCTTTGTAATCTTTATAATGCAATATGGATGGTAATATATTCTTCAGAGTTTAATTACTATTTTATTGATTGTATATCCTCTCTTGTTACTTATATGGTGTGTATTAAATCTATTTATGATAATAGGTAATTTCGATCTTATTCATTGACTCTATCATCTATTATATATTGATCCATTAAATATTAATGTTGTTAACATAGATTGTTTAGAATACAAATTAATATGATGACTTTTTCAATTAATTATGTTAATAAATCGGAGATATTCCAAATTATTTTATTAGGGATTATAACATACCCAATATGTAATGTTGATGTGCAGAGCGTATTCTATATTTAAGTTTATGATGACATTGATATTTACACTCACAATCAACTGTGAAAGATGCGAGTTGACTAATTGGATGTTGGTAGTGCTTGTTCATTCAATAATTGCCTTTTTATATCATACTTACATGGGTGTTCTCTTAAATAACATAGTAATTAAGTTAACCATTTTAGTAAATTGTGATGTAAATAGCTGAAAGTTTAAACCATATGATTTAAATAGAGGAAGATTAAGATCAAGTTAATGAATTATCAGAATCTCAATATGTGATAAATGAAGAACTTGATCCTTACTCTTATTTGACTCAAGAAGAGATGGAAAAGAAGTAGAAAGTATTGGCAGTTTAAATTAGATGTGAAGTGGCACTCAGATATAAAGTATTGAGACTTTTGGGAATCATTACATTTTGGAGTACTCAGATATTAGTAATATGGGCTTTAAGATTGTAAATGCTTAATCCTGAAGATCCTGAATTATATCATGCATGTTTCAGACATGTAATTACTTTCTAATTAGTTTTTTTGTTTTTGACTATGTACTAATATTTAGAAGTGTACATGGTAACTCTATTGATTGTAATTTGTTTACCTTTCTTAATACCAGTTATGTTGTGGCATAAATTCAAACAAAAAAAATAAAACTATGACAATCAACAATCATTGAATTAACTTAAGAAGACATGCAAAATGCTTTATCATTCTGAAAAGATTCAAGGTGATCAAGAATGTGGTATCTGCATGCATGTTTATGTTACTGATGAAGAACTTCTTATATTGCCATGTGATCCAAAACATCATTTCCATCTACATTGCATCCAAGCATGGCTACTAATAAATTCCACTTGTCCTAAATGCAGAGCAAGCTTTCTCAGATTTAAATAATAGTAATAATAATGATTATTATTGTTATATTATACAGTTAAAGTAGTTTATTATTATTATTATTATTATTATTATTATTATTATTATTATTATTATTATTATTATTTATTATTATTATTATTATTTATTATTATTAATATAAGCTTCTTTTGTATATTTAGCGAAAATGTCCAATCAATCTTAAATAGCCTGTTTAATGTATTTTACGATTATCTTTATAATTTGTGTGAATTTAAGGCAAAAATGATCTTGATCTTGAGAAGGAAAAAGGGCAATAGACATCTAAAGAAAAACTCAAGAGGTATTTTGCAAAAGTCACTAATTAACTGGTCTCCTGAGGAATTTTAGAAAAGTTTGAATAAATTATTAATTATTAGTTAGATATTGATAACTAAAATGAAAAACTAACTAACATCATTTTTTCGATTATTTTATTTTCAATGCATTCAAACCTAATATAGACATCAATTAAATATATCTAATATATTTTTATTAAGTTAATTCTAAATCAATAAGTTTATATTAATTAAAATTAATCTTCTGTTTAATATTCAGATTATAACACAAACTTTAAAGATCTTATAAAACAATAATATCATAATATGATTATTTTGAATTTGATATCTTGTATATTTGTTTAATTATATAATAAATGATGCAATATTAATTTTATATATTTGAAACAATTGTTATAAAATTATTTTTTGATAACAAATTTCTTCAATAATAAAATTATAATATAAATGTCAAAAAATTTATGTTTCCATTATTTTTTTTTTATTTCACTTTAATCATTTGTAAAATCAATAATAAGAATTTTAATTATTAAATTAAAAAAATAATTAGTTCTAATTAGATCATCACAGAGATAATGATAAAAGATTAATAAAAAAGAAATATAAATTAATTGTATATTTATTTTAATTTTAATTCAAACTACTTTTCTTTTACAAGCACAAATCTTCATACCACAATGAGGACATATTTTTTTGATTGAAGATAAGAAGGTGTGTTCTTATTATTAATTTGTAGAGTAGTCGAATATTTAATCAGGTTATGTATATTTATATGCCTATGCGACATATTGAGGATTTGCTTTAGTAATAGCATCCAATTTTGTTAATTCTTCAACAACATCTTCTTTTTCTGGTCTATCATTTAATGTGCTCATCAAATTTTATGTTAATGTAGCTGGTCCTGATCTTTTTCCTCCTTTTCCTGGACCTTTTTATGGAGGTTCAGGCTTTCTTGGTTAATCTTTAACACTCTTCTTTTCTTCAACAATTTTCATTCCTCCATGAACTGTTTCACTTACTTTAAAAATATATAAATTTTCAGGAATTAAAACATGTCTTTCAAGTTCCATATTTTCAGCATGAACAAATTTTACTGCTCTATTTGTTGCTAATAAAGCTCCTTTTTAACTTAATTTAGGATTAAACAATGCTCTAACATGACCATCATCACTTCCTAAAAATATTTAATTTAATGTTGGATGCCATAAAACTTCTGTAATGGCTTAATCAAATAATTAGACTCTACAATTAATACTTAAATCATTAACATTTAAGAATAATAATTCTGTTGGTCCTACTATATGATATCCATCTTTAAAAGTGTGATGAGCTGTTACAAGTATACTTTCATTAAAATTTAAATCAAATCTTGTTGGTGGAAATCTATTAATATTACAATATTATAGATAAATATGATGATTAGTATTTGTAGTTTCCCAAAGTTTAATAGTATTATCAACACTCTATGTAATAAATCGTTTTTAATCAGCTAAAATTTTAATTTTAGTAACAAATCCTTTATGAGCATCTTGTATTATAAATAATGGTCTTTTCTTAATTTCTCTACAATTTTAATTGACTTCATAAGCTTTTATAGTGTTATCACTACAAGCACATAACAAAAGTCTTCCTCTTATTGTTACACATTGTACTAATACTTTATGACCTGTTTTATCAACACATTTAACAGCATCTTTATGAGTTAAACATTATGCAACTCCATAAAGTTTTTTAGTCATATCCCAAATCCTTACTGTACCATCATCACTACAAGTCACAAAGACATCACTAAAATCTGGATGAAAACAACCAGAATTTATAGCTGCAGTATGTCCAATAGTTTTTAAAATGTCTCGAATATACATATCTCCTCTATGTGTATCCATAGTTCTCTTTCCTTCTCTATCTAATACACATGCTTATGCATCAGCACAAATTATCAATACATTTTTTCCATCCTTTGCCCAACTTATCTAATTCACTTAATTCCCTTCATATGGTGTAACCAATCTAAAGCTATGTGTATTCTTATCCATACCATAAAAGTCCCAAAATCTAACTACACAATCATATGCTCCTGTAACTAATCTTGAACCAGCATTATCTATCCCAATTGCTGTTGCTTATTTAGTATGTCCTTTTATCAATAATTAGTGTGTAATAGGAAAAGTGGCTAATCTCTCTTTTTAAAGTTCCATAGAAGGCAATTCTTCATTTTATGGTTTAAATTTTAAAAGAGCTCTTTTTGCTGCTTATGCTTCAACTGCCTCTCTTAATGCAGGATCTCTAGCTAATGCAGCAGGATCAATATAATCATCATCTTCATCTTAAAAATTTTACTTTTTTTTTTCAGCAGAATCTCTATTTATCCTTATTCCATCATTTTCATTCACTTTAACTTATTTTTGAATTGGCTCGTAATCAGGCTCAAAAACTTCTTCATCAGATGAATAACTTTCTTCACTAGATGGTCTTGCTGGACCCACTTATCCAGTTGGTTATACTAATTTCTCTGGAACTATTATTTATGGTGTTGCTATAACAAACTCTGCTTCATCAGGAATATTTGGTTTAGTTGAAGTAAACTTGTCTTTTATTTAATCGTCTATCATTTAATTTTATTATAAAATTTAAATTGAAAAAAAACACATATGAATACCACACAAATATTTGCAAATAATATCTATTTTTAATTATCTAATCCTAACATATGAATTTCTATATATTATGCTAATTTATAATCATTTAAAATTGAATTTCCATTTGAAATATTTCTATTTACCTTAATTATTTATTATTTTTATATATATATAATTTTGTCTAATTATATTGTTTTACTTGAAGAAAAGAATTTAAAATATTAAGTATATTCTTAATTAAAATCCTTATTGAATTATTTTACAATTATTTGAATCGATATATAAATTTATTAGAATTGTATTCAAATTTTTTAATATTACTTAATTATATTTCCAAATATAAGTTATTGTATTGTATATTTAAATATATATGATACAATAAATGAAATCAAAACACACCAAGGAATTTCTAACAAATTAAATTTATTATTTAAAGTTATTGATTAAATATTAAAATAATGACCACAGTTAATGCTCCGAAAATTAGCGAATACAAAGAAGCTACTCGTATCGAAAGAGTAGGTGCTTAATCACATATCAGAGGTCTAGGTTTAGATGGTGATCTTGAACCAAGAAATATTTCACAAGGTATGGTTGGATAGGTATTGAATAATTTAAAATTAAAACATAGAAAAAAGCTAGAAAAGCTGCAGGTATCATCCTTAACACTATTCGTGCTGGTAAAATAGCAGGAAGGAGTATTTTGATTGCAGGATAACCAGGTACAGGTAAGACAGCTATTGCTATGGGTATTGCAAAAGCATTAGGAAATGATATTCCTTTTACAGCTATGGCAGGATCAGAAATTTTCAGTCTTTAAATGTCAAAGACTGAATCTCTAACTTAAGCATTTAGAAGATCAATAGGTGTAAGAATTAAAGAAGAAACAGAAATTGTGGAGGGAGAAGTTGTAGAAATTGAGATTGATAAATCTGCAACTTCAGGAGCAAAAACTGGAAAAATCACTTTGAAAACTACAGAAATGGAAACAATTTATGATTTAGGAGCTAAGATGATAGAATCAATTACAAAAGAAAAAATTACATCTGGAGATGTAATAACAATTGATAAAGTTTCTGGAAGAATTAGTAAATTAGGAAGATCTTTTTCAAAAGCATCTGAATTTGATGCTCTTGGCCCATAAACAAGACATGTATAATGTCCAGAGGGAGAAATAGAAAAAAGAAAGGAAGTGGTTCATACAGTTACTTTGCATGAAATAGATGTCATAAATTCTAGATAAAAAGGATTTTTAGACTTATTTTCAGGTGATACAGGAGAAATAGATTCAGAAATAAGAGATTAAATAGATTCTAAGGTAGCTGAATGGAAAGAGGAAGGTAAGGCTGACATTGTTCCAGGTGTCTTATTTATAGATGAAGTTCATATGTTAGATATAGAGTGTTTTTCATTCCTTAATAGAGCATTAGAATCTGATAAAGCACCTATTGTGATTTTGGCAACAAATAGAGGAATAACAACTATTCGTGGAACTACTTATAAAGGGTATTTAATTTAATTTTTATAATTAGACCTCATGGTTTACCAATAGATTTATTGGATAGATGTTTAATTATCTAAACTGAACCATATAATGAAGCAGAAATAAGAAGTATTCTTGAAATAAGGTAGAATTTTTATTTAATTTATTTTTAGATGTGAAGAAGAAGATGTTGAAATGACTGAAGAAGCAAAAGAAGTATTAACTAAAATTGGAGTGGATACAACTTTAAGATATGCTATTTAATTAATTACAACTGCTAATTTAGTTGCATAGAAAAGAAAATCAAATGAAGTTGATGTTGAAGATATAAGAAGGGTAAAATTTAAATTAAAATTTAGGTTTATTCTATGTTCATTGATCATGTAAGATCCACGTAATATTTAAGAGATCATTAAGCAGAATACATGTTTGATGAATACTAAAAGTAAGCATAAAAGATGTAAGTTGAATGATATATAAATATTCATATAAGTAATTACAATTATTTATCTCCATGTTCTAGATTTTATATATATATATATATATATATATATGTTTAAATAAAAAATTCCTCTCATTACATCTATTATTTATCAATATTATATATAAATGTAAATGCTTTAAATACTGCATTATATTAATTATAGATACTACTTTGAGTGATATTAATATTATTTTCTTATATTAATTATTTTAAAATGTCAGCTCCTTAAATTATAATTGAATAGTAATCTTAACTTAATAGTCCAATTGAAGTAGATGGAGCTGTTTATGTAGCTGCATAAAATGGAGAAATAATTTAATACAAAGATGAAGAATCGAAAGTATGATTTTCATTCTCTATTCAGACCTTTTTTCATGTAGCTAGTCAACCACATTCTATAAAAATGGATAATAGTAATAAAGTGTTTTATGTTGCTAACATGGCTAGATAATGCATTTAAAAATTTTGTTAAGAGGAGAATAATGATGAAATAATTGATTTCATTAATGAATTTGAAGGAATGCCACTTCTTGGTCCAAATTCACTTTTACTCTCTCCTAAAAATAGTATTTCATTTAATTAATCTTAGATATGATATTTTTTACAGATTCTGGACCTTTCGGAGAAACTGCGATTGATAACTGTAAAGGATCTTTGTTTGCAGCAGATTTAGAAAATTTAACATGTAAGGCATTAGCATTATATTGTCTTTCATTTCCAAGTGGAATATGTATGGGTAACGATTAAAAAACTATTTATTTATGTGAAACAGGAAAAAATAGAATTTTGAGATTTGTTTAAGGAAATGCTGGAATATATTACTTTAGGTATCTAATTTCATATTATTTTAGTGTTTATATTTAATTTTAAGGAAGGTTTGGTCCTATGGCTTGTGCAGTTTCATCAAATGATCTCTTATATGTAGCCAGATATGAATTTGCTTAAGTGACTGAGGATGGACTTATAAGTGTATATAATTAGAATGGAATTAATATTGATAATATAATATTGCCTCAATATCCTGAATTAACTGGAATGGCATTTTCTGTGTAACATTATATTTTTGTATCATTTAGATTACAACCTAGTGTATTGTATATAACTGAGAATTCTTCAAAGGGAAAATGCTTAAAACTCAACGTAACTCCACCTGACAAAAAAGATAAAGATAAATTTAAGTGATGCCCTTATAAATTTTATAATGACTAATTTTATAAGTGAATTTCTTAAAAAAAACATTTTCAAAATCCTTTGAATAAATTTCTTTTCCTGTACAGATTTATTAGATCTAAAGGAATTCTAAATTTCATTCAAATTTTAGTGATAAGAAATTAAATTAGATTTAATTATTTTTATGAATTAAATAATTAAAAATATTAATATATAAAATTTATATAAAATAGTACAAGATTTGAACAATAATTAAATAATACTAATATTTATACTCAAACAAGAAAAAGCTTAGTATTCTTTTTAATTGGTACATTAAATATATTTGATTTATTATTTTTTCTCATAGTTTTGATTTATTCCATAGTAAATAAAAAAGAAACATTTTTATTTGAAGGACTTCCTAAAAATAGATCAAAATTAGGTTGAATTTTAGAATTTCCATTTGGGGAAGTTTTGGAACAACTTACTTTTAAAATACCATATAATTTATTTGGCATATATTTTTTCTGATATTATTTTTTAGATCTAGGTGTCAGTGACATCTTTTACCTCTCTTAAGATTTATTAATTTTCTTTTCTTATGAATTTCTTTATGTTTAAGGATAAAGATTGTTTTTTTTCTAGATAATAATTTACTGATTTCTATTAGTAATTTTATTATTTTGACATTCAAGGGAAGAGTATTTTTTTGTTTAGATGTTTAAGTTATGATGAGTTTATACTAGGTTTTATTATTTAAAAGTTTTAAATACATTATTCTATTCTTGAGACTCTTAATTATAATGTCCACCCATAAATTTATATTTTGGAGATGATATTGGTTAATTAGCTGACTCAATACTTGCGAGTGATTGTGTACTTGTTTCACTAAATGAAAAAAAGGTAGTAGGAAATGTTTGCACATCAATTTATTTATCATCTTCATCAGAATTAATTGTTAATTGAGAGTCAAAGGAATATACTTTTGCCATTTACAAATTAATTATTTGAAAATAGATTAGAAAATATGATATGGATTAATACGTATAATTGTTAACAAGTTTAAGAAAAGATAATTAATTATTATATAAAAAATTAATTTAAAGGGGTTTAGTATGTTAATATTCTTGTAAAAAAAATGAAATATATATTCAATTATTGCAAAAATAATATTTTTGTAAAATTATGAATAATAAGGCTTAAAAAAAGAATATTTTATTTAACTTTACAATCTGAAATTTGGAGATGAAAATTGTAAAATATTAAAATAAATTATTTTTATAATAATAAGTTGTCTTATTTAGATGATTAATTGATAAGAAGTGTTATCTTTGGAAGTAGTTAATATAAGTATGATATAATAATCTATTTGACAAAACTGATTAAAAAGGGATGAAATGATATAAAGGAACCAATAGTAGTGTAAGGATATCATGATTAAAATAGTAGACTTTAAGTAAGTGGAATTGAATTTAAAGTGATTAATATAATTATAAATTATGAATCCTATTGACACAAGATAAATATTGAATTGGGATCAAGTGAAGGTGCATCTACAACCAAATTTATGTATAGAATGCTAATAGGTTCCTTAATAACCTCTTTAGTGTTATAGATGTTCAAAATTACTATGCTAAACTTGTCATGGAGATCTAAAATAGAAATCAAGAGGGCCAAAAATATTTTGTTAGAAATGCAAAGCACTCAATTATTTCAATCCTGCTAATAATGCTATTTATCAGAGTTACAGGGATATGATAATAGGATGTGTAAATCGACGATATGGTTGTAAAGTGACACTGGACTACAAAAAATATTAAAAGCATGTTGAAGAATGTGAATTTTAACGTATTCCATGTCCATCACCAGGTTGTTTTGTTACAACATTAAAACGAGCAAAGGGCGATCATTTATAGGTATGTGAATATGTGATAGAAACATGTTAATATTGTAATAAGTAATTCAATCGTAAATCTATGACTTATCATCAAGTATGAATTTGTTATAATGAAATGATAGGAAAAATGTAATGGAAAGGATGTATAATAGATTGATTTGGCATCACTAAAGTCGGACTTCCTACGACTAAGGAGTAAATTGGATGCAGCCATTTCATAATTCGAGTAATCAGCAGAAATTGCTATACTAGAATAGAAGGTAATCAAATAGTAGTTAGAGATCTAACAATTGAAGAATAATATTAATTAATGAGTTATTAAGAATATGATTCTCTTCGTACAAGACGAATGTAAGTCTTTACAATAGTAGGGCATTTTCACTACATAAGCAACGATTAGCCAGTATCAAGGGATATGAGAATAAGTAGATATCTAGTGTTGTGGCCAAAGTTGAGAGAATGAGATCTGAATCTATTAACAGACGTAAGTAGGTAGAATAATAACAGCTTGGAGAAGAAAATCAACGTTTAAAGTATTTAGGTTTTCTATAACTATAGAATTAAGTTATTAGAAATAGCAAATGAAAAGAAGGCATTATCTTAACAGGTTAAATTATGTTAAGCTAAAAAGAAGTTATCAGAATTATTTAGACATTAATAGAATATGATGGAGAATCTTATTTTGATGAAAAAGATAACTAATGTGTATTTATTTAAGTTCATTTAGAACATCATCTATCACCCATAGAGTCTAATTATAAGATTTTCACTTTAGTAAATTAAAGTAACTTGATAGATATTTACAAGATGATGAAAAGAGTTTTGTTAAGTAAAATAAATACATATATATAATATAAAGACCTTCAATTATTTAGAGTCCTAACCATTCTTAATAAAATTCATAACATACTTAACATACAAAAACTCTGGATGCCACTCATATTAAATTATCAGAATTAAGAGTGTATTCGAATGGATAATTACTTCAATGAAATATATATTAAGAAAATAATCAAATTTCTTAAGTTATAAGACATTCTTTCTTAAACAATAGTTCATCTTCTTATTATCTATCTTCAGATTTTATATCCTCAATTTTCTTTCTATTACTTCTTTATTTTGGAACTTAAACTAGATTTTTGAAATGATCTATTAATTTATAAATTTATTCTGATGAATGATTGAATTTTAATTTTTCATATTTAAGAAACTACTTAAATTTTATATTAAAATCTTTCTTATCATAAACTAAAACTCTATCTAAAAATTAAGAACCCAATTCCTAAGAAAAAACATATTCAAAAAAGATAGTTCCAAAATATTTCTAATTAGTTTTATAACTCATTTCTCCAACAGAAATATTGAATCGTTTCTCAAGATACTTATAAATGAAGTCTGTTTTATTCTTTTCTTATTAAGATTAAACTTATTTCTCTATATTAATATCAAATGAACTAATTTAAGGATACAATAAAGTGCCTCTTCTATCTACACAAAGTGAAAGTTGAGGAGTAGCTACAGTTTGCTTATACCATCCTACTAATTATCCCCATACAAATAAAGAAGAATATGTTTTGCCTTCAGCTTTCCCTTTCTTCTTAATTAAGCCCACCTTCCCCCATTCTAGATCATCTATAGGAGGAGATTGAAATCCTTTATATTCAGTTTGTTTAAAATATGTATATGTGAATGCCATCATTTATAAGATTAAAGACAATCCTTCATAATAGAAAGATTACTTTTATTATAAAAGTAAATGTGAGAGTACTAAAAATAATAATCTTGTTAGTAACAATTATTCTTGTATTTCATATAAATGTCTCTTATCTTAAATGAGAACAATTAATTCCATTAACTTTTTTAATCCATGTTTTTAGAATAGCTAATAAAGTTCATTTGATAATAAAGATTCATTATTCATTCCCCAAAAATTTATTATAAGATCTTCATTAGAAATTTTAGATAATGGAGGTTCAACTGTATCACTCTATTTTAAGAAAAACTTAATTTTATCTAAAGTAAATATTAAATTTTGTATTCTTTCTTCAGAATGCTATTAAGCAGTAAATTAATTCCATTTTTCAGTTTCTTCATTAAAAATAAATTTAGTATCCAATTCTGCCTTATATATTTTATATCTAATATTAATTATTAATATAATACTCTTAATCAATAAAACCAAGTGATTAACATATCCAACATTTTAACCAGAATGGACAATCTGTTAATAAACTAGATCCAATCTTATATTTATTTAATAGAATCTAATCAATTTTGTAGTTATCAAGACAAGAATTCAAAAGAATTGAATTTCTTTTAATAAAACAATGATTTCTATCTAAAATAGCATTATATTCTCTTTGATTAGATAATCCCAAATAATACCTAAATAATAATATGAATAAAATACTTTTTACAATTTTCACTTCCACATAAACATAAGGCTTACAATTATTCTTGTTTACTTTCAGTAAATGAACAATAATCAAATGTTAATTCTTCTCCATATTATATATCACGCATAGCATACATTCCAATAACATAAGATCCATTACTTACAGTTGTGACTGTACCACAATTAGGATTACATGAATGACTTAATCTGGATGAAAAATTGCCTTTATTAATAGGATCAACAAATAGAATATCAATTCCATCATAATCATCAAGATGTCTATCTAACATTATATTATAAAAATCTGGGAGTATATCTTTTTTATTATGTTCTTTCATTTATTTTTTAATAAAATCCTGCTTTTCATACCATCTCCAAGGTTAATAGATTTCACCCAAATATGGTATAATAAGAGAATTAGTTTTAATTCCAAATTTATTTACACAAACTAATCCACATCCTTTTGTATGTATACGAAATCCTCCTCCATCAAGTTTTATAACTCTTTTAATTGATTTAGCCATCTTTCTATCATCTTTATTATAATAACTTGAAACCATTCTAGATTCTCTTATAATATAATCACATGCTAATCCCATATCATATCCTCTCTCTTTATCATTTGGTCTATTAATAGCCAATATTAATTTCTCAATAAATTAATTTTTTTAAACTTCTACATAATTCAATGGTAATATATTTATAATTACATTTCTAGTATATACATCAATACCCCAACATAAAGTTTCCTTAATATAATATAATTTATACTTCAACATCTGCATTATCTCCAAAATTAATTCTATTAATTAAATATTATTTTAATTATATCTACATATTTAAACATGGTTTATCAGTTCCTTCATGTTCTCTACATTCAATTCTATTACTTCTATTGGGACATTCAGAATCCCATTTAATATCTGAATAATTGAATGTTCCCATTCTACTCAAATCAAAACAAACACAATCACTTTTACATTTAACTGGAATTTTCTTGCTTGATAACTTCTCTTTAATTTAAGAAATATGTGGCTCTACATTTGGATTTGGTTCATAATCTTGAATTTCTATGTAGGTTCGTATATCTTTTCTCTCAGGCACAACAGGCCATATTGTGGAAGACACTTTAAATTCAGTATTCATCTAAAGGATATTATATACTTCTTCTTTAATTAATTCAGAGAATTCTTATATCACTGTTCTTATCTTTGGTTTAGCATCATCCCAAACTTTGGACAAATAATAGTAGGATTATTTATTTTTGCATTTCATGTAAATGTTGCCAAATAATTTATGCAAATCCTTTATTATTTCTTAAATATCCCAATACTATCGGTATTCTACTCTTTTTCTGAATTCATGCAAATAACACAAATTACTCTTGAAATTGATAGGCTATACTTTTACTGTATTATACCTTCATTAATTGCGTTGTCTCCTCATATTAATACTCATATTCTTTATCAAACCATTCTTTATATGTGTCCTTTGAATTTCTTTCACTTTTCTCAAATTCTTCAATTAAACCACTCAATTCTTAACTATCCAAAATATTCTTTGGATCACTTTGAATTAACAAATCTACAACTGTTTCTAAGTGTTTCCATGCATCCTATCTTTTAATTACTTGAGTTTTCACTTTTTTCTTATTCTCTACAATTCCCACATTATTATTTTTTTTCTTCTATTTTTTTATCTATTTAGATATTGAGTCGCTCTTTTTCTCCTCTTCAATACTACTACTCAATTTAATACACTTTTTGCCCTTTTAGCTCATTTCTATTTTAATTTTAATTTTTTATGGGAATTCCATAACAAAAACAAACTCAATCTCAACTTTTTGAAGAAACCCTTAAATAATTCGACATAATAGGCAAATAATCTACTTACGTATTATTTAACAATAAAACTACAATACAAAAAATTAGAATTTTGAACATTTAAGTATCATGATGAAGACTCTTTCAAAAAGGCAGTATAAGAACTGACTCCAATTAAAACATGTTAAACTTTGCTTTAAATTATTAAATAAAATACAGTGACTCTATATGAATTTTGTTCTACTTTCTATGAACTTCAAATACTAGTTGAACATCCAATCTAAAGTTTTGGAGAATACCTACAAAATAGAGGACAATAAGATTACTCATCAAAAGAGCTGTATTATTTGATAGATTGTGTAGTATTTGCATAATTAAATCTTGATAAAAAACAATATATAGGATTCAATAATTTATGGAAAGGTGAAAATGATGTCTGGAAATTGAGAAGTTTTGATAATACCTATCGACCTATCGATTTTTGGGGAAAATAAATACCTCATTTATATCCAGTACCAGAAGAACTAAAATTAAATCCATTGATTAAATATTCACTTGAAAAAGCAACCATTTTCACTTTTGGTATGCTCCTTCTTCATGTTGTATTAGGTATTTAATTAATTTAAATAAGTATAGCCAAATTTTGTGACTCTATTTATTAAAATAATACTATAGATTAATAAAAATGATAAATAGAATTGCTGAATTCTACAAAATATATCCTATCACTTTAGCAGATATTATATCTAATATGCTATAATATGGATCCAAATCAAAGATACAATTATTAAGATATTCATTATAAATTGAAAGAGGCTTAACAATGTAAGATAACTGATAGCACTAACTTACTCTTAAAAATGCCTTAACATATAAATAGCTAATCTAAAATCTAAGGAAATCCTTATAAATCTCCTGTAGAAACATAAAGATTAATGAATATCCCCTATATCCTGAATAATTATTTATAAATTCTTAATTGATACCTGCAAATAATAGTTTACCAAATTATGGTAATTCATTATAATCAAACAATGAATAATGTATATAGACATCTAAGCTATAATAGCTAGAACAACCTTAAACTATAATACAAAATCAATAATCATCCCCTTATAATAGTAGAATTAAATAAGATAAAATATCATTTGTTGATGATATAATTGATGCTTTCCTTAATATTAATGAATTTCCTGGTGTTTTTAATAATTGGGTAAAATATGAAGGTTATTTCTATTTAAATAAGTATTTTCCTTATTAGTATTAGAAAACAGGGAATTGGAAGTATTATTTTCTCTAATGGTGATTTTTACATTGGTGGATTTCAAATAGATAATATGGAAGGAAGAGGTACTTACACTTAAAAATATGGATAAACATATATTGGTTTTTGGGAAGGTAATAAACTAATATATTGATTCATTATTTATTTTTTTTTACATATGTAAATTGAGGAGTCTTATTAAGAAGCAAGATAGATTTTAAGTTAGAATTTAGAAAAAGGTCGAGTCAAATTAAACCCAGAAGAAAAATAAAAATGTGATATTGCATAGGCTATCATATATGAACATGATCAAAAAAGATTATAGGCTGCTTCCATCTTCTATAATCTGAGTTAAAGGAATCCAGAATACTTTTAAAGAGCTATCATTAATGTATTGGCTGCTCCTGCTTCTGCAAAGAGACAAGCACTTCTTATTACAATATATAGGGATAGTCGATGTTAAAAGTCAAAATGGCTTTCATTCATAAGATCAAAGTATTTTGATTATATCTTATTGATTATAGTGTACAATAAGATTTATTAAAGTGGAATGATATTGAAAACTTTGCAAGGGAAACTAAAATAAATCCAAGTTTATTTTGTGAACATATCATTACAGCTATAAGTCGATTTTATAGTAATATATCTATTTAGAAATTGGGTTAATATTGTAAATTACAGGAGGATTAAGCTTATGAACTTTTAGAGAACATGATTATTAGCGAGAGATTACAAGCATAAATAGATCAATAATAAGGATATATCTAATTTTAACATAAAGAATAATGTACAATTGAAGAATTTTGTACAAATTTATATAGTTTATGCTAATGAATAATTATCTACAATTATAATTCATTAATAATAATTAAATTCCTCTCTAATGTTTAATTTTAATTATGAAAACTTTTCATTCAAATTATGATAACATTTGAATACACCTGAAATCATCCATTATCCTGTATTAGTCTTTTCCATACAATCTTAGAAATCATCTTTCAATAACTAAAATTAATTCTAAACAAACTTATCGGCATCTTTCAAACCTTATGTACATTCAATTACACAAAATCTTATTGATTATCTATCCTTAAATATATCATCATAACAACGATTTCTAAGACATTTGTTGATCTAATAATTATAATAGATATATACTTTATTTTGTAATACTGAATATTCAAGCAATAAAAACTAATTAACATCTGCTATATTTTTATTGTATTCAATGTAAAGATCAGCAGCTGTATTTCTTTCTTATTCATTTAAGATATCTTTATCAAAAAGCTTTTGAGTTTTATCATCAATAGTATTTTTTAAATGATGATAATATGGATATTCTCCTTCTTTTGCTGTCCTCATTAATATTAAATATATAAAAAAATCATTCTCTATATTTATGTTACTTGATCATATTCTAGATTTCATCAAGTACTTTAATTTTACTTTATTAAACATATTTTTATTAAACTACAGTATTTTTCAAGGCTTCTCTTTCTCCATACAATTTTTCATTTTCTAATGATTTCACTTTTTCTTCTAACTAAAAATTATTATATAATTAAATTACAATTCTTTATTCATTTTCTAAATTTTTTGAATTCTATTTACTCTTCAAATACTTAGCTTTAAATTAATTAGTATGTTCTTCTTATTATTATAACTATCTTTTCAAATCATTAGCATTTCGCTTCCATTCATTTGCCTCATCTCTAGCAACATGTACTTCTGTAACTAAAGAATCAACCTTCTTCTCAATATGTAAGATCTCCTATTATAATTTTATAAAATCTTATAATACTTATTCTTATGATTATCTCATGTAATCAATTTCTCTATCTTATTCATATATTAAATGTTATAATTTTCTATTTTCTTATCCACAAATCTCAATTTCATGATGTAATCTTTATTTTTCTTTCTAATCAATCTAATATTGAACATCATATTTTGATAATTTTTCATCTTAAATTTAAATAGTGTATCTCTATTTTTCTATTTCTCCTTTAAGATCTCTTACTTCTTGAACTTTAAATTAAACTTCATTGTTTGCTTAATCTGTTTTTTATTTTTAATCTTCATATAATGATTACAACTTCATTTATTCTCCTTATAAATCTTATATTTATTTATTAATTAAAATATCTTCTTTTACTTTTTCTTATAATTTTGATTCTAATTATTAGATTTAAGATTGCATTTATTTAGTTTTTTATTTTCTTTTCTATAAAGTTTCTTATAATTCATTTATTAATCCTTATTTCTCTTAATCTAATTTACCTTATAACATTTAATATCTTATATCAGCTTATTTTAATTGTTCTTCTAAATCTTAAACTCTCTTCCCTTAATTTTCAATTGTTATTTACAAAATCTTTTTCTCATCTATAAATTCTTAAATTTTAGACCTTATTTTATTTGTATTCTCTCTCTCTTCTTAAATCATCATCTCTAAATATCTTCTATCTTCCTCTTTCTAATCTAGTAATTATTTATAATGCTCATTATCTTCACTTAAACAAATGATTCTCTTTTCTGAATCTTTACTAATTAACCATTAATCAATTAATATTACATTTCATTTGAGAAATCTTCACACAATTTTTACACTCTATCTAATTCTTATTAGAATACTTATTTCTAATCTTCAAACTTACTCTAAATACAATATTAATTTAATTATACATCATTTGTTTTTTGAGAGTCTTTTAATAATTGAATTTTTGCTTTCTTTTTAATCAATTTCTATTTAGCCTATGATAATTAAGCTCTTAGTTCTTCATTAGATCGTGCTTATTAATCTTCTTTCAAAATCTATTCTTTTTATTCTTGTAATTGATTATACAAATTCTCCTATTATTCTCTTAGTTCCTTCTCATACTTTTCAATAAGTTCATCTTTCCCTCTAATTGTTGATTCCAGTTCTTTTGTTTGATCAATATATTCTTTTAGAGTTATCTTTTTTTATTATTAATTTATACTTTAAGCTCTTTATTTAAACTTCTCATTTTGTTATACTTATCTCTTGATACGTATTCCTTTTCCTCTTTATAATTTTTCTCAGAACGTATTGTAGTATCATTCTTCCCGCCTGATTAATACAATTAATCAATGACTTATTTTGAACGATTATATCTCTCTAACAATCGTGAAAAGTCTTTTTCTATCTTTTCTGTTTGTCCATCCCTCAAATTCATTTTTAATATTCAAATTTATTAACTGATTTAAATTATGTAAAATAACATTTTATTTTATCAATTACAACCTTATATCAATTAAAGTAAATATATTTAACATATCTCTTCATATATAGATCTGAAAATATAACAAAATTAATATAATATAGTAACAATAGGATTTATGTAATTAAAAAATAATTTAAATTCATATATTATATGAATATAAAATCTTATATTATCATTCATGTTCCATTTATTCCTAATTAGATTAATAATAATCTTAATTATAGTGTTAGAATGAAAATGCTTAACTTTGTTCTTTAGATAATGAATTTTATAATTGTTATTTAAGTAACTTATCAGTAGTTAGCTAAACTTAGGTTTACATTTCTATATTTTATTCACGCAAATATTAATTTTCAACTTCTAATTATTATAATTTATCTTTTAATTCATTCAATTCTTCAATCAGATTATTTTAATTAGAATTAATATTCATTATTTATTATACTTATTAAGAATCACTTGATTTTCTACTATTTACTTATTAATACTCTATTTCATTCTTATAATTTTTATATCGAATTTTCCATTTTTCTTTTTTCTCTTAAACTTTATTTAATTATATGATCTAATCTTATAACTTTTTATTGCTCTCATTTAATTGATTTTACAATACATTATTATCATTTTCTAATTATTTTATTTTATCATCTTTTGATACACTTTTTGTTTAAGTTTCAACCAATTTTTAATAAAATGAATTCCTTTCCTCTTTTATTTCCTAATAATTATCTTATATTATTTTATATTGTAATTTCATTTCTAAAAGCTACTACTTCATTGATTCATTTTATTCTTATAATTATCTTATTTAATATTCTAAACTATTTTCATATTCCAATTTTTTTTCCATACATCTGTATTTTTGATACTATTCTAAAAAGTTCTAGTTTTTCTATCTGCTTTTAATAAATAATTACTTGTAAGTGTATGATAATTTTTATATTTCTTACTATTATCTTATTGCTTAAATTTATTACTTTAATAAAAGGTTTTCCATTTCACATTCATGTAATGCAGTTGATTTCCTCATATATTGATTATTTAAATCATCTAATTCTAATTCTAATAATTTTCTTTGCTAATTTGATCTATGTAATTCCTATTCAAGTTGATTACATTTTATTATCTAATCAGTATTACATTTAAAAGGAGACTTAGAAGTACAAGACTCTTAAAATGAAGCCCGAGTTCCTCTTGACGTATTTAGAGTGAGATTGAACTTTTTTTTTAACGGACTAGATTACATTTTATAATTATTTACATAAGGAAATTGTTCATTTGATTATTTTTCAATATTAATAAATAACTTCATTATATAAATTTAATAAAGAATAAGAGAATTGTTTAAGAATAAATATATGAAATTTAAGAAGATTCTTATTAATATAATATATCAATTAAATTATTAATATAATATATCTTTAATAATAGATGTATATAAATAATATTATGATTATATTATAGTATTATATTGTGTAAATAATAATGGTGTATTTATATTGGATCAGTAAAATATGAATAAGTTTAAGTATTAATTACGAAATAAATAATAACAAATTAAAATCATTAGAAGATGGTTCTATTCAAGAATCAATTTCGATGCTTTTTTCAGTTATTTAATTTAAACTGCTTGAAGTTTAGAGATGTAATCTCTTAATTCTTCTGAGTGTTTTTAATTTCTGAGAGACTTAAGTTATAGCATCTCGTTTGTCTACTAACTTGTCATTAACATCTTGACGCATAATTATCATTTTTAGTATTGATTTTTCCTCTTTAGCAATATACTTTTATTCATAGAGTGTTTGCACATATTTGAGAGCATTTTAGAAATAGGTTTGCGTCATTTAAGAAAATTGATTTTTTATATAATATATAATTTTAAATTATATCAAATTAAGTTAAAAGGGGATTTTATTTTTAGTTTATTTTTGGAAATTTAATTGAATTTTTGGATATATATTAGTAATAAAATAATGCGTATTAATTTTATGTTATTTATATTAAGATGCGTAATATAAACTATGTTGGTGAAACAAAAATTATATATGGCAAGAATTCTAGAAGCATTTCATATATTATATATAAGTATTAATTGGTTAATATATGAATTTGGAGAAAATATATACACAAATCTCACTGAAAATATTTTTAAATAGGACTCTCAAAATAATTCTTCATCTGTCTCTTCATCAATTATAAGAAGTTAGTTTTGTTTGATAGACAACTATCTTCTGTATTTTTTAATTAATTATAAAAAAAAGAATGAGAGTTATTCTGCACTCATTGTAGAAGGTATTTTAAATTCATTTCTAACTATTAGATCTTTTAGAAAAAGTTTCTCTTCCTCATTAACAAGTTTAAGTTCGCCTAGAGAGCGTAAGGTTTAAAAACACATCCTATAAAAGGATTCATTCATCATTTCTGATTAATAATATTAATATGCTCTTTTTTTTATTGTGCTGAATTTAAATTAATTGAGCCAACTCTTTTATTAATACAAATAATAATAATTCTATAATGTATTAATAGAAACAAATATTCCTTTAAAAATAATCATAATATAAGCATTCTATCAATCTCAATTATTGTATTAGTTAAAACAATTATGAAGCACTAAATAAGTATTTATAAATAAAGAAAATGATGTAGTAATTGTTAGTTCTATAATTATAAACTTAATTAGAACAATAATGATTAAGGTATTTCAATGTTTTTATTTTATTTCCCTTTCTATCTATCTTTAATATTCTTAGAATAGAGCTATTAAAATGCAATTGAATAGGAGATCTAATTTATTCAGGAATGATAAATTTTTTAATATTATTTAAGCAAATAAACCGAAATTAGAAATTTTAACTACTTTATTTGTAATATATATCTAATTCTTTATAAACTGATATTAATATAAAAAAGTAAAAATACTTTAAATATTGATAAAAAAAAAAGAAATAATTCAAGATCCTAAAATAATATTTTTAAACATTTCCATTCTAAGATTGCTTCTCTCTTCTGTTCTAATACTTGATTCAAATAATTATTTCTTAATATCATGTAACTTTATCATTCTTTCTTCTACTGTCTATTTACAAATTAATCTATAAACATGTGTTTCCTTTGTCTATCCTATTCTATAAACTCTTTCTATAGCTTATTCTTCAACAGCAGGATTCCTTCATTATTTATAAATAAATTTACCACCAAGGATCTATCATAATAACATGATTGGCAGCAGTTAAATTTAATCCTACACCACCTGCTTTTAGTGATATAATAAATATTCTATATTCATCAGACTCTTTAAAAGTTTTTAATACTTCAGCTCTCTCTTATTATGGCATACTTCCATCTAATCTCTAAATATATAAATCTATATTTTTACTAAATGTTTAATCTTCTAATTATCAAGATCAAATTCAATCATTTGTATCATTCCAATAAATTATGTAAATATTACACATTTCTCATTTTTTGGAATTGCTTATAATATTTACATGACTTTTTCTATTTTACTTGATCTTCTATAGTTTTCCTTCCAATTTAAACTAAATGAACTCTCTCTTGGTAATGTCATAGTATCTTATTTTGTTAAATATTATCTGCAATATGGACATTCACTAGAATTAGCCAAAATACCATATAAACATAATCTACAAAGAAAATGCAAACAAATTGTAACTATTGTATCTTCAACCTATTCCAAACATACAGGACATGGTGGTATATCATTTTCTTTAACTCTTCTTAAAACTTCTTATTTATATTATTATTTATCTTAACAGATTTAAACTTATTAATTATTCATTAATAATTCCTCTTAATCTTCTCTATCTAAAGCTTAATTAGAAAGAAATTTATCTATTTACTCTTCTAATTAATCAATATTTTTGACATCACTTCTAGATGTAATAAGTAAAGGATGATCACAAATTTATCTAAGTCTAATTAATAATTCAAAAACTTTCATATATTGAGACATTAAAATTCCTTTAGCTAAAAAACCTTCTACCTCATCTTAAGATTTTTTCTCCATCTTATCATAAACTATTCTCTCATCCTTTCTTAATTCTATACTTTCAAAATGAATTTCTTTATTTGGTAAACTGATTATTGGTTTCCCATTTTGATCTTTACTCTTTTTTGTTCTTCTTAAAAGAATTGGTCTAAGAATTGAATTTAATAAGGGAAATATATTATCTTTCCCTTCCTCATGAGGTTTATTAATATAAGCATTCCACCATAAATAATCAGACCATGGTTCTAATTTAATAAAATGTATTAAACTAAACATATCATTTAGATTATTTTAAATAGGTGTTCCAGTTGAACACCATCTATAATAACAATCTAATTCATAAGCACCTTAAGCAAGTAAGGTTGTTCTTCCTTTTATATAATGAGCTTCATCAAGTATCACTCTAAACCAATTATAATTATAAATTGAATAAGGATCTTTTGAAGGTTTCTTAAATTCAACACTAACTGTATGATATGAACTAACAACAACATCATATTAACATAAATCTGATTGATTTCTTTCAGCTCCAGTATATTGAAATATTCTTAAATGTTAACTACAATGATAATTCAATTCATCTTGCCATTATTATAATAAACTAACTGGAACTATAATTAATGTTCTAGCCCATTTCTTTTTTTTATATCCTACATAATCTCCAATTAATTTCTTCCCACTATAATTCTAATTCTTTCTACTACTCTTATGATAGTAATCTTAAGGTATTTTAAATGGATTAGCCAAAATCAAAGAAATTAACATTACAGTTTTACCTAATCCCATTTCATCTGCTAAAATTCCACCATTACATCTTCTAGATGAAGATGGAAAATCTAAAGAAGATAATCCTGAAAATGGATTGAAATATATTTTTACACCTTAACTTGTTTAATATTCTTTCCATAAAGGATGTAAAGCATTAGATGAACTTTCATCTTCTGCTTTAATTACTCCTTCTCTTTATAATAACCATGTTAATGCTTATTTTTAATAATCAAATAATTTAGAACCTAATTATTTTGGTCCATCATGCATTTCTAAATCATGATGAGTACAATTATTAAAACCTAAAAACTAATCACAATCTATTTCTTCATTCATTTCATTTTATTGCTTATCTTTATCTATTTCTACTTTCATCAATTAACTTTAATTTTAATCTTAAATATTATTTTTTAATTTAAAATCATTTAAAGATAATTATTTTGGTTTCTATTTAAAAGGATCTTCTTAATAAGTTATTGCTGATTTATTTAAAGTATTATTATTACTATTTTCTTTTATTTCTAAATTATTATTTTCTATTTTTTTCTTATCAATAACATCCACTTTTGTTGAAGTTATTAATTTACAATTAACTAAATCATATAATTTTTAAAAATTATCACTATATTTTACAAATTCTTGTACAGTATCATCAAATTAATCACTTGTTCCATCAGATAATGCTTTCTCATTTAAAAATACATCAATTTATAATAATATTGAATCATGAGTCTTACATAATATTTAGGATTAAACATGATATGCAATTATTTTTATATAATTCTCTTATAACAATGGACTAAATAAATCCTCATATTCTGAATTCAATCGACCTATCTAATATGATTTTATAAACTTACTTCACGTTCATCATAACATATCCTAATTATATTCTATCCTTTTACAATTTTATTTGACTTTTTTCCTCTGTCAACTACTTTACAAGTCCCATCCAAAATAATTTCAACACATTATTATTATACATCCTTTAAATTTTGACTTCCTAATGCATAACCTTTAATTTTTGCACTTCCTATAAATAGTGGAAATGTAATGCCACGACTAATAGTTGTTTCTCCTGAATTCAGTTTTAAGCCAGAATTTTAGTTTTTTTTTTATTTATTTTCTTAATCATCATTTTTTTTACTTTCCCCTTCTTCTAATATTTAATCTTTCTATTCTTTAATCTTATTCTATTTTTTTTTTATTTTTTATTATTAATTCTATAATTATGTGTTTTTATGATCTTCTTCATTTATTTATTATTTTATCATTTCTGAACTCTATCTAAATTTAGCTTGTCTTTTTTCTTATGCATATTGAATAGCAATCTCTTCAATATCATTTGTTTATTAAAAATCTAAATTTCCAGAGGGTTTACTTAAAACTATTTATTAATCTAAACATTCTTCAATTGGTTTTTTATATTCTTGATTTAAGTCTTTTAGAATCTTTTCTAACTATTATTATTTTTTAGCTCCTTCCATTAATTTAGTACAAGCCAATGTTGGCTATTATCGCTTCTTTCTCTCTTCAGCTTGATAATAATAATTTAATGCTAATTCTAAATCATTTTTGCCATATTTTAAATATTATTTAGCTTTCTCTTCATTTAATTAACCTCCTGATATTGCTATCATTTATTGAACAAGTTCTTGCATTTTATATTATAAATTTAAGAATAATTAAAATAATATTTAGAGGGAAAATATAAAAAAAAAATTTAATTTTGAAATTTAGTAAATGTATAAACACAACACTTTTTATTATAATTTTTATAATTATAAAATAATATTATCTAAACTTCTCATTATTTTTCAATTATAATAATAAAAGAATACTGTCTAAATTTAACAATATAATTTTAACAACCAATTAAATTAAAAGTCATAAAAATTTTGCGAATTAAATAGGAGAACAAGGAAATTCTGAAAATGGTGATAATTATCCAATTAGATCTTCATATAATGGTTCCATTAAATTACTAGCAAATTCTGGTTTATGTCCAAAAATTAATTGAAATAATAAATGCATAGGTTTTTCATATATTTATTTTCTTTGTTCATTTGTGTGATTCTCATTAAAATGCTATATAGATTAAATATAAACTAATACATCAACCATTGCATTAATTTTTTTAGCTATTAGAAATTAAATTTAAAATTGAATTCTCATTTGCATAAGTAATTATTATTATTATCTTCTCAAAATTTCTAATTGATGTCTCATATTATTAATTGATATCTGAGGTGAAACACTATCAAAATATTATTCTTGAATATCTTTTGCTTTTTTTCTTCTTTAAATTTTATAAAGTTCTTAACTAAAATAGCCATTATTAATACTAGTTTCCTTAAAAAAATAAAGGATGATTATAGATTTTCTAATTTTTTTCATTTTTTTTCATCTTAAATCCATATAAACTTAGTTGTCTTAAAAATGATTAAAAATTCTATGTATTAAAAAATTCTTCCATAATGGTACTTTAAAATTCGGGAATTCTTAAAATATAAAATCCTTTTCCATCCTTTGTCCAACGAATAGTGGTCTTAAAATTATCTTACTAGTTTTATATAGATGAATTGTATCTTACTTCCAAAATATCATATAGGATGGCAACAAACTTAGCTGGTTTGTTCATAAAATTCTAAACCAAGGAATATAATAATAATATATATAATATTAACAAAATAAATAATTAAATTATAAATCACAGTGTAAATTGTTTTTATTTAATATATATTTATATGAAGTCCATCCAAATTTATTATAATCTAATACCAGTAATTTTATAAGATTAAATAATTTATATCAAACTTCTATCACTTTTTTAATATAAAATTTAAAATTATCTATATATATAGAGATGTAAATTTAAAAGCATTGTAAATTCTCTAATTAGATTATTAAATTATAATTCTGTTTGAAAATAAGAAAAAATAGCATATAATTATAATATAGTATTATTTTATTAAAAATCATTAATTACAAGATTGTAATTATAATTTAACGATGATGTCACCACTGCAATTATAAAAGCCAATTAAGAGAGAAAGGATTATTAATAATAATGAACAAATTACTAGCATTTGCAGCTATTACATTATTAACAGTTGGAATCCATCAACTAAGCCAAACAGAATCTGTTGATTAAAGATTGTAATTTGAAAATTACACAACAAAATATGGCAAAATCTATTCACCAGCTGAGAAAGCATATAGATCAAAGGTTTATGAAGATGCTATGAAATTAATCTAAATCTAAAATGCTGACTTAAGTAGCACTGCCAAATTTGGAGAAAATTAATTCACTGATTTAACACCTGAAGAATTCGCTGCTTTATATTTAACAAGAAGTTAATCAAACATGAACCTTAATGCTGAATTATACATTCCATAAGGACCTGTAGGTGCATCAGCTGATTGGTCAAATATTACTAAAGTTAAGGATCAAGGTAATTGTGGTTCATGCTGGGCTTTCTCTGCTGTAGGTGCAGTTGAAACACTTTTGACTCTTAAGGGAGTTCTTCCATCAAATACATGGTTATCAGAATAATAATTAGTTGATTGTGATAGAGGTACAAACAATGGATGTAATGGTGGTTTTGAAAATTTGGGTATCTCTTGGGCTAAAAAGAATGGTCTTACAACAAGTGACAAATATCCATATGTTGGTAAATAATAAAAATGTCAAATTTCAACTGGATAATATAAACCATCAGGATATTAAGTTGTATCTGCAAGTAACATGTACACTGCTTTATCTTATTAACCAATTACTGTTGCTGTTGATGCCAGTTCATGGTAATATTATAAAACTGGTGTATTTGATAAATGCACATTAAAATCATTAAATCATGCTGTTTTGGCTACTGGTTTCTAAGAAGATGGAGTTTGGATTATCAAGAATTCATGGGGAACAGGATGGGGAGAAAAAGGATATATTAGATTACCAGCTTAAGGTAACCCATGTGGTGTCCAAAATGAATCCTATGTTGCTTATCTTGAATGAGTTAAGATTCACATATTAATAATATATTACAAATAATTCTATATATTATCTTACTCTGAAACAAATGTATATTTTTATTAACTTAGTATTTCCATTATATATTTAATATTATGAAACAATCTTAAATATTTACAAAAAGTTTTTATTAAACTCATGATAAGAATACTAGAAAATTTCTAACAGGTTAATAAATTGAGATGGAAAAACAACCAAAATAAAATGGAAAAATATTATCTAGATTAGTTAGACTTGAGGAAACACATATGGTGTAAATTAAAAATTCAAAGTAAATAAATTATCCAATTGGTTTCCTTTTGATTACTAAAGTATTGCTGTCTAATAAATTAGTAAGAATTTGAAAAGTTACCAGAAAATCAAAAGACTTTTTTTAGTTGGACAACTAATAAGAATAAGAATGTAAGAATATTATTTGATCGTTCTTCTAATGGATTGAATAAAACATAATATTTACAATTTGTAAAACCAACTGCTGTTTATTTTGAAAATATTGAAACAGGAATGAGATTTGCTGAATTTTTGAAGTTCAAAAATTAATAGAAACTCAATCATTTTAATGATATTCTTATCAGATTATATTAATTTTGGTTTCATGAATCAAGTTAGAAGATAATTTAAAGCTCAATTGAAAAAATGCATATTGAAGCATAATAAATTCAGTATTATTAACTTAAAGAATAAAATGAATTTTTATTAGATTATGATGAATTATTAGATTATGATAAGACAATTTATGAATAAATGTTTAAAATTTTATATAATATGGCTGAATATGAGGAAAAGAATAAAAAACAAACTATTAAGCAATAAAAAGTTGAAATATTGTAATAGTAAGAGAATTTTATTAAAAATAAAGAGTTTTAGGCAATTAGGGGATTACTTAAAATTTGGAAATCAATTGCATTAGATACATTAAGAGAAAAAGAAGATTTAGAAGAATATTAATAAAAAGAGTTGGAAGATGAGGAAAGAAAATTGTAAACAGAGATTGAAGCTATTGAAAATGAATAGTAAAGAATCTCTTAAATATAGTAGTCTTAAATATAACAGTAATATTAAAAATAAAATTTACCTTAACATAAAGATCTACATCTTACAAAATTTAAACTTATTATAGATTAACATATTAAATTGTTTAATCCTATTTTATATATTCAATTTAAGAGTTTAGAATCAAATAATCTAGGTAAAATGGAATTTAATAAAGGTCAAGAGATTAATTTTATGTAATTAGATATGAAGGGATGGACAACTGATCTTGAAGTGATTTTAACTGGATTTTAGACTTAGGATGCTTTAGATATAGTGATTTATAATGATTATTAAGAAGTAAATGAGAAAATGTTGGCCAGAGCTTAAGAAGAATAAAATAATATTTTGGCATTTCTATCTATTGCAAAGAAGGTTATGTAATGTAGAATTTACTTAAGAGACTTTGAGAAAAATTTAAACAATAATAGAAGACATTTTGCTAGTTTAGAGGTGTCAGCCAATTTATAATAAAAAGTTACAGGAAATTAATTACAAAATGTTCCTATGATACAAATAGATATTCATGAAGACAGTCCTTTTTAGATTTCAAATTCTACTGTTAATCCATTTTATTTAGATATTATAGAAGTACCTTTTACAGTTTAAGAGATGAAGTATTTTGCAAGATAATTAAAATCTCCTTGTAATAGTTTGTAATAATAATGGGATTCCTTCAAGATTGATTCTTTAGAATTTGCTCTTCAAATTAGAGGATAGATATGGGTAAATAGTAAATAATCAGAAGATGATTTAATTGAAATTTAAGAATTTATTTTAGAAGAAAAAGGGATTGAAGAATAAAAAAGTAAATTTATTGAATTAGCTGAATATTTGTAATTAAATCAAATTCAAAATAAATAATGTTTTGTGAAAAATAAAATAATTGAAGCTTGTAAGAAAGGTTTTACTAAATAATCTCGAAATGAATTAATTCCTATTTTTTTATAATTTAATATAAAAATAGCAAAATTTACTTAAGATATTGGATTAGAGTGGAATTAAAATGAAAGTCTCTTAAATCTTATTTAGAATGAAGTAAATTAGTATTTAGATTAAGATACAATATAATTTAATAATGAAAAAGTATAAAATTATATAGATAGTTTATAATTTAAATAAATAACTGTTTGGACAGATTAATATATTAAAAAGTTGTAACAATGGAAAGATAGAATTGCATATTTATTGAATTGTTTTGAATTGAGTAATCATATGAAAAATAAAATGATTTTGACTATTAGATTATTTTAACTTTTTAATTAAAGAGAAGATTGTGATGATTATGTTTTGAAAATAATTTTAAGTTTAGATTATAAATTTATGATTCCAAAAATTAATTGTGAGAAATTAGATTTTGAATGGTTTAGAATTCATTTGAATAATTTATTTAGTGATTTCTTTTATTTTGATATATGGTTAAGAGTATTTGATTATATAATTGGAATAGGTTATGTAAATGGAGATTATGATAGAGTAATAGCTAGTGTAATTGGTGGAATTCTAAATGAAGTGGATTAGAATAAATATAGAACCAAAGAAGAATTTATGACAGGGTTAAATATTTATGGTAAACTATTATGTGATCCTGAAAAATTGATTATGTCATGCTATAATTCTTATATTCAATAGGAATTCATATATTTAGAATCTGATGAATAAATCATTGAAATTTTAACATAAAATGGTAATCCTTTAGAATAAATATGTAATGATCAGATTGAATAATAATAAAATAATTAATAAAGTTTTATAATTGATGTTCCTGAAGAACATGAAGGTTCTATTTATGAAATTCAAGAATAGTAATCAGAAAATATATTAAGATCACAATAAAAATATCTATTCAAATAAAAAATTGAAAGTATTCATATTTTAATACATTCTATGTACATATATTAAATAAATTTTAATGAATAAAATATAGTTACAATTTAGAATTAAAAAAGAAGTGAATAAGATGGATTATATTTTGAATTGCCATTCTTTTCATTAATTTTGGAAATATAGATAAATGATAATTTTATAGGTTAAATTGATATAGGTTACTTATAAATAAATACAATTTATAAGAATACACTAATTTTAAAGGATAATTATGATATGTAAAGACACTATTAAATATCTGAATTAGAATATTCAATTTTATTAATAGGAGAAGGATTGTAATATGAAAGAATGATTAGCAAGGATACAGCTATCAATAATTTTAATGATCTTGCATAATAATTTAAAGTTTAACACAATTTCTTAGCACATCCAGATACATTTAAAATTGGTAATATATTAAATTTGATACAATTCAAATAATTAATGTAATAATATTTTAAATTGGATCAAGCATCATATAATTTAGATGAATTATATCAAAAGTTTTTATTAAAAGGAAATTAAAAAATATATTTAATTGATATCTTATTGAAATTAACTTAAGATAAAAATAAATAATTAGAAATATTAAATTTATTTATTCCAAATGAAAAGATTAGTCATAAATAATTAAGAAGATAATAATTAGAAAATAGTGATGTTAAATTTTTAAAAGTATTGATATCTGATTAAAATTATGAATAAAATATAGATTTAACAAATTATTTTAATGGTTTATTAATAAATCATTATTAAAAATATAATTCATATGATATGCTGTTAATTGACCATAATAATAGATTATATTTACTAGACAATGCAGGTTCGTTCTTGTCATAGTTACGAACATGTATATATAATAATATATTTAGAAACTTTAATTTTAAGACTAAAGTTTAGCAGTTTTGGGAATATTCGCAATATACAATATTAATTAACTAAATAATTTAAATTAACTTAAGAATTAAAAATTTCTGCAAACTCTATAAAAGAATTATTAGATAATAATAAAAGATTATTATAATTAGATAATAATTTAAATTTAATTAATGAGAAACATTCTATTTTCAATTAACATTTAGTGTATTTAAGATGTAGAGATGGATCTAAATAATTATATACTTGTGATGTTATTGGTAAAATTTTGAACAAGAATAATGAGTTACAATATTTTGTTATATAAATGGAGAATAATAAAAGAATCATTGAGTCTAAGGAAAATGTTTTATTATTCAATAACATTTCAATAGATGAATTAGATGTTTATGATAAGGAATTGAAACAATTATAATGATAATATAAATTTTTATAAATAAAATCATTATTAAAATATCACCGGATCTAATTCTCTATAATACCATAAGGCTAAATAACGAATAATGAATAAAGCTGCTCCCAAAGATATAACTGCTGGACTGTTAAAATTCAAAAGACTCACATATATTAAACTTAAAAATGTTATCACAGTAGCCGTTGGCATATCATATTTACAGGCATCTACCCAAGAATAATATACAGCTGTGGCTAAAAATCCTATGGCCACACTGACTACTCCTTATTTAAATTTCGTCATATATACGTTAGTTTTGAAATTGCCCCAATGAGGTAGCAATCCCCAAATTTATAGAATTGAAGGTACAAAAATGGCTATCCAACAACAAACTCCTCCAGAAATACCCATGCTGTGAGTACCCAAAAATATAGCGAAATTCAAATATGGACCAGGTAATGCAGCTGCCAGTCCAAATCCCAACCAAAATGCATCTTCATTTATATATAAAGGATTTAGTACAGTTTCAGCATACATAAATGGTAATGTTATTGGAGTACCTCCTATCATAAAAGTTCCTATATTATAAAAGGATAAGGATATATCTAAAATCATTGATTAATATGATGAATTTAGATATAATAATGCAATTAGGATGATAGTATATAAATATAAGGATTTATTTCCCAATAATAAACTAATTTTATGACTATTTTTGATATTAATTAAATTTGGATCATTAACAATAGCTGGAGTTACAGTTTGATCTTTTATAAAAGTTCTTCGACCTATAGTATTTTCTGCATCATATTCCAACATTATAGCCAAGATTCCACCCATCATCATGGTTAATATTAACACATAAGATTATTAATATGCTACAAGTAGAACTGCACTTAAAACTGATAAACTAAAATGCACTCTATTTTTTATTGAATGCATAGCCATAGAAATCATTAACTATAATATTAAAGCCACTGTACTCGATTTAATTCCTTGTATTCCTAAAAATATCAATATGTTCAAATCTCTTGGATCAGGATATTTACTATATATTAAACCTAATATTGCTAACAATAATGCTCCAGGTGTAGCAAATGCTATCAATGCAACTACACCACCTTAAGCATTTTTCATTGCTATAGTACCTAAAGCTACCATCATCTATGAAGTTGTTGCTCCAGGGATAAAGTCTACTAAGGAGATGATTTCCTCTAGTTATGATTCCTTTTATTATTAATTTCTATTACTGTGACTGCCTATGCTTTAGTGACGAATACTTCTTTAAATTAACCATACAGACTTGCATTAAGAGTTTTAATATCGAATAGTGCAAAAGGGTATGCCAGATTGAATAATTCTTAATAAGTTAAAGTTCTAGAGGCATTAATCAACAAAGAAAATTTAGCCTAAGTTGGTTGATTTCTCAAGGTTTACATTTCAATCATCTTAATAAATATTTATATTCTCAATTATTAAACATTTTATTTAGTATACCATATTAAATCAATTTGTTGACTATGATCAAATTCTACTATTGATTGTTTCACTTTTCACTTTTTTATATCAATTCTAAAAATAGTTCTTACTACCAAATATTTTCTCTAATCTAATTTACTATTTCTTCCATTATCTAATCAACCTTCTCTAATTACAATATTATATTAATTATAATGTTCCTTTATCAATTTATCCTTTTTCTTAATTGCAAATTTCACTAATTAATTTTATATTTAATATTTTACAAATTCTCTGTTTCTAAATATATATGTGATTTTTGTATTTTTCAATACTTGAGGGAAAGAAATGAAATTCATAATTTTATTAATTTAATTCATAACTTATAATATCTCAACTAATCACCACAAAACAAAATTATTTTTGTATCCCCTTCTTTTACCAATATAGGATTTTGTAAAAATACTTCATAAGGAATAATAATGGGATTAGGCTCTGGCTTATTTTCTTCTCTTTTTTGATATATTTATAAATATTCAATTCTTAAATCCTTCTTAACTATTTCAAATTAGTAATCTTATGAATTAGTTATTTCTTAACCTATTATCAAAACTACATCTTCTTTTTTTTATTTGTTTTTACAGAATATATAAAGCTTAGATTCATACTTAATGAATGACATTAGTATTTCTATATTGAAATAAAATAACTATTTCGTATTGCAACTTAATATTTGATATTTGTATTTTTAATTTTTGTTTTCTTAATCTTTGTAATTATCAGTTATGGTTTCTCCTTTAGAATGATTCCTTAATGGCTCCTAAATCATAATTAATTTCCCACTTTCTGTTGAATATAAAATATTTTTATTGTCTGAAAGTTCAAAACAAGTAATTTTATCCATTTAATTATAAGCCTCATCTAATGAACTATAAAAATTTAAATCATTTAATTTTATATCATAATTATTCTATTAGTTTTCCCCCATAATCATTAAACATTATTATAAACCATAATTATAAGTTTGTTTTTCTACTATTCGAGTTATCATTTGTTTTTCTTTTGGTTATGCTTATGCTTCTGCTTCTTATTAATTTTCTTAATTTTAATTCTAATTCTAATTTTATGCTCCTGCTTCTAATTAATTTGCTTAATTCTAATTTTAATTTTCTACATTTTCTTTCTAAACATTTTTTTTTGTTACAAACAATGTTTCCTCATCTTCGTAGCTAAAAGGTTATAAACTAACAGTAAAATGAGGAAATATCAGATGATTATTCCAGATATATAGATTATCAATAATGCTATCAAAGAAAAATCTTTTTAGAACTTGTCCATCTATAGTTTGAATTAAAAGCTACATATCATCACCACATGAACATAGTTAATCTTTATAGTAAACTAAAGATCTTACGGCATCATTATGGTGTTGTAATTTTTTTATTATTTAAGACATGTTCTAAAAATTAAATTTGTATCTAACTAAATTAACACTCTTCATCCAATATTCACCAGATAATTCGTATCGGATTATTTAATTATTTTCATAGCCAACAATTAAATATGATTAATTCTAATTTAATTCTACACTAAGCAAACAAGTAACAAATTCATAAAAATTTTATTAATATGGTATAATTACATGTTCTAAATCTAATTCATCTTTTGAAAAATTCTAATTATTTTAATTTTCATTCCCTTAATTGTCTGAATTAGATTATATATAAGTATTTTATTATTATGGTAATTATTCAGGCTTAATTGGAACTTATGAATTGTCTTACGATTTCATTTTATGAATATCCCACAAATATATATTTTTATCTGCTCCTGCAGATACTATAAAGGATATTTGCTATTTCAAAGTTTATTTATTCTATTTATTTATTTTCTCTTCCCAAAGTGTTTTTTTTAGCTTTTTCCATTCTGTTTCATCTTATTCTGGTTTTTTCATATCATCGAATTCATTGCATTTATCATAACTTTCTTGGAAAATTACATTATGAACAATTGCTGCAAAGACATAGGAAGTGTGTTTATTTAAATTGTAAAGTTAAGGATCTGTTAGTTGTCTATTTGAAGTTTGTAAGGGTCCTTATTGTCTAAGTGTCTATGATTCTTAAAACTTATTCATATTTATTTTATTATTATTATATATATTAAAAAATATCATTCAGCATGCTAAGATTAGCTAAATTTAATTACTTCATTTTATTATTATTCTATTTCTTAGTCTTATTATTATTATTATTTATATATAGGTTCCCAAAAAGAATCCTAAAATTATCTTTAAATCTTTTCTTTTAATTCAATGAGTTTCAACTGATTTTTTCCAAAATCATTCGCTTTAATTAATAATTCAGTGGCAGAATCAGTAAAAAATTCTCTATATATTTAAGCCAATATAGCCTCTAATCCACCTATGATACCTCCTATAAGTATTATTGACAACCAAAAATGAGGAGTTCCAACCATAGTAAATGGAGTGAATTCCATCAAAGTACCTGACCAAAATTATGATATAATGACATATATGATATAAAGTAAAACAGATAGGAATGTTATGCACACAAAATTAAACCAAGTCCAATATTTGGTATGGATAGCTATTTTCACGTCTGCAATCTTAATGATTAATAAAATTTATATACTAAAATAATGCTTGAATAAGCAGTTAATGAAAATGCTGCTAATCCTCCAGGAAATCCATTGTCTTCTACAATCTCAAAATCTTATATCCAAAGTATGAAAAAGAAGATTATCATACCATGTACTAAACCAGTAAATGCCCAAAACATATAATTTGGTATAGTAAAAATACTTTTGTTCTATCCAACATAATAAAGTGTTGGAAATTTAGTTTTAAGATATTCTTCAAATTTCTATTAAACAGAAGCTACTTCTTGCCTTTCATCAAATTAAACATATTATCTGTAATTGATGTCTTAATCAAAAGTACCTCTTACTATAAGTGGAAGTGCTGTGAATATTAAATTATAGAATGTGATGTACCAGTCATCAAAAAATGATTATCCAGAGAATGCACAAAAATATGAAAAGAAAAATTATGGAACAGTAAATATCATATTTTTATAAAAGAAGTATAAAACCATTTCTGCAATTCGAATATAATTCCAATGTCCATGAACCAATAACAATCTCCAAAGACATCTAAATTCCCCTAAAGCAAAATCACTACTTTATACAGCCCTCATTCCTTCATTACCATATAATCCTACTCCTATATGAGCAGCTTAAATCATATTAACATCATTTGCACCATCTCCAATTGCTAATGTAATTTTATTGAGTCTGTCTTTAATTAATCTTACAACATCAGCTTTCTATTTTGGAGTTACTCTACAACAAACAATACTTTCACAATCTTTAGCCATACTCACAAATGCTTAGGCTAAATCCTCATTATCAATTATAAATTATAGGGATTATCCTTCTACAACGATTGACTAAAGGTAAGAATGCACTTAAATACTTTTTTTCTATTCATTTTTAAACATTCTTCATATGTTTCTTAAATATCTCCAATCTTTTTTTTACAAGCTTCAACAGTTGATTCAGACAATCTCATTACAGTAAAATCACCTTAAATTAAACGACAACTTCTAGCAATGTTTTCTGCTGTTTCAAACTTATCACCAGTCAACATCCAAACTTTTATATTTGCTCTTAACAAATCAGCTATTGTCTCTGGAACCAATGATTATAACTTATCTTCAACAGCAGATGCTCCAACTAGAGTTAAATTTTGTTCTAAATTGCTTGTTAATTTTTCTAGCTTTCAATATATTTTGTATACCTAGTTCTTCTGCTCTTGTCTCATTGTCTGGTAAATTATTGTAAGCATTATCAAATTCTCTATATTCATCATTTGATAATATTCTTATAGCCATTAATAAACATCTTAAACCAATTTTGCTAAAATCATCCAAATAGTTTATAATTTGATTAAGAAATATTTAATTTGGTGCTAATCTTCCCTTTATAATATTATCTGCTCCTTTAATAAATAATTTAATAACTCCATTATCATCAATAATAACACTCATTCTCTTACGTGTTGAATCAAATTCAAAAGATTTTAATAATTTAACTTTTTTATCTTTTCCCAAAATTGTAAACTTTTATTCACTAGCAGAAGCACCAGTAAATTAAAAACCCATTCTAGCTGCTGCATCAACCAAAGTAATTTCATCTGGTGATGGTCCTTAATAGGAAGCATTTTAATTTTTATCATATTGTATAATACATTCATGAGCAGATGATAATAAGAAAAAATATTCTTCAATTAAATTTCTCTATTTTTAAATTTTGATTTATTGTTTACCATCTAATGACTAAATAATTAAATTGACTGGTAATTCTCCAGATGACCCTTCTCCTTTAAGAATTGCACTTAATTCAAGATCTTGGAAATTAAATACAGAATGTTAAAACACTTCAGTTGCAGGATGTACTTTAGCAGTTTATTATCTTTTTAAATCTGTATTTTATATAGGAATGTTTATATGTTTTTGTTCCTATCCATATAATGTGTTTCCTATTATACAATACTTAAATTCCATCTAATTACAAGTTAGAGTTCCAGTTTTGTCAGAAAATACATACTCTACTTAACCAAGTTCTTCATTTATTGTTGTGGTTTACACTTTAACATATTTATCTCTTTATTAAACATACATTTCTTCATCTTATTCAATAAAGTATGCTTAAAATACTTTTACAAATTCTAAACTAACTATCAATGATATAGGGATCATTGTATTATATAATAAAATATAACTGAAAAATGAATAAAAGCTTAGTAAATTAGGAGAGAAATCATCATCATAACCCAAATACCAACTATCACTACCATATTTATGTAACCATGCAGATGAGAAAGATGCTGTAATTATTGATAATGAGATTTGAACTACCAATATTCCCAAAATCAAAATATTCATAATTCTTTCAATTTCACTTGATTTTATTCTTGCAGCATCAGCATTCCTCATTATTTTAGTATCCTAACCTGTATAAACTACTAATCCAATCACCCATTCAGTATTTCTAAGATATGCACCTCTGAGTAATAACTGTTTTGCTGTTAATTAAAATTTCTTTTATTAACCATTTCCTGTATTCAAATATATAGATGCATCCAATTCATAAAGATTTTAAGTAGGAGCTTATGCATCCACTCTTATTATCTAATCTGTATAATTATCCTTATCACTATATAGTTGTTAAGTCTCTAAAATTGCACTCTTCGGTTTCAGATTCTTTTCTCCATCTAATGAAGAAGTTTCAATATAACATGCACCACTCTCTATAGAACTTCCCAAAACTATTAAATCAGCAGGAAAACTCTCATCCTTTTTCACTAATATAAAATCTCCTACTGCTAGTTCAGCCCATGTAGATCTATATAATCTTAATTTTTTTATTTACATTGTCATTACTCGAGACTTCATTATCACACATTCTGTTGCATTTACTTCATTATCAGATACATGTCTTCCATAATCCTCCCAACCTTTCATATTATTTTTATTCTTACCTTCTCTACCCATTGATAATCCTAACACAAATACTAAAGGAGCTATTGCACTGAATGGATTCAAAGTTGATAATACTGGAATACACTGTATTATAGCTATGCATAAGAAATAAATGTTAGCATATCGTGTAAACTACAAAAGTAACGATTTTGGCAAGAAACTTACTATATTATATCTACATAACTCTTAGATTATCTCATACCTTGATGTCTTTATGAAGTTACTTGGGAATTATTCTAACTCTAATAATGTTCTCTCACTCTTAAAATTTCCCTCGAATTAACGAGGCTAATTATAGACATCGGGCCTATTAGACCAAAACATTTGATATTAGTTTATAAATATTATTTTTGAAATTTTCCAACATTTAAATTTGTTATGTATATAAGCCTCAAAACTTTGGCAATGGAATTTCATTATCTAATTTGACAATCACTCTTCCTAAATTCTTACCTAAAAACACTTTCTATAATCCTAATGTCACATTTTCTAATCCATTTATAAATTCTTCTTTGTGTCTATACATATAAATATAAATTATTACTAAATATGATTTCCTGTGACTAATTCATTCATTTCTTTAAATGATTCCATTATAGCATTCTTTTAACCAAAGTACAATATTCCTTCAGCTTTAATTTATTTTGTAATAAAATGAGATAAATTTTTCAATCCTCCTCTATTTTTCCATGTATAATATGTAGCAGTAGCTCCACATAATACTATGAATGCACCCTTATTCATTGCTGGTAAGACTGCATCTAATACCTCTTCTCCTGAATTGTCATACATTGCATCAATTCCTTCAGGAGCTGCTTACTTCATTAATTTTGTCAATTTGCTAATTATGAATAGGTTAATTAATATACTCTGTGTCAACAATTCCATTAGAATCCAAAGTGTCATTGTAACAAACACAAGCATCAGCTCCTAGTGAAAGCACAAAGTCTTTCTTGTCTCTACTACTAACAATACCAACAGTTCTATAACCCCAATATTTTCCTATTTATAGAGCAAATGATCCTGTTGATCCTGCAGCAGATGATACCACTAGAGTCTTCTTGGATTCTTTTGTAGGAAGATTCTCTTTAGGAATTTGATGTAATCCCTTGAGAGCAGTGATTCCAGTTACACCATAACTAAATTATCACAATTAAAATATACACAGACAAAAAGAGAGGTAAGTTTGGATCATTTTTTGATTATACAGCTGGCAATTTGAATATAGCATTAGCTGATCTAACACAATAGTCTGCACAATCTAATGCACCTAAGACTAAATCTCCTTTGTTAAATCTTTTGCTTTTAGATTCAGCAACAACTCCACATCCAAAAGCAGGAATGACTTATCCTTGATGTACAGTATCAATATAAGTCTTGGCTCCTGAAAACCATACTCTCATAACAGGATCGATGCTAACATAGCAAACTTTGATAAGAAGATCATTTTCCTTAAGATTTGTTGGAATAGGGAACTCCTTCAAATCAAAGAAGTCAATGTTCTTTGGAAAACTTTCATCTGGATATCTGCGTAGAGTTACTCCTCTCATTTTAATAATATAAAATTAAGATTTAAACAAATTTTTTGAACATTGGCTTGCATTAATGTGTAATTTCGTGATTTATAAACTAATATATGATCAATTATAGAAAATATATAAATATTATAGATTTCATTTAGTTTTAGGTGAGTATCCAGCAGGACTCTTGACTCCAGTTAGATTAGGTTCTTAATACATGGAAGAATCTTATTTTTCTAAAGAGATCTCCTTCATACAAATATTCTCAGCTTCAATAAGTTCTAATTTTCTCAGGATTTTTTCCTTCATTAATGCCATTTTACTGATTTGAGCATCTTCAGGCAGTTTCTAAATGATGATTATTAGTTTATCTAATTTTTTAAGTTGATAACTTTTAACTATATTAATTCTCTATGATATAGAAAATAGTTTATACTTCAGTAATATCCTAAGTCTCTCGTTGTAGATTTCTGTTACGTTCCATTTAACGTCTGATCTCTTCAAGGAGAGATCTTTAGTTAGAATATAATTCTACAAGCTACTTGCGAAGCTTTTCATGTTCGTTTAGATAAGACTCTTATTCGAATTCTTTGGTTAAGGATTCTAAACTTTGCTTAATATCATCTTAATTTCTTCTTTTGATTTTTAATAAATTATTCCTAAATGTACATTTCAAATCTAATACTTGAGGCCTTTTTTGAATTGAGAATGTTAGAATTCACTTTTACCCTATTTATTTTTTAGTTTCTTAAATCCGTACATATTGAGTTATCTAACTTTAAATTAATGATTAATTACCTCAGAAAGCTCTAATAGTTGCGATGTTTGAAATACTAAGGCATTATTTGTTCTGTCAATAATGATGAATCTAAAATCTAAAATGTAGTCCCATCTTTATTCCAACCAATAGCTGATTATTCAGACTCAACAATAACAAATTTTCTATTACTTCAAGTATTTCATATAATTTTTATAGAAATGATGGTATTTGTTTAATTTCTTGCATTTTGTTTTGATTTATTATTATTAAAGAATAAAATAAAATATATGTAGCAATCTCAATTACTCACATTTGATGTATTCCGAGGCATCGCACATTTCCTTACAATCAAGGAATTGCTTAATGTTTAGAGTGTTTCAAAGCAGATGAAGGAAAACGTACAATTAGCCCTGAAAGCACTCTTAGCAAGTATTGGGTTTAATAGTCCAAATACAACTACACCATACAATATTATCTTTCGTACAATATTTGGAAGAGAGACTTATTTTTGGTCATTTGATGAAAGTGTCAAACCTTTCAAAAGAAGACATATTCTAGGAATGCCAGTAAAATCAATATAAATAGGACTAACTTATACTGGCATACTTACAATTTAAAATCGAATGTATGTTTGTTTATCATAAGAATATTAAGAAGTCATCAATCAAAAACCAAACTTTATTATTAAGTAAATTATTTATATATATATTATTTACAGATTTTAAGTAAAATAATTTTCAACAGCAAGCAAAGGAAAATTAATATACTTGAAAGAGAATGGAGATTTAATTGTTATGTTTGAAAATCTTGAAGAATATTTGATAGCTTAAAATGTGGAATTTTTTGAGACTTCTTATTTTCAACTTGTTGCTATTTTCACCAATCCTTAAAAAATACCATAATTGCCTTTTGAATAAATTAGAGCTATTCTATATTAATTATAAGATTTATCACCTCAAAATTGTGATTAAGCATTAAGATACAAATCAATTATATTACCAGATAATGAAGTATTAAATAATATTATATTAGAACATTATGTAAATAGCTATGGGAAGTAATGCTATTTATTATTTGACAAAAACACAAAAAGTGTATTCTTCAGATACTAAATATGAATAAGTATTTGATCCTATTATTAAAACTGTTCAATAAAATTATTTTGATAAAAGATCTATAATATCTATTTATAGTGGTCTTAATTATTTTTTAGCACTTGGAAGAGAGAATATTAAATCAATAAAGGAATGGACAAATGAAGAACTTTAAGTATGGCTTAATAAAATTGGATTTTCTGATTATGTTAATATTGTAAAATACAATGAATTTACAGGTTTAGAATTTTCAACTTAAGCTGTTCATTAAGATTTCTAAATAAATACTCTTGGACTCACTAATGCTGAATTATAAATTAAATTAAGTACAGAAATTACAAGAGCCATGGAATTATAATATAAAGATTATTAATTATTTGGTTGGGGTAAAAATGATTATGGTTAATTGGCTGTTCCTTTATCTAATAATATTTAATTTACAAAAGTATCATTACCTAATTTAGAAGAAGATGATGAAATTATATAAATTGAATGTGGATGGAAAAATGTAGCCATTTTAACACATTCAGGTAAACTTTATTTGACTGAAAACTAATAAAAATAAATAAAAAGAGAAAAAGATATTTAATAATAATAATAATAATAACAATAATAATAAGATGAAGGAGGAAAGAAAAGAAAAAAAAGTAGATAAGAATAAAAGGATATTAAAGATCAAAAAGAATAAAAAGAACCAGCATAATAATTATAATAATAATAATAATCTAAGTATTGGAGTGATATATCTAAAATCTTTGTGAAATCCAAGTAAATCATAAAATTAATTATTTTTTAGTGATAAAAGAGAATATAGACATTATTATGTAAATCTAAGCAAAGATTATTTAGTTGTTGTTTGCTCTATTTTTGATAAAAAGACTATGCTTAATTATTTCCCAGAGATGTTAGAGTAAAAAGAAAATCAAAAGAAATTTAAACCTACTCTTTAAGTTATTGATAGAATACTTTGGGATATTAAATTTAATAAAGATGATTTTATAGTAGGATATGAAGATAGATTTTTAGGAATTATGGAAGTTCCTTTTACAGACTTTATTAACAGTTAAGTAAAAAGTCATAGAGTTCAATATTTTAAATAAAAAGGTAAAATAGTATGGGATAGACATCGTAGACTTGACTTATTATGAGTTATTATTAAACATACATTTAAATAAATTTATAAATTATATAGAATTCTTAAATTAAATTGTATAGATAAATATAATTTCAAATCATCAACATTCATCAATATTATAGGATTCTTAATCAGCTATAATTTTAGTAAGTGGTTCTATGAATTAGGATGCCAATTTTTCTAGAGATGGATGTCTAAATACATCAAGTAATAATTGTGTAATAACTTGATTTTCTTTTTCAAGTGATTATACCTAAAAGTATTATACTTTAATATTTATACTTTCTTTTAAATTTTATCATACTCATCTTATAAAGGACCTATTTTTTCTAATGCTTCTCTCTTCTTTTTTTAAGATTCTTTTGCTGAGTTTCTATTTCTTCTAATACTATTTTATCTAAATAATTAAATACCATTAACATTTTTTACAATTACATTCTTCTTCACCATTATATACACATTTATTTTTTAATTTCTCAATCATCTTTAAATAATAATTTGAACTATTTTTAACTGGTTACTATTCTTCAATTCCATTCTAAACTAGATGATCTAAGTATTAACTTTCTAATAAAAATAACATAGGTAATATGAATAATATTTGACAATTCATTTATTTATGAATTTTTATTATGTTACTGCTAAATTATAATAAATCAAGATCATTAGATTCTTCAAAGAATACTTAAGTAGCCTTCTTTAAAAAATCTTATGTTGTAGCTTTAAAACTTCCCATAATTAACAAATACTATATATTAGTAAATAAATTACTTCTTAAAATATTTGATCATTATGTAATTTTGAAGTCTATTTTACACTTTAAGCAACTAGATCCATAATTAAATTGCTTTTTGTAAAGAAATTATTCATAGATACAGTGTATTAATTGAATTGTAATAAGAAAATATCTTTAGTCATTTTTTATTATTGTTAACTAAGCATTTTGAATATAAATGCTGTCCATACATCATCTTATGTTTTTTTAATCATTTGATTAATCTATGTAAATCCAATTTATTAACTAAATGTTTAACCTTATGAAATTTAATAACAATATAATGTATTAAAGAAGATGTCACAAAAGTCATCACGGAATAACAAAAAATTGGCAAGATATTTTGTACCTTAAATTAGTATTTAATTTATTACATTAGTCATAATAAACTAATTAGGAACGAAACAAGAGTCCTATTGTTTAGAATAATGAACAGCTCATTGTTATTTTAAGTGGATTGGATTTATATTATGATATCATCTCTTACACAATTTCCTTTTCTCCTGGACAATTTTCTAATCCATAAATGATGAGATTCCCCATTATTTATAAAAAGTATGGTAATTACTATTCCAATACATTATTTAAATTGATTGTTTGTTTCTATAGTATAATTTTCTAAAAGTATGATGTGACTTAATTTTAAACTTCAATTAAAGTAGGAGACTTGCTAAATGATAATTTAAATATTATACGATGTTTGTTAAATTGGTTATTATTGCTATTGACATTGCTAGATAATGGAAAGAAGTTATTATTTCTGCAAATACTAAACAAATAATTTGAAATGTTGTACTTAAATATTTTGTTTCTAACTGTTCTCTTCCTATTTCACTTATTATTATTTTTCATGTTACTATTGTTTCATAATACTCTAAAGAAAGGCTTATTAAATATGATTCATTATTAATTTTAATAATGAAAGAATTAACAAGTCTAACTCTTAAGTTTAAACTGATACGTATTATCAACATTCAAAAAAGAGCATATTTGATTTAAATTTATTAGTATTTCACATTTTTGTTTACGCACCAACATAATTATTATATATTTATATAAATATCACAAATTAAGTTCAATTAACAATTGTAAATAAATAATGTATATCTACTTAAATAATATAATTAACATTAAAAAGATATAATTAAAACATTATTGTATAATTTATTACATTATTCTATATGTAGTAAAATAAACCAAGCATAAATTATAATATTAATATTAAAATTCAAGTGAATATTAAAATTTATTTTATTTTTTTAAATGTATGGACCTGATAGAGTAATTTGAATAATAAAAACAGTTTATTTTATATTCTTATTATTGATAGAGAATCATAATCACAATTATAAAAGAGACTAAATATTTTACTTAACAAAATTATAGATCTTTCCTAAAAAGTTATTTAGTATAAAATTATATTATTATTCTCAATATATATTTAAATTTAAAAAGACTTGCTTCTCTTGTAATTACTAAAATTCAAAATTTTAAATATTGATAATATTTTATTATTAAAAATGAATAGTAAAGGACTTATTGCAAAGAATGAAATTAATCCCAAATTTATATTATATGATGATGAAATTTAAATCAAATTAATCATTTTTGATAATAGATAATTACTTTGAATGAGACAATCTCAATCAATATTCTCTAAATGCACTAAGAATATGAGGCTCAGAAATTAATTGATTTTAATAGCTTCTATCTAAGCATTCATAATTATGTCTTATGTTTTGGCATAAAATATGATTCATCTTTCTCTACTAAATGTATACTTTTCAGACACTTCCAACAATTTGTATAAGGAAAGTTCAAATAGGATTCAATCAAATATAATAAAATTATATAGAAGCTACTTTGATAAAGTCTTCTATCTAAGTAATCATATATATAATTAGATGGTAATACCTTAATCTCATTTCACAGATTATATCACTATACTAAAAATTAAGTTGTGTTATAAAATAACTTCACAATAAATGAATAATTTTAAATGCCTTATGGTGGTATCAATCCAATTCCAGATCCACTTAGAATAATTAAAGGATATGGCAACTTTGATATTTCATATTGTTTAATGTGTTATTCTAACTTAAGTTCATATAGTCAACCAAAAACTATTGATGAATTGGTTGGTATAAAAATGTAAGAATAGGTGCAAGCTTACGGTTAACTTTTATATCAAGGAAAGGATATCAACCAATATTTTTTTTATTCTTACATTCCAAAAGAAAAAATAACTTCAATCTATCCTTGTTTAAATAGACAATAAGGAATTTATAGTTACAAACCTGAATAACGAGATTGGTATATTGAGTTGTAAAGGAATTATGATTAAACACAAAATTATGAAAATTACAATTATACTTTTACAAATCCTTTTATGTGTATATAAGTAAATCATATTATTTAGTATTTACGGAGAAAAAAATAGGTTTATCAATGGCAATGCCAATTGTAGATGAATAAACTAAATTAATAGGTGGAGTAGGATCTATATTTTTGGGAAATGAATTTGTTTAAGAAGTTGGACAAAGTAAATTTGGATTTTAAATTATATATCTAATATCAAATGAAGGAATTATGATTATGCATCCCTATAAAGTGTCTAATGAATATCTACCATTATACATATTTAATTAGACAATTACTGGATTCAATTAGACAGATTGGGAAGAGATAAAGAAACATAACGGATCTTCATCTTGCCCAAATTTTGAATTATACAATTCTACTCTATAATGTCGATATAATTCTGTTTATAATTAAGAAATGATTATTGGTATTTAAGAAATAGCTGAATTTAAGATGATTTTAATAATGTAAAATAAATTAAAAAAGTTAGGTTGTTAAGTAGTCAAGAATACATAGAGTTCTATTATAAGTTTGAATAGAAATTATCAGAAAGCTTGCAAGAAACATTATCTTTAAATATAACTACATTATTAGGATTATTGATAATAGTGTGCATTTGCATTTATATTCTAATTCAGATTCTATTCTATCCAATTTATGTAATATAAGAATATGCAAAAAATATGATTTCATAAAAAAAGAAAAAGGAAAAAACTATACCAATATTTATTTAAAGATTTATGAGCAATTAAGTTCGTTAATTGCTTCAATCATTTAAATTTATCGAAAATAAATTATAATTGTTATCTTTTCGAAAGACAGAGTAATGTACTTATTTTGAGAGTATTTAATTTCCTTAAAAGAGTATATCATTTAAAATTCATTTACAACAATATTAGAATTTCCTTAAGATTCATAACATAAAAAAAATAAAATTATTGAAAATGCAAAAGGATCAAAATTTTAATTAATACAATTCCCAAATGTAACATAATTTCTATTTAAAATAAATTCTATAGTTAGTTAAAAAGGCTAATTTGCATCAAACTTCATGAATTTTTTACTCTAATTTTGATACAAACATAAATTTGATTATATTTTCAAACATCTATATAACAATTAATGAGAAATATTCTAATAATATTAAAATTTAACTGCTATGTATAAAAAGCATTCCACAGAAAAATTAGTTAGAAAAAATGCATCTCCAACACATGAAAAAGAGAATAATTCTTATGCTCGTAAATATAGTAGAAAACTTTTAAGTAGATAAAGCAATAATGATGAATATGAAAATGTTAAAGAAAATATATTAACAACATATAATTCTAATACTAATACAATAAATTAAAGTGAAAGTGTTACACATCTCTAATAAATTATTTAGTAATAAAAAAGATAAATATAAAATTTAAAAATGGGTTGTCCTAGATGTTTAACTAAATAAAATACAGATCTAGAATTGAGAAATAAAATTTTAGTTTAAAATAACTAGATATTATCTTTATTATCAAGAGAAACACAATAATCAGATTATACAGAATTATTCAAAATAAATTAGATGTTGTAATAATAAAATGAAGAATTAAAATAAAATAATGAAATTTTAATTTAAAATCAATAAGAAATATTGTAAGAGAATTTAATCTTGAAAAATTTATTTGCTGAAACAAGTTATAATATTAATGCAAAAGAAAATTCAAGCTGTAATTTTATTTAATTATTATTTATAGAATTATTTAGTCTCTCATAATCATAAGGAAGATTCTCATCTATTTTATAATTAAACTCTTAAGTTCAATCTCCATCACATGCTAAATAACATCATGAGAAATTGTTTAACTTATTAAAATGAATTCTGATTTTATTATCCATATATAATATTTTAATTTATTATGTTTTTTAAGTATTACTCTGTCTTATTTTAGCTTTGCTCGTTTCTTTCCTCAGCAATAATAACTGGATTCATTGTTAGCTGACCCTGATTGTGAATTAGAAACTATTTTATCTGCAGATAATATTTTATAAGAAATCAAAGGAATGGGAGCCAATAAATTTGCTGATCAGTATATAATAAATAATCAATTTTATAGTATAATCAAGCATCCTGAAATGTATTAAAGAATGATTAATTATATAATTTCTGTAGATGATGAACTCATTGATAAAAAGACTTAAATATAGTAAGTTAAAACATAAATATCAAAGATACCCATTCTTATGCAGTGAAATTTTAGGCAGTTAAAACTAAAAGTTATTGGATTTTTTATTTGAAAGACCAGAGGAAGGAATTGAAGCAGATGCAGAAATGATTAGAGTTAGCTTGTATGATCAATTGATAAGCTTTCTTGAAGAAGATGTCTTCAATATGACATCTGCAGGCTATTTTTCTAAAGCATTTCTTGCAATTATTAAAAAACGAGGATTTGATGTATCATTTATTCAAATTTTTAGGTATGGACTCAAATTATTAATAATAAACAAATTTTATCTAATTTAATAAAACACATAGATTGTAAACATATTGCAGAAATAATCGAAAAATTAATAATTTTAGATACAACTTAAGAATTTACAGAAGAAACATATCTTAATGAAAGAAAGACATTACTATAAAGAATTATAATATTAATGCAAAATAAATATTATTGTTCAGAGATTGTAGAAAATATTTGTGATATTTTAATTGAAATCACTACCAAAAATATGAGTTGCTTATATTATAATAATCCTGATATTGTTCCATTTATTGATTAAATTACAAGACCAGAATTATTATTTGAAATTTCAATTAAAACTTAAAAACAATAACCATTATAGGTTTTAATCAATTTAGTGGAAATGTCTTCAAAAGAATCTAAAAAAGAAGAGGATGATGAAGTAATTCACAATAATGAGAAAGATTTCTCAATTTTTTAAAATATTGTACCTGAACTCCCTTAAAATCTATTAAGTAAACGATATTGTGCTGCTAATTTTTAAAATTCAAATTAAGAATAAGTGTAACCATTTGGACTACATAAAATTATGCTACTAAAGTTAATTTAAACTTTTGTTCAGTATATCTTTAATAATTATTTATAGAACAAATGATATCACTATTATTGAAGCTCTACTAAATGCAGGTTTAATTTAAGTGTTATAAACTATTTGTATTTAATATCCATCTAATAATCAAATTCACATTATAACAGAAAAGATCATAAAATCTATTCTAGATTTAAATGATGAAAAATTAACAGAAAATGTATACTTTATATATTATTCTAGGTCTTTGAGTTTGGGTAGCTTATTGAATTTATTATTGGATATCATATAGAGTAGAATGATAAGAAGGGATATTTGGCTCTTTTGACTTCATTATCAAATTATCTCTTTGAAAAATCATATAACTAGAATATTCTATAGTATTATAAAGACAGTAATATATATATATATAATAATTATAGATTAACAATGGATGAATTTTGTTAAAAATAGACTATTCTAAATCAATTAAAAAGAGAAACCTTTTTTATGTAATGTAAATCCAAAAGCAAAATCAGAAGTTGCAGATGATCAAGAATCTGACATTATGTCAATATTATAAGTAATTATTATGATTAATAATAATAGAAATTCAATGACTCTTAATATGGTTAATAAAATTAAGGAGAATAATAAGAATAAGATAAGGAAACATAAAAAAATGAATAAGAATTAGAGACTAATAATTAATAAGATGATGGAGGATTAGAAGATGATGAAAATATAATGATGGACATGAATGTTGATTAGGTTTGGATTGAGGATATACTTTAAACAAAAAAGGAAAATCAAGATGATGAAACTTAAGGAAACTTAAATTAAAAGTCTTTGTAATCAACCTCAGATAATGATAAAGAAGTCATTCACAAAGATTATAATGTTTCTTCTTTATTTAATCACAGTTTATTTTGGAAAATTGAATATGATGATAAAGAAACAGAAGATATCCTAAATAATTATGCGTGATGATTTTGTTATTAATAATAGTATTGGAATTTAAAAACAATTCTATTTTATCATATATAATTCAATATCAAGTCTATTTATTTTATAGTTATTATTTTTTGGTATATGTAGAATCATAGATTATAGAACTTGATTTAAGTTTTTATATCTAAATATATTAGAAAATGAGAGAAAGTGTTCATATTAGGATATTAAAGAGTACAGAATTCTTTTTAGATTTATTTATTTATTTAGATATTATTAATTATGTTTTTCTGGTTTTTGTAATTCCTAATTAAAAACGAATCATTATTTTTTTATTTCTAAACATAACAAAAACATATAGAAATCTCATCATTAAATAAATAAAAGGAATTATTTATTTATTTAATAACATAGTTTAAAATTAGATAAATTTTATAAAAGTGTGTTTCACTAATTTAAATTTACCGCATAATTTTGAATAATTTAAATAGAGTTTAGGATGGCTAAGATAAAAAATGGAAAAAATTATTCAAAATAATTACTTCAGCAATTATAATAGCAATAACAATAAGCTTAATAATAAACCATTCAAAAAAATATCAAAAAGATAAAATATCATACATCTGAAGAAAAAATAATTGAAGGAAAACATTCACCTTATTTATTTTTAGAGAGAAGAACCAAAAGAGAAGAGTAGAAATATAATTTAAAAAAGAAAATAAGATCACCATATAGTATTAAATTCTTATTAATTAAAAAGATGAAGGATATTACCCATAAGTTCCTAATTTATAATTTCCTGATTAATTAGTAGATTGTTTAATAAAAGTGATTTGTTCATTTGGGAATAACGCTAAGCATAATTAAATAATAAAAAATTTAAGTTTATATTATACAGATGAAGTTTAAGAAGAGGTTGTTAATTTCACTTTGGCTGAATCAGAGGAAACTGGAACTATTTATGAATTAGATGGTAAATTTAAAGTTACAGATACTTTAATCTAAAAGGTAATGAGACTAAGTAAATAATTTAGGCATAATTGGAAAATAATGACTAAATTGGATAACAATTGAAACATGAAGATATCGAAGAGAATGATAATGATCAATTTCCATCCCTTTCAAATAATCCAATTTAATGTAAATATATATAATTAATTAATAGAGGATCAAGATATGGAAGAGAATCTGAATTAATTTAGAAAACATAATTGAAAAATATTATAAATATAAATAATTTATTATGATAATATAATTAACGTAATTTTTAATATTAATGTATATTTTCTTTAAATGGAAAATAATTAATAATGTCCATTCTAATTATTTTAAGGAAAGTTCATCTCAAATTTTTCTATTATTCTTTATTGTTTATAAATTTTTATATCAAATCTAATAATAACTGAATTTTCAATTTTTTATTATAATTAAGTAAAATAAATATACAATTCAAAGCTATATTTATTTAAACTGAAGTTCTTAATTTAAGAAAAGTCCAAAGTCAGTATAATAAAATTTTTTCTGAAAATTATAAGAAAATTCCTCAGATATACTATATTATTGAAATTCTTCTTCCACCTATGAATTATCTTGTTTTTCAATTCTTTAGAATTTTTCTTCAACCATATTAACTACTTAAGAAATTTAATATTATTTCTCAATAAGAGATATGGATGGTTTAATAGAGGATTGAAAATATTCATTAATTCTTTTTTATTCATTTTTTATCACAATTTTAGACTGCTTCTTTTTATTTTAATTGACTAAAATGTTAGTATTGAATAAGGATTTTTATTTAAGTGTCTCTAATTAACTAGAAAATATATGACTTTACTCATAGTTTTATAGGTTATTTACTTAAGACTATTCATTAATTTAAGTCTATTTTGAATTAACTACTTAGGAATAGTGTATAATTTTTGATTCATCTGATTTTTAAATAATCTCTTCTGGATTTATTTTTGTTGATTAAGATTTCTTAATAAATTTGAAAACTTAAACATTTTTATCTTTTCCATATGTTGGTATATCCAATTCATTATTTTCAATTTGTTATTTATTTTCCATACTTTAATATTTTAAATTCTTAGATGATTATTAATATGGTTTTAAATCTTATGGACAGATTCTACCATCAGCTATATCTTGAATCAAAGTATCTGTGTAAACATTTCCTAAAAAGTCAAGATTTCCTTCCAAAAGAGATTTCATCTGAGAATATAATAGATCAGTATCAAATGTATTCACAGTTACCATTGTTCTTTGAACTGGACAAAATACTCTCTAAAATAGAAAGGTTAGATATGCTTTCTCAAACTAATCAACATAATCAAAAGGAACTATGATCTTTTATTTCCTCTATAGATTATCAATAGCTTATCTATAATTTTATGAAGTTGCTACTATTTAATATGCTCTTTTTATTCCTATACCATTTAATGAACTTAAATAATCACAACCTGATAAAATACAAAAAGTAAGAAATTTTTAATGATGCCAATTCTAAAAATTATATTCAGTGCATTATTAAATAGAATTGTAATCAATTTCTTCACCATAACCAAATTTGTCTAATTTGTAAAGTACTTTTTTAGCTCCATAAGCAATAAGATCAGAATCTTCAGTTATTATTATATCAACATAATCAGTTAAAGATAAATATGCTAATTGAGCATCTGCTTCATATGGAGCTACAATACATTCAATATTCCTTATTCTTAATGCTTCCAATAATTTAGATGCCATTTAAGGAGTAACATCTATAGATTCAACCAATTTTTAATAGGCTTTATCTTTTTCTCCTTATTATTTATATTCTAAATGCTTTTATAGGTTTTCATTTCTCTTTCTAATAATATAAATTTATATTACTTTTCCCGCTCTCCTTCTGTGATCTTCTTACTAGGTAATTTTGCTCCATCAAATACCATAATAACAGTAATATTATATTTCTTGAGCAACTCTACTTTTTTTAAGCAATAATTAATATGTTCATTTGTCTCTCTGCCATCTGATAATTCTTAAGCGCACAAAAATATTCCTTTATGTAACCTAAACTATAAGTATTGAAAGTACCAACAATATGTATCCACAGCTATTTTCTTATTCTAATATTCAGAAATATGTTTGGGCTTTGTTACAGACTTAAGAGCTTTTAATAAAGAATCGATTCCCATATTTAAAAATAATATTATTAACTATATTTCATCTACAACATCCACAAATATATTCTTTCTGTTCATATTCACCTTTCTTTAATCCTACACATGTAATATGGTACCATTTCTAACATTTATCACACTAAAAATATAGATAAGAAAATACCTAAATATATATTTAGTCTGGATTTTAGGGTTATTTACAAGTACAATGATTTTAGAGTTTAGATAATCCATCAAATTTCTTTTTTGTAGGTAACCATTCTAATCTAGTAAAAAATACTCCTTTGTCAACTTGAGAAGATGTTTCATATTCCTCTAAAGTAACAATTCGACAAGGAGACAATATAGTGGATGCCAAAATATAATCAGTGCAATTAGTACTAAATACTTCATTATTGGATATCCATGGTTTGGCTTATGGTTTAAATTTAATTATTTCACTTTTTCTATAAAACCTTTGATGAATTTTAGATATACCAATTAACTTCACATAGACAAATTAATTTTGTTGATTTATTTTCTTTTATTGTAATAATCCTTTAAATTTTACCAACATAATCTTCAGAAGGATTTTTAGCATTTTTTATTAAAGCGTATTAACCAAGTTTTAACATTTAGGAATTTACTTTTATTTCGTCATATTCATGAAGTGTTATAGTAGTATCTTTTTCAGCCCAATTAACAATATCTTTGAATTGTTATTTTTTAAACATTTCTTTAATCTTTTATGATGTAGAGATTTAATTTTATTACTTTGGCTTAGATATTTTTTTTTTTAATTTATTAACAGAATCATCAGAATCTCCTGGCTTATTAAAGAATTTGTCCTAAAGTATTTATAATTAATTTTATACCTCCTTAAATTCTGCCATTTTTAATATCAAATTAATTATAAAAATTAATAAAGAAAAGAATAAATATCTCATTAAGAAATTACTTTCTCTTATAAATATATATATATATATATACTAATTGAAAATTAATTCAAAATATATTCTGGTTAATAAAATTTATTGATTAGAATTTATAACAATCAAAAATATTTATTGGATTTGATAGTGAAGATAATTATGGTATATTAAATTCTTATTTCAATATATTTTTCTAATTTTTTATTTTTAATGTAATAACAATAAATAATAGAAATAGACCAAATCTAGTCTTTTATTGATGTTATAGTAAACGATTTATCTGAAGCATTGTAAATATCAAAGGGAGACTCTATCTTTATTCTTTCATAAGTTGGATGGGATCATATAAAAATTGGAGATTTATTTTTAAAATACAATTCTATTGAGCAAGTATTGAGAAATTTAAGTTTATCATCTTAAATATAGAATACATAAATTAATGAACCTAATTTATGCTCTATTTGTATTACTAACTAAATCAATGTTTAATTATCATGTAATCATTAATGTTGTAGTATTTGTTTAAATATGCATATTGAAGAATAATTAAAAAATATATCATTTCCAAAATGCTTATAATTTGAATGTAATCATTTTCTTCCAACTAATTTCTATTCACATATGAATCAATTTAAAAATTAGATAATATAGAGTTTTTTAAAGAATAAAAAGAAATGTGGAAATAAGAAATGCTCAAATTTAATTGATAGTTCATTTTCAACATATTTTATAAGATGTTAATGTGGATATTTAAATTGTACACTTTGTCATAATGGTGATCATAGACCTTTATCATGTGCTTAAGCTTAATAATAATATTAACTTTTTTCTGAATTGAAAGTATTTCAATATTAATATATTTAGTAAAATAATTTTGCATAATGTCCTAAATGTCTAATTTCAATAGAAAAAGTAAGTGGATGCAATAAAATGATTTGTAGAACTTAAATTGGATGTGGATATATATTTTGTTGGTTTTGTAAATAAACTTGGGTCTAGAATCATAAATGTGTTAAATAATCATCATCATATTTAGAAAGGTCTAATATTTTTAAAAAAAAAGAATTCAGAATAGCTAATACAATTCCAAATGCTTTAAAACTTAAATGTCAAAAAGATATTTAAAACCAATAAGATCTAGAAATTATATAGAAATGTTTCGATTTTCTTGATATCGCTGATGATTTAAGTAGGAAAGAAACAATTTTTATTTAAAATAATCCAGGTTTTAAAATATAATAATTTCATGAATCTTTTTGTTATGAGAGATTTATTTATTACAAGAAAGAAATTTTTAATATATTTAAGACAAGCTTTCATCCAAATGATGGACTATAAGATAAAATTTATTTACTTTCTAAATATCATAAAGTAGCAAATCAAGTAATATTCTATATTATTTTAGTTTTTGGATGAATATTTAGATTAATTCAAACAAGAACAAAATTAACTCTAATGATTTACTTATTTTTTTTAATAATGTTCTTTTATAAAAATATTATTTTTCATTTTTTAATCATATTTAACAAATGAAATATTTACCAACAAATTTAGCATTTAGATAAAAATAATATAATTTATTTAATTTTTATATTCAATAATAATATCATTGATAATTCATTAAAAATATATGGTTATAATTTTTAAGAGTAAAGTTCAATAATTATTTTATAATATGAGTGCAAAAATAAATGATGAAGTGAAAAATATATCAACTCCTGAGAAATTGATAAGGTTATCAAATAATCCAAAAGCACCTTAAAAATTATTGGGAACCTCTAATAAAGTGAATGAATAAGAAATAAAAAACGTGAAAAGAAAACTATTTACCGATAAAGAAAATGAAGTGAATTTTATTACAAATTAATTTAATTGAATAATTTTATTATATGCTAGTCTTATTACTTTTAATTAAATTGAGTATTTAATAGACAACTCATTATGGATTTTGGTTTCAATATTTACCTTTCTCTAATATAAAGGCATCAGGAGATTTCATTTTAAACGACAAATCCATTTATACTGGATAAAACATAATGGCAAACTACAATTTTAATTAAGGACCACCATATCAAAAATTATATATATGGCTTTCATTTAACTTTGTAACTTTAAATATTACAGTGAGTGATGATAAAACAATTACTAATTTGACTTAAGATCCTAAATATTTTGAAGGAATATGGCATTATGTTTATCTTGAAAGTTTAGAAGGAGGATCAAAGTTATATATAAAAGGAAGCAAATTACAAAGTATTTTAATGAATACGAAAAAGATATTTCCTATATTAAATTAATATGGAAAAGTAATTAATAATTTTAATATAATGATTAGGTGAGTAATTTAAACTTTGAATATTTTCATGGTATATATAGTGAAGTATAAGTGTTCACAAGATAACCATTTAATAATGATAATGAATTTGATGAATACTTTATTAGAAATATTTAGAATCCCTAATCTTATAACAAAATTGTTGTTGATATTTTTGATGGTCTTAAAATAATGGGAGATACATTTTATTAAACCAAATTATATATGTTAGGGTATAAATATCAAATTAGATGTTGGGTAAAAGTTAACTATGAAAATGTTTTAGAAAGGCAAAGATATTTATTGATGAGATTGACATTAAATGAAAATTATCGTAATGATAGTATTTTGGGAGATCGAGTATTATTAATGAGTTACATTTTGGATTCAAGTTTAAATAATTATAATATTTTTAATGTAAGTGTTTTAGCTTACAATTATCCATATCCTTAATTATCTTATACAACAAAAAGTAAAAATATATTTTCTATTTAAAATACAACAAATAGAGATAGGTTTCAGAAATGGCATTATATTTATTTTTAATATTTAGTTGATTAAACTTATTTAAAAGTAATATATCCAAATGATTAAGAATTAACTTAAACATTTAATGCATTGTAATTCCATAATCAATATGTTTATTTATATGTTGGAGCAGATAGTTTTTTTTATAAAAGTTATTTAGAAGGTAAAATCCAATTAGAAATTACTTATAATTATGAAGAAGAATTATTATATGAAATGAAATGCCATTATTCATGTTAAACTTGTAATGGACCAACTTAAAGTGATTGTGTTACATGTCCATAGAATTCAAATAGATAATGGAAATTTGGTTTTTGTTCTTGTGAGTTTGGATTTGTAGATTTAGATTTAACTCAAAAATGTAATAAAATGAATGAATTATATCCAATAATGAATTAAACCTATTAAAATAATACATTTAAGTGTAAATATGGTGAATTTATAATTGATAATTAATGTATGTCTTGTCCTAGTTCAATTAATGATTATTAATTAATTTGTGCAGATTGTTTACTTAATTAAGGTAATTGGTATTAAAATCCAGTTTGTACTTTTGATTATAAAAGATATTCTTTAACTTCAACTTATATCAAATTTATTAGAAATGAAAGTTAATAAGAAATATTTTATATTAATAGTTAATTATAAAATTTATAATTATGTTGGGGATGTTTATAATATTGTAATGATATAACAAAAATATCTTGTATTGAATTTAATCATTAGTATTTTAGCTGTAAGACAGGATATTTTGTATAAAATAATACATGTTAAAAATGTATGGAAAATTGCTATAATTGTAATAATTCATAAACATGTACATAATGCATTAATCTTTTTGGATTTGATGGTTCTAAATGTTAAAAATGTCCAATTAATTGTATCATTTGTAATTCAACTATAAATTGTTTGACTTGTTAACCTGGTTTTGCATTATTTAAAGGTGTATGTTATGGTTGTGGTGCCTAATGCTCAATTTGTGAATTTTATTTTGATGAAATTAAATAATCTCATATAAATAGATGTTTAAAATGTACAGATCCATTATTATTTGAAATATCTTTTGATGCTCTTAAATGTTAAATAAATACTATTAAAAATTGTCTTTATAGCATTTCATAATATTACTTTGTTGATTATCCTTAAACTACTATTGATTTATATTTTCAACCTATGTAAATAAGTTCATTAATAACAAATATGTGTGCAAGATGTATCTCTGGATATACATATTCTAATGTTTCATCTACATGTTATAAATC